ACTCACCATCCAACGAAGAAATCTTAAAGAAGATATCACACCATCGTCAGACTTTCCTCGTGCACGACTGGTTTCTGATCTTTACTTGAGTGTGACAGAGGTTTAGGTCTGCATAAGACTCGCCGACAACAACGCCTGCCTTAACGAAAAAAAAAGGTCTCCCTCACTGGGCTCAAAGATTGGGCGCTAGTTGAGAAGGTTCTTTGAACTGAGGCATTTAGTCTTTTGCATTAAATTTTAAAATATTATCATTCCAAAAATATGATTTTAAAGATCTGTCCAAGGTAACTGAAAATTTTTCACCACCATGTCCCACAGAAACGTTCATAAAAACTTCACGTTATGATACTTGCTTATCTTTGTCGTCATTGACGTCATAATGACGTCGTTCAACGAGGACAACTACGTGACATGCTCGTTGCCCGCGCGTACTGCATCTTCAATTTTTCGCGGCAACGACCTGTTTTCCAGCTAACAAAACAGGTGTTTATGAACGATTACCCCGTAACGGAAATGAAACTGGGATGCATGCAGGCTGTGGGAAGCAGAAGCTTTCGTACACGCCCTGATATTAAATCCTGCTGTACTGAATATAACCTTGGCTCACGGTGGATAGCAGTACAAAGCAGTTCATTTCGAAGCCTGTAATTCAGTTTTCAGTTTCTCTATTTCTCTGTCTAATGTCTCTTTTTCTGTTTCCAGTGCAGCTGTTCTCTTGAGATTTACTTGTAACCTGTTTTCCAGCGTTTGAAGAAGCGGCCCACACATAACCTCCATCAGCTGGCACAGGGCCTTGGTAAAAACTACAGAAATTAACAAGAAGCATGATAGAACTTAGTCTGCGGTGTACATGGCGGTCAAACGCTCTAGCTAGCGAACACATGTCAATTTTTTGACTTTTTAAGCCCGCTCCTAAAGGAAACGATAAAGTGTTTTTAACTAATGAGTCCCTGTCACGGTTGCGGGTCCCATCGGCTAACGAGCTCCATCTGCCTGGTTTGAAATTAAATTATCGTTTCCCTGACTCTTTTATACAGTTTATTGTCTCACTGACTGCACTAGCAAGGGCTTTTAAGGCGGACCTGCCAATAAACTATACGAAAAAACAAACAAGTTGGTGCGATTCCCTCGCCCAAAGGCTTTGTTTCCAAATTTTCGCTAAGATCGGCTCTGTTCGGTAGGTTGAAAACTTGAAGTTGGAGCAACTGTTCAACGGTTGTAGCGATAATATCGATTTATATCAAGCCTCGTTTTCTTACGATCGTTAAGACTGCTGGACACTACGACCGTAGCGACCATATGAAGACTCGCTTCGTTCCCAGTCTCTCCTCTCATCTGACCGCTTAGCTCAGTTCCACTGAAACGCTTGCTGTGCAGCCGGGCTAAAATTTAGTTAAAGGAGAGAGTACAATGGTGAAAAGATTTTGTTACCTGAGCTGTTGTGGACGGCAGTTAAAAGGTCCTGTGAACTGTAAGTAATAATTATACAAAGAAAATTATAAACCACATGGTAAGTAAGATTATTATATATGTTGTGGTTCAAATTTATTCTTGGTTTAAATTCTATTTTTCTTTGTTTTTGTCTATAGTAATGTATGATAATGAGTCTGAAACAATGGAAAACAGAAAAGGAAGGAGAAAACTAAACCACAACACATACACGTCCGACAACAACTAAAACGTTAGACTTTCTCAAAGTCGTTCGCTTGGTTTTCTGGTCTGGTGTGGTAGGACCCGGCACGAACTTTCGCTCGCTCGCGCTTCGCGCTCACAGTCGCGCTACGCGCTCAAAAGCTCGACTTGTGAGCAAGTCTACTAAAACGTCAAAACTGGCAACTGGTAAAGATTGGCAAAACAACAACTTTGCACGTGCATCACGCTCTTTTTGTTTAAATTTCACTGTATGACTACGACGTGAATTGCCTATGAAGACGAATTTCCCTTTCTCTTTTTAAACATGGATATTTTTGTTCAGAATTCAACAAAAGGACAAAGTAAGCGAGTTTGGATAATCGCGCAGAAGTTTCAAAGAACGCGAAGTCACTTTTTGCAAAAGCAGGTAGTTACTGCTTTAATAGACACTTCAAGCAAATCACTACGGCGACCTCGACTACGACAGTCAAAGACGCGGAGTCCTGGGGAGAGTACGCCAACGTAGCCTACCAACTTTCAGCTCAAGCGGTACCCAAACAGTGACTACGGGGTTTCTCGCTCATTTGCTTTCGCTGTTAGTAAAACGCAGGGAAGACGTAATTACTGGAAAACCAGAAGCGTCAAATACTTTCTTGATAAAGATACAAACAATCTATGATAGGTTTTAAAATCAGCGATTGTAAAATATAGGAGAAGAGTCGCATTTTATACTCACGTAATAGCGACTACGGCGGAAGACAGGTCTTCACGTTGTAGGATTTGTTGATTTCGAGTCATCTTAAGAGAAGACGGAGACGCTTCGTCGACCACTTCACAAATGGACAAACAATCTTCCAAAAGTTGTCAAGTTTGTGAGAAATTTTGTTATACAGTTGTATCACGAATAAAACGAAAAAAAATGTTTGCTTGGCTATACTTAAACCATATGACTGAGTTTCTGCTTAAACTGCCTCCATTTCAGTAGTGACGTAGACTGCATATGTGACTATTCGCTGTTCAAATGAGTGATTACACGGGTCAGCGTGGAAACTCGGCTCTCGTCCATTTTATCTTTTTAGCAACCGCGCGTTATTGCTCACTTGCTCATCCCTGGGGGTTACCCCCAAGTATAGTACTAATGGAAGTGGTAAAAAAAAAGTGAACAGGCAGGACCCCACCACTCCACGGGAAGAATGGTAATGTCTTTATGTAGACCCCTTCTCCACCACGAAAACATGGTGTCTTGTTTAACAGCCCCCTGTTTATCAACTGGAAACTAACTGTTCAAACTTACTCCAATGTTTTTCTGTACGCCTCCTCTTCTTCCTAAAAACAGAAGTGAATTGATTTAGCACTTAAAATAAGAGAGCTTTAGATTCTGAGACGAGGACGACTACGAGTACGAGATTTTCTCAATACTGAGTAGTGCTCTTGCCTGAGCTAACGTCATTTTGGCGGGAAAACGTGATAGCCGTCGTCATTCTACTACGCGTTTTAGCTAGAAGCTCATAGTGGCGGGACCATGTTATAAAATTTTAGAAGTTTAATCATTTTGCGACCTTGAAAGGGCTAAGCTTTCTCCAATAAAAATAACCGCACTAATTTTTCAGTTGAAAATAGTACAATGAAGCTTTCCGGGTTGAATATTTTTCGAGAATACGCAAAAAAACTTTAAGTTAAATCTCGTATTCGTAGGTTGTCCTCGTTCTCCAATCTAAAGCTCTCTAATAACTTTGCCTGCGGCTCCAGATGCTCAGGTCACGCTATTTGATTCGAAATAAATAAAAAAATACCGTAAATGCCTAAATACGTACCCGGGGTGGGGCGAGGGTGTTGTGGGGGTTGGGGCACTCCTACAAGACCATTTGCAAAACACATGGTACATGTAACAATAAATTATGTTTAATGCCACAAAGAGAAATTAGAGAGGATTGAGTTATGAGTGGATTAAAGAGCATCTTACCTTCGAGAGTATTTGGGGCAGCTCTGACAAACTGTTTAAAGTTGCTTTTGACAAAACCTCGGTGTGAACGACTTGAAGTTCAATTTCTACTCTCTGATATCTGAGATGATCAAGAAGAATCATTGTCATAAAACCTAACAGTGCTAGGGAAACTTTGCCACAAAAGAGTATCTCCTTGCAAGAGATCCTCAGAATCATGACAGAATTCCTCCTTACACTGTATTTCAAAGTTACCACCTTTGCACCTAACTAAATGTACTAACTAAATTTTAAGCACTTAAGATCTTTTAAGCTGGTGAAACCACCTTTGCCCGGTGCAATGGCCACGTTAAGTACTACTATTTAGGGCTCGTAAATAGCCACACTGATGACATGGTCACCATGACTGCTTTCACCCACTTTATCTGGACTAAGAACTTACTGTGTTGTTCCCCCATCGGGCCTTGTGTTTAGAGACTGAAAACAGTACACCTTCAGATGACCACCCTGGAAAACAAAATTAAGGGCTGGCGTTGCTTACCCTGTCTTAGTTTATAATTATAAGTTTTTACTTATTTAGCGTTATTGGTGCTTGTAAAAACAGACAATGCTGTTCATGTTCATTCTAATGTTCTTTTCTTGAGCCTACTTGGAAATGCACACAAACTGAATTTATCAAAATACAACAGAGATTGGTCCAGAATTTTCTTCAGGTATGTCCAAGAACAACCTGCTCATTTGGAGGGCATTTCAAACAGAAAAAATGGTGGGCACTTGTGAGATACTTGGGAAAGAGAGACAAATAAAATATGTCTGTCTTTATTACATAGTAGTAGAAAACCTTTATTTAACTAGGGTAATCCCTTCAGAATACTTAAAAGTATATCTGTTATCAACAGGAGCCCTAAATTAAGACTAATAAAAAAGTTCAAAATAAATAATAAAATAATATAATGGTGTCATTTGGGTTTACCGTGCAAAAATATGGTATTTTCACACGTGACAATAACATAGTATCTTCACACATAAAATGGTCACTGCTGCTATTGTTACCTTACAAATCTCACCTTTCACAGCAAAAAAGTGCAATGGTTTGGTATTTTGTTGGTGTTTATATAATAAACAGAACATTACAAGGCCACTTGAGAAATGAAACTTCTCTTCTCATATTGGAAAATGTTTGTCATACAAGGTCACACCATGCAGTTAGCCTGCATAGTGGGCACTTGGAAGTAATGGGCACAAGAAAAAATGCAGCATGCAAGAGAGACACATATGTCTCCCTTGAGCGCCCTTAGTTCCAAGCGCTTGCTATGCAGGCTACCATGCAGCCATACAATGTCCTCTACGTCTCTTGGGCTGAAATGATTAAGACACACAATGTCAAGTTAACTTACCAAATTGGGATCAGTATTGAAACAAGAAAAGATAAGGCCAACAAATCTTGCATCCATAACTTGATACATTGCTTGAGTGCGCAGATCTTAACACAACAAAGAAAACACACTGGTTAGATGAAAGTTATTTCTTTTGTTTACTCTTTGAAAAATCCACATTTCATGACATTTCTAACAAATCCACGAAACAAGGCAAAGATACCTGTATGTTGAGCATGATAAGGGTATTAATGAGGATTATGGTGAAAACAATGATGACAACAAAAGATGAATTTTCAGTATAAATAGAAAATTTTAAAGTGTTCCTCTCACGACCATATACATGTAACCAGACTTAACCCTTTAAGTCCCAATGGTTACCAAGATCAATTTTCTCCTAACACTATCCATACACTGTCAAGAGATAAGATATGTGAATTAATAAAATGATCACCCAAGAGAAAATGCCTTGATCTATTATCAAATTCTCTCAACTAATTCTTTAGGAAAATGTATGAAGATCAGTTTGGGGAATTTGTATGTGGATACTGGGGCTTAATGGGTTAAAGCTGATGAGGAAAATGATAATGATGATGATGGGCATAAATGTGAAGAGGGCAAAGATGAAAAATAGAACTATAGGTGACAAAGATAATGATAAACAAGATCATGATTGAGACTTTGAATTCCTAGAAATAGCGGATCATTATATGTTTCTGGGTTACAAATGCCCACCTACCCCTCCCCTAAGCCGCCATTTTGCCCTAAGTGAGAAGTAAGTGTTAATGTTGGCTTAGGGGAGGGGTAGTTGGGCAGTTTCCCAGAAATGTATAATGATCCGACATAGTTAACTTACCAACATGTGAAGGCCAGACAGTGATATGAGGGTGAGAATGGTACCAGCCAATGACTCTCATTGGTTGTTGTTTTGATGTCAACATACCCAGTCTCTGGTGAGAAGATGCCAGAACATGAACTACACTGAATACCTAATCTATTCTGTACGTGCATACTGTTAACCTCTGTTTACAAGCCCCTCTCACTTTCATGTATAAGCCAACAAGTTACAGGCCCTTCTACCCATAAGAGGTATGAGAGGGGAAGGGACCATCTATTTCTATCCTTTTTCTCCTCTTTGCCTTTCTCTCCCTCTCCCGCCCATTCAGCCCCTGCCATAAATTTGGGTGGTTCCTTGCCATTAGCATGAGTGGCTGGTACAAGAATGGGGGAGGAGAGGAAGGGGGAGGGGGAGAAAATTGTGAGAGGGGAAGGGTCTGAGCCTTTCTTTCTACCCTTATTCTTGGCTCTTTCCTTTTCTCTCTCTCCCCTCTAGTCCCTACCATAAATCTGGGTGGTCCTTCACCATTAGTGTGGGTGGCTGGCACAAGAGGGGGAGGGGGGAGGAAGGAGGGAAAGTTTGAGAGGGGAAGGGAGCCTTTCTTTTGCTCCCTCTCCCTTCCCTTTAGACTCCTGCCACACAAGCTACAGCAGCTATTATGGACACTCTGCTAATATAGACAGTAGCTGAGTCCCCCACAAACATTATAAAATGTTTGACTGGAACAAACTCCTGTAAGACACTAACTCAACATCCTAGGATATTAACAATAATGCCAGTTGACTGTGATGATACATGTATTTGAGGTTATCATGATATAATCACAAGGTAAATACAAGACTCTATAAACTGTAATTCATTCTCTATTCAGATGCTTTTACCTCTGCCTGGGTGGAGGCGTCTGACAGCTGCTCAGGTGAAATTTCCACTCTGTCCTTTCTTTTGTCCAGTCTTTGAAGCATAATGACTGAATAAATATGAGCTACTTTCTCCTCTTCAATCTGAAATTAAACAAGTATGGCTCATTTAAGATGATGTTGCACGGGATGATTCGCAATGACGATTTTCAGCACAACAGAGCGCTACAACATTGTTGCAACATTGAATCAAATGGTTGCAATGTTGTTCCAACATTCCAAAGCTGTGTTGTGCTTAAAGCCATTGTTGCAAATCATTTCATGTAACATCACCTTTAAAACAATGCACAAGAAATGCGGGCACTTGCTACCGTCACTTCATTTCCTTGTCATTTCCTTACAATTTAAATAGGTTTTTACGCTGAGGCCAGGTTGTGAATGTGCCTTTATTCCAAAATGAATCAAAATTACATACATGTAGAGCAATCTATAATTATAGATCATTCTATGTAACTAGGCTAAGTGAACAGTGTTGATGATCACAGTCACAACAAAATTGATCAAATTTTGTTATTGTATATCTTGCTCGCACGAGAATCTGGCACACACTTTAAGGAGCTGATTAATGTGCATCCAGCCTGAATTCCATCAACTGTACATAGATAGTGCCTTCATGGTGCCTCTATTGAGCCTCAACCATGCTTTCATCAAGCCTTTTTAAAAAAATCATTGATATATCATCTGAAGAAAAAACTATATGGTGTGGAAAAGAGAAAGAATAAATAACAATAAACTGGGATATAAAGCTTGTAAGAAAGTCAGTTCTGTATCAACCAAGCATTTTTCAACTACACGAGTTGAATGGGGGTCTGGGGGATGCTTACCCCGAAAGTTTTGAAAGGATATCAGTTTCAAGGCCAAACATGAAACTTTTCATGAGATGAACCAAACTCTAATTTGGGTCTACATAAATCAAGTTAAGATCATCTGCTGGGTCAGAAGTCCAACTTAAGATACGTCAAACCATTTTACGATCACTTCATTTCATTGTCAGATCATTCCAAGTCTGATCGTTCCATTTTATGGTCAGATCATTACACAGTTTTAGAGTAAAACTCGTTGTGAAATGCGCTCTTTGGGGCTTGTGGCTCAAAGAACGAGGTACACACATGAGTAGCACCCTTGTTTCTGCTTGTAGCTTAAAGACTCGTGAAAAGTTCTGACTATACTATGGAACAACGTGACTATTAGGTGGAACAAACTGGCTTGGAACGATCTTACCATGGCACGAAGTGACCGGATACCGTCAAACCAATCAAATGAATCTGTCAAATAAAGATGAGTAATAAATTTTCTCCCGAACACGGCTAAATATGCATTATTATATAAAGTTTAATTTATTATATTAGTCCGTTGCATGACAGCTGATATGCCGATCATTAGTTTATGTGTCGTGAGGGTTTTACTAGTCTGAAAGCCGATCGGATCTGATCAGCATTTTTTATCAAAAGTGCCAATGGCAAAAATGGTACACAGGTTTTACCTTCAAGATCCCCTAAATATTTTCCATATGAAACGTGTAAACAAATACTGTACCTCTCCTATTAATAATCCCATCACTTCTTCTCTTTCAGTGGACAACGCGTGAGTCAAACAAACCATATATGCGTCAGCCTCGATTTTTACGGTATCGACCGCCATCTTGAATCTCTTCTCCTTCCGCTGGTCTTGGTCCGAGGAACTCCGCTGAATACAAAACACCGTCGGGGGGAAGGGGCGGGGTAAAAGGGCTGAGATAACAGATTTTTCTCACGACTGTACATTTTTACTCACACATTTATCGCCTCGGGTTGTATATGAAGAAATAAGGAAAGACGAAGGCTAAGAAGAGAAAGGATAAAAGATCCAGTGACTTATTCGCAATCCTTGTTTGTTTTGAAGACACCCTCATGCCGATTATGTATCGGTCAAATCGAAGCTTCAACATGCCCCCCCCCCGGGCATACCCCGGGCATTTGACACCTTTGACGTCCCGGGGAGGAGGGAATTTGATCATCAAAGTTTTCCAGGGGGGGGGATTTGATCCCCATGCTTTAGGGGTGGGGAATTTGAACTCCACCCTCGATTTCATGTAAAATCTTTGGCATGGCGAGCTATCATGGGCAACGCGGTGTTAGAGGATTTTCGTGGAAAAGATTGTGCCTTTGTAGCCAATTGGTTACGAGGAAAGGGCTTAAACAAGCTTTGTACCGTATTTGAAGTATTTGAATTTTAAAATGTTTAATATTGGATTCAGGCTTTGAATGTATGAATGCATTTTATTGTTGTGTTTACAATGAAGTACAATACCTATACCGGCGATTCAGTACAACAACATAAAATGAAATAAAATAAAATAAAACGGTCAACTACTTTGACCTACTGCAAGTATGTTAATTAATAAGGTGAGCGGTGATGCATGTCAGTGAAATGGTCTCAATACATGTCAATAGGTGGGATCTTTTTTTATAGAACGCTTTGTATGTTGCATGACGAAGAAAAGCTGAGTATTCAGTGACCTTGTAGCAGCGATTTCCGCCGCTTTGCACGAGACTTTTGTTCGTAGTAAATACGCTAGCAGTGTTGCTCAGTTTTTGTTACATTTACAAAGATTTTGTTCGACAACAGAAGGCGTTTCCGCCGTCCTTCTGTCATTTTTGTGCCCGTGAAATGTCCCCGGGGGTGGGGGCATTTGATCACCTGAATGGACCCTAGTGTGGGGCATTTGAACGGCATTTTGGGCCGGGTAGGGGGGAATTTGAACAATAATTTTCAAAAAAGTGAAATGCCCGGGGGGTTGCCCGGGGGGTTGCCCGGGGGGGGCATGTTGAAGCTTCGATTTGACCGATACATTACAGACAATACACAGTTTCATGACGTCAGTGTAACGCATCCGTTATACTCCTCCCGTGCATCCCAATATTTCAATCGAAGCAGGCGTTCGTTTTCCTCTTTTAGTTCAACTTAAATGTGATTGACAATACTGAAATGTGGCTTTTAAACTACGGTCTACAGACTGCAAGCGTAGCGGTGTTGTATGTGGTCGGTTTCACCGGTGGAACCTTTGTTTTCGGTGCAGTCACGCTATACCAACTGTTCCGCTACACTCCTCTGTGGCCATTTGTTATTCTGTATTTATCGTGGGTTTTTCTCATCGACTGGAAAACCCCTGAACGAGGAGGAAGGGATCAACTAAGAAACTTCGCAAGGCGACTAGCAATTTTTAAGTATATGAAGGATTATTATCCCATGACGCTTGTGAAAACCAGCGAACTTGATCCACAGACGAACTACATCTTTGGTTATCATCCACATGGTCTTTTTACAGAGGGAGCGTCCATTGGTATAGGTACGGATGCCTGTGGATTTGGTGAAAAATTCCCGGGAATTATACCCCACCTTGCAGTTCATTCAGGTAAAAACAGCTATCACTCTGAATTTTCACTGTACTGTGAAAACTGAATCCTTGGTTTGTGGTCTTGTCAAAAATATAAAGCAATAATTTATAATATTTAGTACCGGGACAGCATAAAACAAGGGTGAATCCTTTTCGACCTTTCCGTTTGCTGGTGCTTCTACATATTTTTTATATGGATCTAGGACTGTGGAGTTGGGATTTTGGATCTACGAAATCCTGGGAGCATAATATTAATGAATCAATCAGATTAAGAACTTCATTCAAGCCACTCAGCTGAGGCAAATATTTATTATAGCGGCATTGGATTTCAGTGAAATTTTAGTAAATTCCCCATTATGTTGACAATTAGGACAGTGTAATAACCCTCTCATAGGGCCAAAAGACCTGATGAAGCTTGATATTTGCTTGAAGCATCTACATGTGTTGTGTCATCTGTTGTCGGTGATAGCAGGAATAAAAAATGACATTAAGATTCACTTCTTATTACATCCTTGGAAACTGTTTCCAGACAGCTCCCGTCCTTTCCTTCTATTTGTATGCACTTCAGACTTTATGAGAAATGCATTAGAACCTCAGTAACTCAAACTCCCTAAAATGAAATGCAAAACAGTTCTAATTAATTAGTGAATCTGGTCAAGGGAAAGTAAATTTTGTTGTTGTTAGCGAGGAATTTATGTTATCCAAATTCCTGTTGACTCAGTAAAAATGACTGAAAAGTGAGGGGAAATCCGAGGGAAATTGGACTTAGTTCGAGTTAGCAGGGAGTTCAAGTTATCCAAGTTCAAGTTATTGGGGTCCTACTGTAATACATTATTAATTTTGTGATGTCAGAACCACAAACTCTGTTTGAGCATCAGACTAGTCTGAGATTTCACATTTTTGCACAGGCTTACTGAAAGCATGGATATATCGTGAGATACTACTGAGTCTTGGTGTGGTTGATGCTACACGTGAGAGCATAAAATATGTGCTAACCCAAAAGGGGGCAGGACACTCTATTGTCCTTGTTGTTGGAGGAGCTGCAGAAATTAGTCATTGCCGTCCTGATAGTTATGTGCTACAATTTAGTCGTCGTAAGGGATTTATTAAGCTGGCTTTGGAAACTGGGTGAGTGTGATGTGAGCCCACGAAGGGTAAGTGAGGCACTCAACATTTGACCTACACTGGAACATACTGCTGAACAGGGTCTGCTTTTTCTCTCTCTTTCCTGAACAGGGTATACAATTTGCATGAGCTTATCCTACAAAAAGGAACCTAAAACAGAGGTTAATTAAGGTTGTTGTCCTAAACAAGGACAGTGTTTTTCTTGTGGGATTTTAGGGTCATTAAATAAGGTGTTGTGTCAGTGTTTGAAGTCCCGGCATCACACCTGTACCCAAACTTTCCTTGAGTGTCCCCCAGGAGTGTTTCAAACCCTCAACGTTAAATTTGTGTCCACAGTAATGTGTCATGAACCTCTCATCACCTTCAAATTTGACTTGATTGAAAATGTCAGCTACAGTAACTGCTTTGATCATTTATAGTGCCGGAAAGGGGCATTTTACTTGTTGTAGGAGCTCAAGGTAGTGCCAGTTGACTATAGACTAATCCACAACTTACAAGAGGGCAAGATAAGAATTAAGGGTCTTGAGAAGGGCTTAGGAGAAGAGTTCATTTTTTTATCTGTTGCCCCTAGTATTTTGATTTCTTCCTTGTTCAATTGTAACAGATGGAATTCCTTGAGAATTCTGCTACTATGGTACCTGTGTATATGTTGCGGGTTAAAGTTGATTTCAGGTTGTTTTGATTTAACCTAGGTTGACTCGTAATATTTCCTTTGCCTCTTAAACCTAATCCATGAATAATTAGGACTAGGAGACAAAGAAAATTGAGAAACAACCTAGATTTAAGAATTTTAACCTGAATTTAATTTTGACCTGTAACACATCACTGTCCTGGATGTCCTGTGTTAACTGCAGTGGACGTTCCTATATGCCATTTTGTTTAGCTCAAGTAGACATGGGGTTAACCATGAGTCATGAATGCCAGTGCTCGATTGGTTTACTGCGCACCTAAGTATTGTCATGTTACTCCTTTGCTAAGAGAACTCCACTGGCTTCCAGTACGCTTGCGCGTAGATTTTAAGATTCTCCTTGTTACATTTAAGATTCTTCACGGTGTTGCGCCTAGCTATCTTAAGGATCTTGTCTCTGTCCTACCGGACTCACGTTACCAACTACGCCGTAACAATAATGGTATATTATTAGAAAGACCTCGGCTAAGAACGAAGAAGACTTTGGGAGATCACGCGTTATCGATGGCTGCCCCCTTTTTATGGAACAGTCTTCCTCTGCCAATAAGACAGGAAACATCAATCGACTCTTTTAAACGCTCTGTTAAAACATATTTATTTAAGAAGGCTTTTAGCTAGATTATTTATTTATTTATTTATTTTTAAATATTGTAATTTTACCGGGTAATTTTACTGGTTTTTAATTTAGTTATTAATAATATTGTAATGCGCTTTTGAGTATTTTTATAGAAAAAGCGCAATATAAGTATTAAATATTATTAAATATTATTATTCTGGAGCTTTGCAAATCTATTGTGATCAATGGCATGCAGACAGTTATGCGACCACGTCTCCTAAGCAATCACCTATCAAAGATACCAAAATGTCAGTGCCAGTCAAAGCAGTAGAAACCTCTCATAAACATCAAGTGACAACATGGAACTGCACATATTTTCACTTAGAAATTCTATGTAATAATTTAGTTTCTATCAAACCTGTTCCACGTCGAGGCCTTACGATAATACAAAAGTCACTTTCTCGTTTTTCACTTTATGCAGATGTGATCTTGTACCAGTGTTCGCCTTTGGACAGAACAACTTGTTTCCTCTGATAGGCGGGGGATACAATTCACGTTTCTCAAGGTTCAACCGCTGGCTGTATTCAAACACCCGCTGTGGATTTTGTTGTTGTTGGGGGTTTTCCTGGTGTCTTCCAAAACGATCTCCTATCTTCGTAGTGGGTAAGGAAATCAGTTGTTTTTTTATTATTAATATTTTGTCATTGTCGCAGAGGTAACTGTCTGTCCCCACGCATCGATCTCTTAAAAAACAGATTACTTTCGACACTTTTAAAACTACTCCAAGCTGGTTTACATCTGTCCTAAGGAGGGTGTAAAGAGGGTGTCACAGAAGGCCATAATCGTTTAGAAACAAATACGTAAGAAAAAGCTTCAGAAATACAAGAAGACATGTTATAAAAATTCCTTCAATTTCAACTTTCAAACTTCTACTGTGTGTATTAAAAAGAAAAGAAAACTATATTTGTCAGTTGAAGCAAGGGCCATACGAAACAAAGATACTAAAGCTACAGAAAAACGGGAAACAAATACGTGCAACTTGTTTTGCAACATATTAGAGAGATTAAGATTTACGTTTACGCCAAACGGCAAACGTGAGTTTGTACCACGTGACCAAGTTTTTCCCTTAATTGTCGTCAACTGTTTATTACTTCAACTAAAAAATAAGTAGTTTGACGCCCGTTTTATACATAAGAATTGTTCTGTACAGTTTTTATCTGCTTATTTTCTATTTTGAGAAATTATCAGCTTGAATCTGACGTTTGCCGTTTGGCGTAAACGTAAATCTAAATGTCTACTATTTCTAGAAAACAAGTTGAAAAGCTATGTTGCGCGATTTACCACAAACGTTCAAAACTGCCTCACAACAAATCAGGTTTGTGCAAGTTGCGGAAATACTGAATTTACGTCACTTGCTGCAAAACAAGAAAAAAGGGCAACAAAACAAGTTTGCCTTGCGCCGCGCGGTAAAACGCCCAACATGAACTTCTTTCTACTATATACTATCTGCATTTTCATTACTTCTTTTCAACCTCGTCCCCAGGGTCTTCTCGTTCTCCAGTATTGGAAAACGAGAAGACCCTGGGGTCGAGGTTGAAAAGAAGTAATTAATAGAGAGGAGAAATGTGACGTCACGTCACCATGGTAGCACTATTTCTGGATGACAACAAAACCAACGACAAAAAAGTAATAGGATTTTATTGACAAAACAACGTGCATCATGCCATTTTGTTCACTTCTCTACCGTGGTTGCACCCTTGGGACATGAAACTTCCTAATTTCACACGCTCGTTTTATGGAGTGGGTGAACACAACACAAATGTTGTCTTTTTCTTTTTCTAAACTTAAAGACGGTCCTTTCGGATTCAACCTGAGAAAATGTCGCCAACATTTTCCAAATTAAATAAAATTGAATAAGATGGATGAAGTTTGAAGCAGTGCGAATTCACTTTTTAGGTGAAGTTTTCGGTTTCTTGTCAAGCAAAAATTTTGCTACCATGACAACGTGACGTAACGACTTCTCCTCTCTATTGAAAGGTCAAAATAGATCAGGTGAAAGATATAAGGGTACCTGGGAAGCTAGAACGGGGATCCTGAACAGCAAGAACAAAACAAACTAGAAAGACAATTTCTGCATGCACGTTGTGCATTTTCATACAGTTCTCAGCTCTTAAGTTCTTAAAACAGTTCATCCAAGAAGATCAAATAGAAGCTTTTGGCGGAGAATGTGAACACTTGATTGTAAATTTTCCGCTCTCGTTTCTTTGAACTTAAAAGACGCGCAGTCCCCACACTGTTTAGCTCTTAGGCCATTTAATCTCGAGAAAAAAAGATAACTAAAAATATTCAACGCGACTCGCGGTTCTCAAGGGCAACGAGGTGGAGTTTTTAGATAATATATACTCAACTTCGCCCCCAGAGGACCCTGAGAAGGAGGCTGTTTGTTATACGGAATCCGCTGGACCCGTTCCTAGTACCCTACGTCGACGTCACGCTCGGTCGTTGTCATCTGACATCATCTCTGACTCGTAGTGCATACTAGCGTTATTACGTCGTGTACAGCCGTCTACACAAAGCCAAGAAAAACGCACATCTGTCTACACTTCGACCCCAGGCTATTTAATGTGGACCTAAAGGCCGAAACGCTAAAACATGGATACGTTTTGCGAAGAAAATGCATTTTTGTGGGTGGTTTCTTCGCCTAATCAAATGTAAATTAAGACTTGTGTTCTTTAATTTACTTTAATTTTCTGAATTTTTCTGTTCCTTATTTTATCTTTACAGTAGGTTCGCCTATTCCCGTGGACAAGATTGAAAATCCAACACAGGAAACTATCGATAAACTGCACTCGCGCTACATCGAGGATATAAAGGAACTGTATAAAAAATACTTCAAAGCGTACCACCCTACGGACAAATCGGAACTTCTTATTGTCTAAAGGGTCACTCGTAATAGGTTGCAGTAGTTGTTAAAGGAGGTGTCTCTGTTTGTATTATACATCATGTATTAATTTTATCTTTATTCTGAAATGCCCTTTTGGGACGAATAAAGTATGTAATCCTTAATTCAACAAATGCGCTGGAAAGCCTTCTTTTTTCTCAACAAGAACACCGATGACGTTACCAAAGAAACTTACGGATTTAAATCGAAACGGTCTCCACCAACTCCAGAGTAACGTAACTAAGACACAATCCATCTGTTACCTAGATACTATGTCTTAACGCATCCCTATATTTTACTGCCAGCTTTTAATTTTAACCGTCAATCGTTGAAGTTGGCTGATGAGTGTGGTCCTACAATTTCGGACCATACGAAACAGCACTGTCGCAATAAACGATCAATGATTACTCCTGAAGCCTGAACTCCTGTGATTATTAATAGTCAATGCTCTTCAATTAAATGAATTGAGCACTCTACGAAATACGTTCTACCCAGAATACAAGTATATTTGTATCTATGTATTAAGGAAATTTGCCAGCTGGTGAAAAACAGGAAGTGAATTCCAGTAACAGCTGAAGAAAGTTTCCCTGGATTTTTTCTTATCACAACTGACAAGGCACCTTTTTTCAATTCTACAGCACGAAAGTGAGGGTTATGCGTGAGCAGGCAATCCCCATTTTTCCTCTCCCTAAAGCCCCGGCGAAACAATTATTCTCCCCAGATTTGGTAAGAGAACTTTGAGAGACGATGAAAGTACAAGACGTCTCTAACAGTTAAAGCATTTGAAAGAGAGATCTAGAATCACGATTACTGATTTCCTGCCGCCGACATATTGGAAAAAGGAGAAGAACCTGGTGACGAGGTTGTGAGTGTGATTCACTGAAACTAAATTGTTAGTGCCTGGTGAGCCTGTACAACATGGTCGTCATGCGGTTCTCCCATTTAGCTCTCTAAGCTTCTATGACACTGATTGACTATGCTGATTGCTGTTGCCACCCAGACTGGCTGTCCCGACTCTCCCTAACTGCGATGGGTGAAGAAAAGTTAACCTCTTTTGTAATCTTCCACATTCATAGACAACAAAGGAGGTCAACGCTGAGGATAATGGAGTCGCGGTTTTACAAATGCTAACCGCCGCCCGGTTAGCTCAATTGAGGGGATAAGCGCCGGTCTGCCGAGCGGGAGGTCCTGGGTTCAAACCCCGGCCGGACAACACTCAGGGTCGTAAAATAACTGAGGAGAATGTGCTGCCTTTGTTCTAACATCTACAAAATGTTAGACATTCTAGTCTTCTCGGATAAGGACGAAAAGCCGTAGGCCCGGTCTCACAGCTCTTTCTCTGTTCTAATTCTGGTGGGAAGTAAAAGAACTCGCACTGCTGTTCGTAAAGAGTAGGGGGCGTAGACACCGGTGGCGTGGTAAAACCTTTCACGAGCTGGGTGGTAATGAAGGGGTTGATATCGATTGGGACACAAGTCCTGTTTCATCTCCTGTCACCGTCTTGAGTCACCGTGGTGGTCTGCTAGTCTTCTAGTTTCAGGCAGGAATAGCTTGCGAGTGTAAGCTGTCAAGGGTTGGGAGAAGGCGGGAGAGGGAAATTCAAAAGAGCGTTTCCTAATATCTCACCGCCCACCCATGCACGCTTCCCTAAAGCTTTCAAACAGGTTAGGTTTGGAACCCATGACAGGCATTCCTAGTCTGGTTAATGTAAAAATGCGTAAATTACAGAACATTATCGATTGAAAACCTCTTTAAACCATATTTCTCGGACAAGGCTGGAAATAGTATCTCTGAGCATCTCCTTCGTAAAATTTTCAGGAGGGATGGTATAATGTCCCAGAACCCTCCCCACCTTCCAAGACATTCACCTTCGACACTGAGTTATCAAATGATCTGTGCGTACCTTGCAAAAAGGTCTCGCTACGCCTCTAAATAAAGGTCAAACGTTTTATTGTGATTGTGGGGTTGAGTATTTCGCTCGTGGGGAGAACTCAACAAATGTTTATACGTGGAAACTCCGCCCCAACCCACCCCTTACCCTCTTATATACCATTTTTCACGAAAAAGGTACCCCTTTCGTATACCCTCTACTGGCAAATGGTACCCCTTTTACATAACTTGTTTAGAACTTTGCATCCTTGTAAATGCACTGTCTTATCACAAAAATAGAACGTTTTCTCGACTTTTTAGAGCCATAAAATTCATCTGTTAGCCCTTTTGGGACCTTTTACAGACCCAAATGACAGATTCCCGTACCCTTTTATATACGTCAACTAGTGAAATTCCTTCCCCCTTTTGGGCGGAGCCTCCACGTACATGCGTATAGGCCATCATAGCGAGTACCCCCTCCCCCGGGGTATTTCGTTGAAAATCTCTATTCATGACGTCAACATGAGCAAGTAAATAAAGTACGAGACACTTATGCAACACATTCAAATTCAACGGCGCATCATTTATGCCAAGAAGGTGTGAATGTGGTTTGTAAAATGACTGCACTGTGGCTTTTAAATTACGTTCTACAAACCATAAGCGTGGCGGTGTTGTATGTAGTCGGTTTCACGGGTCCAACGTTTGTTCTCGGAGCAGTCACGTTATACCAACTGTTCCGCTACACTCCTCTGTGGCCATTTGTTATTCTGTATTTATCTTGGGTTTTTCTCATCGACTGGAAAACCCCTGAACGAGGAGGAAGGGATCTGTTGAGAAACTTCACAAGGCGACTGGCAATTTTCAAGTATATGAAGGACTATTATCCCATCACTCTCGTAAAAACAAGTGAACTTGATCCGCAGAAGAACTACATCTTTGGTTATCACCCACATGGCTTTTTTACAGAAGGAGCTTCTATCGGGTTTGGGACGGATGCTTGTGGATTTGGTGAAAAATTCCCGGGAATTATTCCTCATCTTGCAGTTCATTCAGGTAAGAACTCCTTTTCCAGTTCCTTGGCATTTCTTGTTATTGTACTCTCTCTCTACGTCACGCAACGACGGGAGAGAGGGTCCCTCTCTCCCTCTCTCCGCGCGTTGCTTGTCATAGAGAGAGGTGCCCGATATGAAACAAAACCTTTTTGAGGAACAGCTTTGCTCTCTATGACTTTTGCCAGATTCCGTTGTGGCGTGAAACCTTTGATCGACGAACCCACACAGCTTTAATTATTTAGTATCAAAGCTCTGTGTCAATAGAAACGATTTAATTTTCCCTGCTTTTCTAGGTTTGAACTGTTGTATTATTTAAATAGATGCACCCTACCCCCACCACTGAGTTGAGGACTTACCTTAATTCCAAATATGTAAAAGTTTAATTTCCTTAAGGACCATAACAAATGGGTATAAGAGTTTGATGAAAAGATACTTTTACTTTAGGGTTGATTTCTAGTGTAGCATAATTTTTACTTGCATATGTGCGTAAAATTTACGTTTCACAAATAAAACAGAGGCAATTCATGAAAGGTCACTCGTAAGCGTAAAAGTTGAACCTCGCTCAACTTCTTGTTTAAGCTCAGCACTTTTTATCGTGCCTCTGTTTTATTTACGTGATTAAAATTTACTTGTGTTAATGTGCATGGCCAAAAATGCTTCAGTGGAAATCAACCTTTACTTCCATAAAATCTATGTTTATTCTTGAACGTTTCATAATATTAACATCCTGAACCCAGGGGTGTGCGTGCTATAAAGATAGTGTAATATTCCTCTGTTGTAAATACCCCTGGTAATGCCATTTTGTAATAAGACGTGGAACAAGTATGGATTTTACCTTTTTGGTGCTTAATTTCGCAGTTTTTGCAAGACAGTATTTTGTGGGTTTTTTTTTTCGCAATTTCAATAAGCAAGTATGAAAAAAGGCATTAAGCTATAATCTATTTAAGCGTTCTCAACTTTATTTTATTTTTTATTTTTTATCTAGCCTATGCAAGGGAAGAGGGCGATACATCTCTGCTCGTGTATTCCCTTCAGAAGACCCAATTCTTTCCTGTGCCCATATTATTTGCTGTTACTTGCAAGCACCTGTTATGGAGGTAGCAAGGTCCAAAAAGTCTTGCTTGTCATGCACCCAGCACCAACTAAATTTGGCACCTTTTGTTCTCAGTATTGTTTCTTTTGCTCAGGAGCTCTAAATGAAAATTGGCCCTAATCCAGCAAGGCAGCTCCAACTGATCATGTTCAACATAACTCCATGCACTCATAGCTTAATTGGCACTTTCAACATTTCCTGTTATTGCAGATTCTTAGAGGGGGTTACTCCCAAAAATTTCAGATAAGTGTGTTCCACCCAAGGTCTTAAACTCTGACCCTATTTAAGGATGATTCAAGCTAAATGAAAATTGATACTGCCTATTTAAGGCCCGGACCTGAAAATGAGACCCAGTTAAAGGGAAAAACAAACAACTAAGAATTAAACAGATTAAACACACAAATCTTTTTAAATCACTTTCCTTGTACTCTAAGGTAAAGTTCAGTTTTAACAGATGATTTGTTTCTCATGTAGCTCGGCATTTATGCACTTGAATTTTATCTGATATAATGATAGTACCAGTACCCTATTTAAGGATCACACCAGGGGCACAACACAACAAGGGCAAAAATGATACCCTATTTACAGGAGACCGAAAAACACCACACCCTGTTCGGCAGCGCATACCTGTCTAGCCCATGTATGGGAGTACCGCTATCCCCCAGGAACAGATAAAAATTGCAAATGCCACATCGGATGAGATCTGCAAAATTATTAATCTCAGTTTTCATTTTGCACAGTTTTAGTGAAAGCATGGCTATACCGTGATATGCTAATGAGCCTTGGTATTGTTGATGCCACACTTGACAGCTTAAAGTATGTTCTAGCCCAGATGGGGGCAGGACACTCAATCGTTCTTGTCGTTGGAGGAGCTGCAGAAGTTAATAATTGTCGTCCTGACAGCTATGTGCTGCTATTTAGTCGCGGTAAGGGATTTATTAAGCTGGCTTTGGAAACTGGGTTAGTATTTTTAGTTTTGACCCCACTGAGGGAGCAGGTAGCAGGTCCTAATTTTGGCGTGCCACTGGACTGTCTTGTCTTTTATTTTTCGCCCTGAACAGGGTATTCAGCTTTCTAGTACTTCAAGTCCTAAACAGGACCTTTATCCACCCCCTAATGTAGACAAAACAGCATGTTTGTATGTTGACCTTGATTGTGTTTTAACACGAATAAACATGTCCAAAGAGAGGTCCTAAACATGGTATCAAAGAGTATCATACCCTCCAAGCCAACCCTGTGACCAAAATAATTGTGACAACTATATCTCATTGTTCCCTCTCCCTTAGCCTACATGTAGCCGCACCCTCCCCATGACAAAGGAAAAACGTTTTTCCTTTGTCGGGGGGAGGGTGCGGCTACACGTAGGCTACCTCTCCCCATCCCAGATTTTCCTCTAGTCAAAATGTCAGCTACTGTTTTGATCATCAGTATAGGGATGCATAGATTTTACTGGTTCCAGACACTCTTACCTCATACTAGTTGATTATAGACCATCTTCACTATGCACTTGAGACCAGGTAGAAATAACTCTCTTATTCTAAAACGGTGTTCTTACCAGGATTTCCACCCTGGTGTCCACAGGACCCTTAGAGAAGCGAAAAGGAGGTCAAGAGGGAGAAAAGCGGGTCTAGGTTAGAGTAAATTCCTCGTACTTTCTTAGATAATAAATATCCAATTTTTACATACAGTTAACTCAACATTTTACAGCTCTTAGTTAAAGTAACGATGCTATAAACAATGAAATTTTGGCCTATATTAAGGAAATGTATGTATGTGTGCATATAATGTTTATGTACTTTTTGTAATAGCTTTTTTTTCCTTCTTTGCGCCCTTGGGACCCCTTGGTCTTATTATAGTGCGTAATTTCCAGAAAAAGTGCGGCAATACCACAATGCCGCGGTCTGATAAGAACACTGCTTAAAGGGAGCATGGACTTGAGAGTGACCTGGGGAAGACTCCTGTAGTTTTACTTGGTGTCTTTCCCCAAGTGCTCCTCTGTACTCCTCTACCTTCCTCTTTCTCCACGAATGAATAGCATAACATTTTGAACCTTTTTACAAGTAAATCTGTTTTTTTTTTTTTTTTTTTTTTTTTTTTTTTTTTAAGTCATGCCAAGGGGAGGTCTACTATGGGCACCCTGTCTTAAGTGTCTTGTGTTAAAGCAGGCTCTCTTCCTGTATATACACTAATGCACCTAAACCAGCTCTTGTAAGTGACTAAGGCCACTTTTTGGAACATGAACTCAAATACGTAATGATGCCCTTTAGTAATAAATTATTTTGAATGACCGGTAAGAGGAGGTGTGCCGCCCGGTTCTTCAAATCCTGACCCGATTTCAGACCAAAAAATGTAATTATCCACACCCGTTTTCAGGCTAGATCTCTAAAATCCATACCCGTTTTCAGACCTGGCCTTTAGAAAGAAATTATGATATAAGTACTTATATTATAGAGCGCAAACAAAAAGATTCTTCAAATCCATTTCGAGTTCGCATATTTCTCTTTCTTTCCCACTCATTTGGAATTGAAACGATAAATACGTTCTTATCAGGCTCCGAGATTCCCTCGAAAACCATACCCGATTCGAGACCAAAATGGGAAAAGTGTACACCCGTTTACAGACCAAAACGGCGCAAAAACCCTACCCGACGGGGCGGCACATATCTATATGGCTTATATACTGGAGTACCCCCCCCCCCGGGCATGGGGCGAGCCTAATACATGTTCCCTATGTTTCAGCTCCTATAAGCGACAAATTCCCATAAGAAACACTCATGCACGACTTGACATTTTAGAGGGTCTCTCACTGGAATTTTGAATGGGTGTATGGTATGTTACAAATCAATTCTGCCGTTTTTGACTTTATACAGATGTGATCTTGTACCAGTGTTCGCCTTTGGACAGAACAACTTGTTTCCTCTAGTAGGCGGAGGGTACAATTCACGTTTCTCAAGGTTTCAACGCTGGCTGTATTCAAAAACCCACGCTGGATGTGTTTGTTGTTGGGGACTTTCCTGGTGTCTTCCGAAACGATCTGCAATCTTTGTTGTAGGTAAAGACAGTATTTTAATGTATTTCATTGCTGCCACGTATTTCTGAAGGTGGCTCGGCCCGGTTTTTCAGTAACAACACCTACTCTCTGTGAAAAACGCCTCAAGCAAAGTGTGAAATCGAATTGTACCTCATTGTAGCAATGTTCTTACCAGTATATTCCACACTGGGATCCAAAGGACCCGTAGAGAAGCTAAAAGGGGGTCATGGGGGAGAAAAGCGGGTCACAATTTTTAGATATCGTCAGATTAAGGTTTTACTCACAGGTCTGAGTTAGAGTAAATACCTCATACTTTCTTAGATAATAGATATCCAATTTTTACATACAGTTAACTCAACGTTTTTACAGCTCTGATTTATAGTAAAGACACCAATTAACCAATTAAATTTTGGCTTATATTACAAGAAAATGTACGTATGTTTACGTATGTTTAGGTACGTTTTGTAATAGGTCTTCTTTCCTTCTTTGCGCCCTTGGGACCCCTTGGGCTTATTATAGTGTGGCATTTCTCGAAGAAGTGCGGCAATGCCGCGGTCTGGAAAGAACACTGTCGTAGAGTATGGGCATGTCTCCAAAAAGGGGATTTTTCGCGATCAGCATATCCATGGCAACACGGTGACACCATTGCCATTTTTACATTTCCTTAATTTATGAGAAATCTCGAAAATTACTCTTGAAGGTGCTCATAGGATTTAAAGTTCATACAACTGTATTGCGTCAGTGTTACTGATTTTTACTTTATTATTTTTTTTTTTTGAGAGCGTTTTCAAGCAACCAAATTCAGCACTATAGTTAACCTCGAATTTCTGTTGTTTTTTTTTCTTTTGGCCTATTTTATCTTCACAGTAGGCTCGCCCATCCCCGTGGAGAAGGTTGAAAATCCAACACAGGAAACTATCAATAAACTGCACTCGCGCTACATCGAGGATATAAAGGAACTGTACAAAAAATACGTCAAAGCGTACCACCCTACGGACAAATCGGAACTTCTTATTGTCTAGGGAGCCACTCGTGAAAGACTAGCATAAAAGCTCTGTTTTATATTTTTAAAGGAAATAAATGGGTGTATCTAAAAGATATTTTCGTTGGGATATTGAAACTTACTTTTTATACGCCAATCAGTGCGTTGTAAATGTTGAATGCCCCGCCACTTTATCGTTACTAAAAGTAACCTAAGAGTGTTTCCTATGAATTATTAAAGGTCTTTAGGGATAGATACTTTCAAGACTGAAACTCGGTCATGATTCATGATAACGTTATAAATTTTAGTTACCAGAAAATCCTTTCTTCAGATTCTTTCTTATTTAATTGGGAATTCATTGGCGGCATACCGTCGCATTTCCCCCAGAAAATAAAAATGATATTAGAGATAGACGAGAAAACTAAGCATCTGTACGGTTCTCCTTCGCGTCGTCAACGTCGTGGTTGCTCCAGCTCGCTTGTAGCGTTATTAACCCCGCTAAACAATTCTTGATATTCCACGATTTCGTTTAAAAACCGACGATTTGATGGAAAGCGGGCGACAAAAGCGACATCTGCGGGTACGAAGTGATCTTAATAGAGCGTTTTCACTCACGTGGCCAGCATCTATGCTAATTTATTGGATAAAAAGAAAGTTTTTACATAGCAAAAGAGTTCATTGTTTTGGAACACCAATATGGCCGCCGTGACGTCATACGAAAACGCTCTATAGGCCTATTGTGATCTCTTGTAGGTCCCAATATGAAGGATCCCCATTTTAAACTTAGAACTGATTCCAAACTATATTTGTACCTAGCTGTGACAATTTATTGGTTTTCGGTGTACTTTGAATAGTAAAGGAAAACGACAAATTTGCCTCGTAGCGCTTAACTGTTTGTTTGAATATTTCTTCCACTTTAGGCATTTTCTACGAAGTCACCAATGCTTCTTTTCGTCTCGTATTCTGCGGTTTTCCTTATTAAATACTATTTTCTCAGGTCATCTTTTCGTCAACTTCTTCCGAGACCATCAAATTCATGCAGAAAAAAACTCCTCAGTTTCGTAGTGATGACAATTGTTTCAAAGTGGCTCTTGTACGCCCTCAGTCTTCTCGGTTTTTACTTACAAACAGCTCTTGCTAAAAGATTTTGCTCAATCTGAAATAATCATGACTTTTTTGAAAACTTTGCGTTATGTTATATAAGCTTTCACAGTTTTCCTGTGACGTCATCCGTATGTCCTGACTCTAAAACATGATAAACGGCAACCAATCATAGCGTGAGGGTACATTGTATAAACTCTCACACTGGCTGTTTACCATTTACAAAAAATTTCCCTGAAAATCCGGTTGAAGAGTAAATGGAACACGACTTTTCGGGTCGCTTCAGTGGAAAATTTCTAAAAAAGTAGTCTTGTTTTTCTGATCGGATTCTAAACGGAAATTCGTGTTCCATCTTTGATACCAGTTTCAGGTTTTCGCGGCCGTTTTTCGGTAGATGGAGCTGATTTGTGAAAATAGTAAACGCGAATCTGGGACAAAATTTACCTGTCTTGAATTTTGTTTGTCACTGATTTGCCCAAACCGTGAACCGACTGGTTTGCCCATGTACCCAATTAATAACCCATGTATCTCTCAAATGAGAACGTGAGAAATCACTCTGTCAGTTATTGTAAAATGGTGATAAACTAGGTCGATGAGCAAAAAATTTGTCTTATTAAGCCTTTCACAGCTTGCCTTACTTCTCTGATCTTCCAGCAATAAAGTACAGGATTCAATGACGAGTTTAAATAAGCAATAGTAATTGAGAATTGCCTGGCAAGGTAAGCCGATACGGGAACCCGTCCTTTAGATGTCAAAGCTTCCGATATTATGTACGGCAGGTAACAAACAACCAACGCTAACTGCACCCACAACACACGATACACTGCCTTTCTGTATCGGTCTATGTTCAGAGAGATTACTCGGTTCGGTTGTGGTCTTTGAGATTTATGGTCTAAAACGTGAACTTGGCTATGACCGCGAAGAGTGATGAAAAATTTTGCGTAACAGATACCCGGGGTTACCAGACAGAGAGGTATGATGAAGTATATCCACCATCGTGCTACAAGGGGATTCCATAACACGCTTGATGTGCCGGCAAATGACCAAACCCACGTAACCGTTAAAGTTATACATATTCTCTTCGAAGTTACAACCTGTCTATATCTGATCCCCAGTAACAGGGAGAGAAGTCTGTCCACAGCTATAGCCGTCATTGTGTGCAGAGAAACGGAACACAAAACATAACCCGAAATTACATTTGCCATTCTCGTGTAAAAGCAAATGTCCCATCTTTCGTACACAGCAGACAACCAATGAGCAACAGCTATAGGCTCTGCAATGACTCCAACGCAAAGATCCGTTATCGCCAGGTTACGAAACAGCATTTTGGATGACGGATGAAGTGAAGAATTCTTGCGTAGGGCCACTAGGATCAAGGTGTTTCCTACAAATGCAGCAATGGACAAAAATATATTTAACCCCGAAATAAATATTAGCTCACTGTGTACTTCTCTTGTAAATTCTGAACAAAACAATTCTCCTGTCGTTTTTAAGTTGTTTTCGTCTTGAGTCAAATTGGTAGCTTCCATCTTCTGCAATTAAGAAAACGAGTGTGCGTATAATATACCCTTCTTATCTAATATAGACAAATCAGATAAGGCCAATATTCTACCTTGTAATTAAAACTGAAAATCATGAGTCATAGCGGGGGCGTAGACGAGAATTAAGCTAAAACATCTCAGTGTCGGATGAAGCTCGGAAAGTCAGTGCTGTCCTTGTTCTTCATCTAAGAATTATTATTATTTATATATGCTTTTAAAATTCTTTACATTGGAAGAGTCTTGCAGCCATATTTGTTCCTATCCTCACTATTCAAACATTGTAAACTTTGTTGGTTCAATTCAAGATCTCTCTGTGATTAATGCTAATTTAAAAGAAAAGCTCGAGAATGATATCTCTATTCGTCATAACTCCGTTAAGTGAGTGAAAACTTACAACCTCAGCGAATTAATCAAATGACCGTGTAATGTTTTTCGTAGCTTAGTTGGTTTTGCACAAATTTAAATTCAAAGAAGCATTTAGCATGTTTGTCTTAACACCTGTTACGGTATAATAATAAACATGTTAATTTCTTTAACTTGTAATTCGTCCTTCTCTGACCCCTCTTGTCTTCTTTTTCGCTTTTGGCCTCTGTCGATTTAAGATTACAAGACGTCTGTTCCTTAAGCAATTGGAACCCGTTGCCTTTTTTTCTCATCGAGAGTTTCGTTAAGAAAACTGTGAAAGGCCTAATTGAATTTCCACGAATCAAAAGGAGAATTTCAAAGAGCGATCCCTTGTTTTCAATCTTAGCATTTTGCTGGTAGATTCGGTATGATTAATTTTTTTATTTTATTTTGATAAAGCAAGTCTATTCTATGAAATTGTCTGGCTAGCATTTGAATTTAACTCAGGCCTAAATAGACATTTGTCTTGAACAAGCTAAATTGGTGGTTTGTTTTCCGTTTACTCGGGTGGTGCGTGGCAACTAAGTACAAACGCAGCCGCTTCGCGGTCGATTTTTCAGTTGGAGGAACTTTTTACTGCCTGTTTCATCTAATTGTGCTTTTTTCCCTCACTTTTGTTCGGTATTCTTTTACCACTCCACGTATCCTTCTTCTAAACCTTAGCAATTTTAACTTGGAGGTGATATGGGGCGGATGGCACTATAATTAAGCTCATATTGCAGATATTGTGTTAATAAATTTGAAATAGTGCAAAGAAAACATTTTGCGCTTGTTCCCGAGCACGTTTAAATATAAAGTTAAGAAAAAAAGTGTAAGTCAAGTTGAGAAGATCAGTTGTAATTAAATTTTCTTGCTGAGTTAGAATTTATTGCTTCAAGTCGTAAACAGATAAGTAGGGTTGCTCACATTATGCTCAATGTTCTGTACTATTATGCCGACTGCCAAGTCTAAATATTACTGTGACATGATCGAGGAAGCCAAGGGTGACTCAGATAAGGTGTGGAAAGCAGTGAACGAAGCATGCAATCGGAACTCATCTTCAGAGAGTATTCAGTGTATTATCTCTGATGGTGTTCAGCATATAACATCCCAATCCATTGCTTCTTCAATGAATAGCTTCTTTGCTTCCATTGGCCGAATTCTAGCAAGTAGAATACAGACTTCCGTCTTGAATTTAAATTCCGTTTCAAAACACCCGCTTTTCCAGTTCGAGTTGACTGAATTGGATCAATCATTTGTGCTTGAGCAGCTTTTGTCATTGAAAGCAAACAAAGCGATTGCTCTTGACAAAATTAGCGCGAGACTTCTTAAAATCTCAGCTCACACAATTGCACCATCTGTTGTTAAACTTTTGAATCTTTCAATTCGCACTAGTCAATTTCCCAAATTGTGGAAATGCGCGAAAATCACGGCATTGTTTAAGTCAGGTGACAGGACCAACGTTTCCAACTACCGCCCCATCTCAATCCTCCCTACACTAAGCAAGATTTTGGAGAAAGCGGTACACTTGCAGTTGTATCAGTACTTGATTACCAATAATTTGTTGTCCAACAAGCAGTTTGGTTTCCGGAAGGGTTTCTCAACTACAACAGCTTTGACCTCATTTGCTGATGAAGTGCTCTTAAACATGGAACAAGGAAAGTTTTGCGGGTCCGTGTTCATCGATCTAACCAAGGCATTTGACACGGTAGACCATCAAATAATGTTATGCAAGCTATCCGAGATCGGCCTTTCTGAAACAGCTCTTCATTGGTTCCGTTCTTACTTAACTGGTAGACAACAGCGCGCATCATGTGGAAATGAGTTATCTGAGGAACTTCCAGTCACGCATTGGGTGCCACAGGGTAGCATTCTAGGGCCTCTGTTGTTTGTGAGTTACATAAATAACTTGCCAAATGTGCTTAACTCCTGCAACGCGTCACTTTATGCAGACGACACTAATTTATTGCTATGGTACATCCTCAAAGGAGTTGAGTGATAAGTTAAATAGCGATCTACTGGGTGTGGCGAAATGGCTTCATGATCACAAACTGACTTTAAATTTGGACAAAACTAAATGCATGCTCATCGGTAGTAATAGGAAACGCGAAAGCAAAGTAGATTTGACTGTTTCAATTTTAGATCATAGTATAAGTAATGTTCGCAGCTTTAAATACCTCGGTATACATATATCTTCGGATTTCACATGGACTGATCATGTTGAACACCTAACTGGGAAAATCAATCAGAGGCTTGGGCTTCTCAAGCGTATAAAGCATTTATTGCCTTTCAGGGCTCGTCTACTTTTCTATAAAAGTCTTGTTATGCCCCTTTTTGAATATGCTGATCTAGTATGGGGCGATAAACATAATATTACCCTTATGTCTAGTTTGCAAGTTTTGCAATAAGGCCGCTAAAGTTATTTTAAATAGACCATTGTACTCATCCTCCACTGAGGCATTAGCCGTTCTCAAGTGGCTGCCTCTAGAGAAAAGGCGATTTCAAAGAAGGTGTGTACACGTATACAAATGCATCAATGGCCTAATTAATCACGATATGGACTTGATTAGACAAGACGTACTTCATAGGCATAATACACGTAACAAAGGCAATTTTAGATTACCACGTGTCAAAAGAAATTGGGGGAAGCAAAGAACACAATATCATGCCGTTTCCGATTTCAACTCCCTCAGTCAGACGATCAAAGACTCAAGGAATGTAAATAGTTTTAAACGTAATGTTTTTAAGTTTTTGATATAGCTACTTACGTTTAATTTTTACTTATACTTATTTTTAATTTTTTATGCATTTTTTGTATCTTTTTATTATATCGATGCTAATTTTCAGTAAATGTTAAAACACTCACTGAATGGCTGTCACTATTATCCCTATTATGCTACATTATATATAGCTAACATAAAACTGGCATGATTTTTCTCGTTGGATTTTTGAGACGACTCATCGATACTACCGGAAGGCTCGTTTTTCTTATTTGTGACAAGGACTGGTATTAAGATGTGGTCCCCGAGCTGGTGTCCTCACATGGGCTGAATCCTTAAGTTTTGACGAATACAGAGCTGAGCTGTTATAGAACACATGCCAAAGTCAAAGAGACATGTTGCACGGTAATTCTTGTGTAATGCTCGACTATTTTGCCTCGACTATGATGCTCGAAATCATGCCGGCGCACAAGTCTAACGGTCAATCTTACGCAGTCCTATTAGGCTAGGTTAAAAATCTGCACTGAGTAATTTACCTGCAAATTCCTTTCCAATAGGCTGATAAAAGATGGATGCCTCTTCAGTTGACTTACCGCTCTTGTGTAAGTAGCTCCCCTGGAGCAAATGGTAATGTTAAAGCAAGATAAAGCCAATATAGTCATTGACTTGACGCAACTGCATCTTATTGTTATTAAGTTTCTGAATGTCTGTTTACTGCACAAATAAGTGCAGAATAAGAAGAAAAAAGAGAAAGATGATTTCCTTTCCGTCAATTTGCCCTTTGTATTGTTAGTTTTTCTATGCTTTGTCTCGTGACAGTGAATTGCAGGCCATGAAACAGGCTATTTCTCCGCTAGATTTCTCCATTCTTATGCCTATCATTATAATTATTTATAAGGACTTTGCATGTTTAAAATTCAATGCTTTTGGCTTGTGAAAATTAATTAGGAGACAGCTGAAGAGAAGCCGTAAACATCATGTTTTTTACTTCTTTAAAGCTTATCGTCAAGCCCGGGGGTATCACTTCCATAATTATTTTTTATATATGGACTAGATGCAAACATGGGTATGCGCCGCCCTATAGCATAGGGTATGGTTCTTGAGGGTCTTGACCCTTAAATCGTTAACTTTTAAAGCTTCGGGTTGAGAAACGATTTTTCTAAGTCACTAAGTAAGCGAAAACCGGCAAAACAAAAAGTAAAATTCAGGTTCAGTAGATCAGTTGTAAATTTTCTTGCTGTGGTAACGTTTATTGTGTTAGGTCCTAAACCCCTGGGCTAGCAAAAGAATTCTTACATGGATAAACCCGACATGAAACTACTTCTTTTTGTGCAGATATAATTAACAGTCTGGCCGTAAGCTCGCTCGAGTGCCTTATATATTTTCCTTTCCCTTTAAGTGACCACCTTGCCGGATACATTGACCGAGAAGGCCTGGGAAGACGCCGTACAGGGATAAGGCAAGGCCTGTCACACATAGCCTGCGTAGCAAGCGTTTCCGTTTGGTTTCGGAGCAAAGAAAGACCGAGGAAGGGGACTTTCGGTTTTGACCGCGCGAGAAATGAAACGAGAGCCAAAAAAACTTTTCGCGCGGTCTTTGACTCTCGTTCCTAGTTCTTTGCTCCTAAACCGCACAGAAACGCCAATGTTAATGCCACACATTGAGTGATAGTATACCAAGGTGTAGATAAAAACCAAAAAGTTAACGTTTCCTGAACTTTGTTCCCTTGCACACAATTTTCCAACAACACTGTCTAGAAAAAAGCTATACGTAATGTCATTGAATATAGTAACTTTTTATTTTCAATAAGTTTTAATAAACAATATTTCCAAACATGTTGGGTAGAATTTGAAAACAAAAGTACATCAGTAAATATTTTCAATGTCGCTTAAAATTTATACTTGTTAAAATTTACTTTACAAATTCTATCAGATGATATGAATATTTCAATTTGTAAGATCTATTGACACACAATTAAAAACTCGTCTCATTTTAATTGGTTTCTCAGATTTTGTCCTAAGATTTGGGAAGCAAAATATGGAAACTGGGGAACGAAAAGGTCGCAGTGAGCTCATTGAAATAAATTAGTGTAATATCCTCGCGACGGTTAAACAGCCTATTGAATTGTAACGCTATGAAATACACAAATTACAGCTAAATACACTGCTAAAATTTTAAAGATAACTCCTACGAAAGACGCGAATGGTGTAAAGTTATTTTTGTCATTGATAATCCTACCATATCAAAGCCTAAATAACAGAACAAACCACAGAAAACGCTATGATTGAAGTTCCTTTAACGTTAAGTGGCACTCAAGTGTCCAGTTGTCTTGCAACCAACAGAAGTCGGAAGAGGGCCTGATGACAGTATTTCACTTGGAGAAATTATGATCTACCACTCCTGCTTTCACATTACTCGTGAAGTTGACGTTGGTTCGGGCCACGCGTTTTGCTTTCGGCTAATCTTCGTTGATGTACCGAGGAGACGCGCTTCTGATCCAATCAGAAATTACCACGTCAACTTGCCGCGGTTGCAGGGGCACGTTTTGTTGGCGAGCAACATCCTACGGGCTCGGTATTGTTCGAGTTCCTGTGCATATCAATCTTTTTTTTTTTTGGCTAGTAAAGCTTCATAGCGAGGATCTGACAGGGACCACTGAGTATTTTGCGTTAAAAAATCGAGCTCTTCCGATTTTCTTTCTTTTTACTTTTTGATCCTCGTAAACCAAAACTCCTTCGGATGACAGACGATCTGGGACTGAGAGGAGAACCATTTCCGTTAATATCTTTGTCTCCTTCTTCTTCCTCCTCCTCTTTCAAATCTGCGCTAGAGACTGGGGCGGGTAGCCTCAGAGTTGGCGAGGGAGGTGGTTTAATTTCTGCTGAAGACTGAGACTTTATAAACGGCTTTTCTTTCTTACCTGTCAAAAGGAACATGAAGAAACGCTAATTGACCGGAGTACTTGGCGACCGGAGTTGACTGACAAGACACGATTTTTTAACTGCTGTTGTCCAAATGGACCAGCTTAGCCCAATTCCTGGTTTGTTTTTTGCTTTTGGTTCGTAGAGGAAGATAAAAAAGCCGCGCGAAAGGAAAACAGAGGTCATTACGAGAAAGCAATGGTGGACGGGGCGAGAGAGAGAAAGAAGGCAGAGGTTATCCCGCTCTCTGCCTTTTTCTTCTTGCTTCTTACTTTACGAACCAAAAACACATCCAAATAAACCGTCTGCCACGTAGGCTATCCCATTCCTCGTCGTTCCTGCCTTTACCTTGGTTTACAAACCCGAGAAGATGGTATAGTAGAGCTTATTAATCGACGGCCATGGATGTACTTTCCCTAACCCGTCACAGCAGGTGTTGTACCCTCCTCTCCCCCAAAGTATTGAAACAGCAATCTCAACTTACCGTTGACTTTCTTATTTTTGACTGATGCTTTCGCCGCTCTCATAGCAGCTTTCCTGGTATCCTCTGAGATAACAAGACCTGAAAAGAACAAACAGAGAGGAAAGTTGAAAAAAGCAGTTTCACTTGGTCTTTCAACTGGTCAGAGAAGGAACTTTGATATCCCATCTATTTCAGAGCATCAAAACATTCCCTTAAGGTGGCTGAACACAGTTTTCCGGGCAGTCAGCGGTAACTCGCGTGACGGCGCGCATTTTAAAAACTCCAACTGCTTTAAGAGGTAGTAACATGAAAACACAATGTCATGTCACTGATCACCAAAAAACGAACGGTTTTTTACCTGTTTTAGCATCTTCTTTAACTCTTCTCCTCTCGTCCTTAAATGCTTTCATCCATTTTTCCCTCTGAGCCGCCTTTTTCGTGTAGAATATGTACCACTTTTCCTTCTTGAAGTTATAGATTTTCCATGCGTTGTTAAGTGGTGATCTGTCTAACGTTTCTAAAAACAAAAAAGGGATCAGCTTGTCTTTTTATTCCTTCCGTTGATGAGGCAATTACGCCTTTAAATTGCTAATTATAACACTGTGCCTCGTTCAGTTGTTCCCTTTCCAAGTGATCCTCTCCTTTCGTCCCCGATCAAAGCGAGAACGAGAATCACAAGGCCGGAAGAAAGAGAAACCCTGGCAGCCGAGCGAGCTTGTCGTAACTACGATCTAGGTTGCGCACGTAATACCACACTTCCGAGACCGCGTCTGCAGCCACGAAAAGGTACTGTTCAGTAGTAAATGTAAGTGGCTTTTTTTCCGAGTCCTCCGCAAACAAGTTCATATATGCTCTTGTATTAAGTTGCTGTCTGAGTCATTATTTCTCGTCCTATGGTCAAGCCATAGAATTTCTTTCAGATGAAAACAAGAAATAAATTAAAGTAGTTGTACCTTCTCCATCTCCCAGCCAAATCACGGTGCAGTCGTCCATGTCAATTCTCCCTTTGTACGTTAGGCCATTTTTCTTTAATATATCCTGAAAGACAAGAGAGAGAAATCTTTAGAATGGGTTTTAATCTTACCCTCCCTGTGCTGTTTTTGTTCATGTGCCCGTGGGCCGGTTTGATGTAGGGGATAAGGGAATACTGATCTTCATGAGTTAGAATAAACAGTAATGGCGCAGTAACGCTAAATGACCATTTGTGCTTTAGGATTTAAAAGAAGACTAGATAGAAATTCAAGATATTACGGCGGACATAGCAGTCGTCCTTTCATTTACCACAGAATTATAGCTCGACAAAATCCTCCAAGAGCCACCGTAGCTCGCTAGCTACAAGCCAGAACACACTGAGAAAATTTCCTAACCCGTACATTTCGCTAAGCCATTTCTTTCTTTCTTTTTTTCGTTTTTACCTTTTTGCAGTACACAAGTTGATGATCAAATAGGAACATGACACGATCCTGAGAGCCTCCTTTTGAAGTCTTGATAACATCTCCAGAGTGGATCAGCTCTGAGCTTCTCTGTAGGACATCCTCGCCCTTTATTAAGAAAAACCAAAATATGTAACATATATTATACAATTCCCTTATTTACCCTCGGCAGTATTTAGAGCACTAATGCTAGTGAGGCCCAGCAAATATCTGAAACAAATAATTCAAATTGAATTTAACTGAATCCCAACTGGCCGAAAGCAAACCAGCTGGCTATTTACAAGCATGGCCGAGGATTTGAACTCGGGACTACCATGAACAAATCCAGCTAGCGGTCAGGGCGGGACTTTCGAATTGCAAGTCCAGCGCTGTAACCGCTCGGCCACGCTGCCTAACTTTCAAAACAGCCAGTAAAGAGAAGGCCTTAGTTACAGTACTATCATTAAAGAAAGCGGTTTTACAATTATTGGCCTTTTTGTGGCTGCGTATGGAGGTGGCCTCATTCTCTCCAGAATGACCACTTCAGTACCTCTGTCCCTAAAGTTGTCGTTGTGGGAAGGCCCAGTTGTACTTTGCCATCAACAGTCGTCAGTAGTTGACACCAGTTGATCTTTCTCGAAATGGCTCATAATCCCACATACCCTCACTGATCATCTCCATGTACCTGCGTTCACCCCAGTCACCCCTCTCCCCTAAACACTAATGCTTACTCACCTCCCACCCCTCAATAGTACTTTGCCACTTGGCGATCTTGTTAATACTCTCAACTTTCCTTTTGCGTTCGTTAATCAACGACGCCACGTTTTTCATTGTTTCCAAGGCTCGCGACACAGTTTCGAAATCTCTGTGAGATGACAAGGTGTGCTTTTTAAGTTCCTGCACGAAAAAACAAACAAAAAAATTTCTATTTTCACAGGCCTTTCCAAAAATAATCGTAATGGTGTTTTGTAGTCATCAAAGAACAGTGCATAAAGTGAAATATATTTTCGTTGTAAGCAGGGATACCTAATTTAAAAGTGTCTGTATTATACGAGTGGAAGTCTCAGAGAACAGCTCAGCGGCTCTCTTAAAATGACTTGCTCATACATAAGTAAGACTAAATTAATGTATTATTAAAAATGAAGGCAAATCGTCTGAAATCATGACAGCGAAGACAACGGGAAGAATGGGTACTGTTCTGGGAAAGTTACTTGCAATTAATTTAGACCCGTACGTCTTTATTATGAGACGGGAGGCGTAAACTGATCACCGTCACTTGCTAAAGTTACCACTTAGCTGGTTATAAGAGACAAAATAAGGACCAGTCATTATTGTTGATTGTTAACTAACAACATGAAAGTACATTTGTAAGCTTACCGCTAACTGCAACGGATATTTGCAAATCTTTTGAACTGGCGTCAGTAAAAATCCATCCAGCGATATGCTGATCATATCTCGTAGAAGACGGCAGGCCTGCAAACAAACCAAAAAAGATGATCTTACATTCTTATCACAGTTTGAATTCTGATCAGTTTAATAGCTCATTTGATTAGCTAGGATACTCCTCCTTGCCATGCCTTGTGTAGCATGGGGCCTGAGCACGAGCTGGGTCGGACATGCGCAGTTTAGTAGACTTACGACTCGTGTAACTGGTGTGCTAGTTTAGTAAAGTGATTCGAACGCTAGTTGTGTTAATTGTGTTACACTTGATCTAGTCTACTTCTACTTGGCGTTTGTACAGACGCGAATCCAGGACTTTTTGCTTTGGGATCGGGTGGGGGAGGTAAACTTGTAAGGTTAATGGCCGCCGGGTATTCCCCATATTGTCGCAATCACGTTTTTCGCTGGTGGTGTTTTACTAGAGTGGAACTTCGATATAACAAACCTCTATATAACGAAGTCCTCGATATAACGAACGATTTTCTTCACTCCAGTAATAGTAACATATATGAAAAAAGGACCTCGATATAACGAATCCTCGTTATAGCGAACACAATTTGCCAGTCCCTAGGCCCTTCGTTATACTGTAGTTGGAAAAGTCGTTGCAGACTTGTACATAATGTAAAGGCTCGTTAATAGATGGTGGAGAGGCGAAGTGGTTTTAGGTAAATGTCCTGTTTCATAAGCAAGGCTGGGTAACCTACCTCGAAAAACTGTTTGTATTTGTTACTATCACCCAGCGTCTTTAATTCCGCCATTGCATGTGGATGGTTATTGCAATATTCGGAGTAAATTTCAAAGCCTTTTTCCTGCAACGTGAAACAGAGAAATGCATTTGGTAAAAAGTCCTTGGACCTTCTAAATTGTTAGTTCATTAAGGAGGCAATTACCTTTTTACAAGTCATCTTGGAACGTGACGGAGATTTTACATCAGCAGTTGACCCAAAAATTATTTTCCGAGTTAAATGGTTAAAAAAACCTTCGACAAAAACAATCGCTCAAGCACGAGCAAGAGTTAGCCATCGTGCGCGACCCAACACTTCTTCGATTTACAAATGGAAAGCTTACTCGAAGCTAATGAAAAATAAAACAGCAAAAGAAACTTACGTTGGTTAAAAAGACGGAGCCAATCTCAGAAGCACAGGGATCATCTTCCACAAAACACTCCTCTAACTGTCTCAAGATTTCTCGATGGAACTCATAGATCTGCTCGATGTTAGAGAAGATCTTTGCAATTTTCTCTTCAGTGAACATGTCTGTTCTTTTGCGCGCTTGTTTGAGGTAACCCTGTAAAAGTAATGACAAGGAGGTATTAGAACTGTGAAACCACAAACTAAGTTAGTTATTACAAAGCAAAAGCCATGAACAACTCAGCAGAACTTGAACTAAACACGTGCGACCAGTTGCCAACCCGGTGGGCACGCCTTGGAAAAACATAACAACCGTGGGGAAACAAACACCTGAAGCTGCGTCTTAGGGTAGACAATACGCAACTACGATGGAGGTCAATAAAAGTGATATTAAAAAAACTGGCGACCTCACCCCTCCCATCCCAAACAATGTTGAATTTGGAGCAAAATGGGTGTAAATGAGTCCGTTTGGGGTCACAACATTGTTGGGGGGAGTCGGGAGGGGGGAGGGTTAAGGGATGAACCCTATGTAACAATTACTTGGAAGGGTTTTCCCACCGTTTCCCAAGTTCTTTAGACTTCCATTGTAGTGTAAAGTGACGGAAAACACTTCCCCATGGCCAAGTAAGAAAACGCGCTGTCTGTATGAAACGCGGGAAACACGTCACCGGCGACACAACACGAAACCAACAGGCAAGCGAGGGAAAACATGCAGCCAGTGCCAGCAGCAGGTATAAAGCGCGAAAAATCATAGCTAAAGGAAATGCATGTTTATGCGCAAGTTAGGGTTAACTCCGTTAATTGTTTTTTTTTAATTGTACCGCGATCTTCCGTTTTTTCAAATCTCTAGTGTTTAAAAACAAACTCTCCCTTACCTCTACCACATCTTGCAGGTTTTTAACATAATCTCTCTCCGTGCTCAGGATCTCTAACACAACACGTGACCTAACCACTGCGTCAGACAGAAAGCCCTCATTGGTTCCCTTCCTCGTTCGAACAGGCGGTGCAAGTTTTGTTTCGTCGGCGTCCAACGTCTGAGACACCCGGACCTAGAAAAAACAAATTGTTAAACGGCAAATTCCGAGTTGCCCCAGGCCTCTGTTTCAAAGCGAGACTAAGTGCGAAGCAATATGCTATGAAATGATTTTTTACCCATGGAAATAAAAATCATTATCACAAGAACGAGGTTGCATTTGGCCTCGTTTCGCCAAAGTGAGGGTTTTTAGAAATTTGAAATGGACTATTACTGCGGTGTTGAGAAAGAAGATAGTGTGGTGTAGGTGAATGTCTTCTCTCATCTCTTAGATAAGAGACTGCTCTATTTTATTCATTCTTTAAACTTCAGCCTTGGTGCAACACAAGCACAGTGAAACCTAATTTTAACAAACCCCTTCGACAACGTGAATCTAAATCTAAAATAATAAGGATTCTGGAAAGTTCTTTTCCCCACGTAATATTTATTAATAATTAAAAAGGAAACATTTATACTCGCATCGCCTTCGCGCTGTTGTTGTTTTTCTTTTTTCCATGTTTTTTGTCAGCCGTCGGTCATCTCTCTATTAGAAAACGTAATTCAAATCTATCCTTTATGCGATATTTTTTCTTGGTCTTGTGAATTTGTGAAAAAAGACCCAACCGCGCAAGTGTCAAGGTTCAAATGCAATGTGCATTGAAGTGAGAAATTAGACAAAGTGGCAAGACCAAAATATCGCGATAAGTTATTCTGTGTTTTCACTCACGTGGTCAGCATCTATGCAAATTTATTGGAACAAAAGAAAGCGTTTACATAAGAGAAGAGTTCAACTCCCACAGGACTGGTTTGGGACACAAACATGGCCGCCGTTTCATTGTTTTGGGACACAAATATGGCCGCCATGACGTCATGTGAAACACACAATAGGCGAATCTGTACTTACATTTTTTGTCTCATTAGCATATACCTTTCATTCTCTGATCAAGGTATCAAAATAAACTCACTGAATATCGAAAGAGCATATCAATTTCAGTTATCTGAGAAAATTTGAGCCTGATATACCGAATGGTTACGAAGAAATTATCTTTGAAAAAACCCAAACTTTTCAAAAAAATGTATGGGCTCATTAACGTTTTTGCCACTCAACAATTTTGCAGTTTTCGATGACTGCTATTTCCTTCGTCATCGGGTGCAAAGAGCGCAAATTGTTCAAATTAACCAACTCTCTCAACTTTTGAATTTATTTTTTGCATACAGTGACGTCTTCTAGGAGTTAACTCGTATGCTAATGAGTAAAAATGTAAACAATGACGTCAGCAAAGATTCGAATGTAGAGGCAATTGCGGGATGTACAATATCTTTGTCAGTACAACCGTAAAGACATTTAGTTCCCTACAAGTTGTCTTTAACAGGCCAAGCCGTAACATTTACTGAAAGCCCGGTTTTGCAAGGTTTATACCCTGTGACATAGTCTACACGTTTTATTTACTCATATTGGTGTTATTCTAGCTGTACGTACGTACTGCGTACCTACATTTTTGACTTACCCGAACAAACGGTGCAGGAAACCATCCCACCTGATCGCCCACTTGGCCAAACCACCAATCACATGACGTCATAGTTAGAACGGTGATGATGTCACCTGCTTGGAAACTCAGCTCTTCAGGATCCATGGTCACGTGATCCCACAGTGCTTCAGCGAAAGCCTCTGGCACTTCCATCTTTGGCATAACCGGGAACAAAACGGAAAGCACTTGTTAATAAGGGGTTTACAAGAAAAGACTTGCGTCGCTAATATCGAGCTACAAAGTCTAATATCTCTACAATCTGATATCTCTAGTGTGTTTGAAAGCACGAGTTTTGGTTTTATCTGCGTTTCTTCTGACGCGTGCAACGTTCTTCGCTGGCTCTTTGAAGATGATGGCAAAGATAAGCAAAGAATGTGCACTCAAGCAAGTTTTTCTATTTCCTTTATAGTGGCTATAAACAGAAGGGTATAACCCAGTTTCAGCTAAGAATTATAAGATGCCAAAAATTCACACTGCAATTTGTATAACATTTGTAAACCAACGACACAGTACAAAGTAAAGTTCAAAACGTTTTATTCCAGATTCAGTAGCGAAGACACGTCTGTACATGAAAATAATCCTATCGCGTGTGACTATTCAAATCAAACCTCTTCGACAGTACTTCACATTCCGAGTGCTATCCCTCTGTAAATGTTTTGCAATATTTCTTAACTTTTTATTTTTGGCTCTTTTTGCGGAGAAAGGGATGTGAAGAATTTAATTTACAGAGTCAAAAATTACAACTACATAACGTCGCCAATGTTAATTAGCACTCAGAGTGCGGTGGGAAAGAAAGTTATCTGCTCTCTAGTCATCAGAAATCTATGCACCTTTTTTTCCGCGTTGGCCTCTAAGCGTAACCACTAACACAAAAACGACATCCTGATCACAGTCTCCTTGTATTGTATGGTTATATTTAATGACTAAGACGTCTGCCATGCTCAAACAGCTTCCTGACCTATTTAGCAAGTTCGTCAGAACTGCCTCCCAATTTAGATTCAAGAATTTAGAAAACTGAGTGCTTATGTCAACCAATGCAAAACCTAAAAACAGTTCCTGAGCCAACTTCTAACCATAACTATCACAGAATCAAAACGCCCTGGTGCAGTTTTCTGACTTCAAATGCCTAGGAAGCACCTACCTCCAACAATGCTACCCAAGACAGTGAGCCCAAATATAGCTGAATGGGAAATGCAAGTGTCTCGGAAAACCCAGACAGGCTATGGAAAATCCAGCATGTGTCTATTAAAGGCTCTGTTTAAGGTCTCTATAGCTGTTGTCTTTTTTCTCTCCTATATGCCGCTGAAACATGGACTATATATCACACCTATAGTAAAGAACTGAGTTCTATGCTTATATGATGATATGAAGGCATTTAATTGATAACAATAACAAGCAAAAGTCCGGCTTTTACATGACTTAGAGCAAATCGAAAACTGTGTGGAAATCGGCCTCGATCCTGCTTTATTGCACTTAAGAAAAGTGTTAGCGAATTTGATTGTTGCAAAACGATTGGTCCCAAGAATGCACTTAACCATAAAACCATGGAATCTACCACAGGGAAATACTAACAATGTTGTGGTTTATTTAAACTAAAGGATTTTGTTGGCAAACGTTTGACTGACAATGCTACACAACAAAACAGACCACAAAAACAGGAAAGTAACGCGAAGTGCTTCAAAAATAGATCACACTTGTCAAGACTTCCTCGAAGGGAAACTAAATCGTGCTTGTACGAGGTCGAACCTGCGACCACCCAAAATGCCAACTACTGAGATGGCCACATATAGGGGGTCTTAATCGCTTCTGAAAGTTTCCAGCTACTTTGTTGACTGGGAAAAGGTATTTTACCTAAACGGAACCTTGAACAAGGAGCGACCAGGTGTCTCACATGGAATTTCGGATTGTACTCAGTAGTTACCAATTTAAGTTTTCCGTTTTTCTCGATAAATAAAATTCAAAATTATCACTTACAAGAAATTATTCAGAAGGTGATTTACCTAGCGTGCAGTAGAAGTTTACTGCAAATTTTATTCTAGGTTTTGTCGCTCACTAAGAGAGAGACGTGACGTCGGCATGTTAAAAGCCGCCATTAAAAACAACAGCCAAACTTTAAACATCTAGAGGCATCCAATAAACTTGAATTTGCCGCAAAAACGTAAGATAGCACTTGCTCAACATCAAATAAATGAGTTTTTTCCGATAATAACGCCAAAAATCATGAAACAATAAAATATATTTTTCTACACATGCAGGCACATTTGCATTTCTAGTCACGTTCGGCGCAGAGTAAGAAATTATACCAATTGTTAATGAAAAGAATTCACTGAAAAGCAGAAACTTAGTCAACAAATTATCTGGCGTTCAAATATTACGATCCTTCAACAGTTTGTCTATTTAGCAGCTTTGGAAATTTCAATGCTCCTTAAACCCTGAATACAGTAATTAATCAGAGAGAAAATTAAACCATATTAACGACAATATTAGTTCCCCATCGATGGTTATTTTTGGTCAGATTTTTACTTTCTGACGAACTTGTTCGGTGTAAAGTCAAAGAAAGAAAGTGTGCAAAAAAGTGCGCGGAAAAAAAATGCAAAATTGATACCGGAAAAATAATGTACAATATTAAAATCAGACAACAATCTATCATTTTGCGGTCGATTGCAATTTTAATTCTCGTTATTGTCGTTAGTACGTTTATTATAGTGCTAATTAATTTCTAATGATGAAAACTAATTATTATTTAACTAATTATATTATTAGCACAGTCGACTCCCGGCAACTCGACGAACCCTCCTTAGCTCGAACCTCCCGCTAACTCGAAGCAATTCTCTCTTTATTTCCCCTCAGATCATTTTCTACATAATTTTACCCTCGATAACTCGAACTATTCGACTGTATATGAAAACTAATTAGTTAATGTACTTCAACTTTAGAGAATACTTCTTAAATGTGTTCATGAGCTGTATTAACATTTCACAGTCGTACAGCCATTAAGTGGTTGAAGTCATTTGGATCATGTGTTAGCTTGTGTTACTGAAGCAATACCCATGAACAGTACTGCCGGTCTCTGGATAGTAGACCCAGTAGACAAAAGAAATAGGATTTTTGTATTCTAAGGCCTTTAAGTAATTGGTAAAGAAATACTTATCTAAAAAGCTGCATTTCCGACAAAACTTTTACAGTTAAATGAAGAGTTCTGTTCTGCGCATATACTCAAGTCAAAAGATTAACGAGATCATAATCAAAAATCGGCAAAAATTAAATTCTGCCCAACCACCGCCGTTTCTTAAATGCTTGTAAACAAGGTGATGTAAATTTGAACTTCAAACAAACCGAATGCAAATTAAGGCTATGTATAGACGCTTTGAAGTTTGAAGAAAAAATTCCCACGTCTATGACGATGCATTAGACCATGGTGAATTGAGTCAATTGAGTATGTAAAGGCAAAAACATTTGGAAGTTTCTATGCTCTCAATTAAGGCATGCTTCAAAAATTCATAGAGGGCGCAAGGCCATTCCGTAGAAGAAGACACGGGAAGCAAAGTTACGATCAAATACAATAAAAGACTTAAAAGCGAACGTCTATTTATAATCGAACTTGAGCTGTGCAAAGTCGATTGTTTACATAACAATTTGAGCGCCTTTTAGCACCCAAACAAAAATATGTTTTGCCTTCCATGATAATTGAAAGTTAATTTGCAAAACTGGCGCGTTATTAGGAACATTTAATTAAATTCTTGCAAGAACCCTGCCATTCCCAAATCGAATGCAACATAATCATTCAAATTATTCGTTTGGCCTGTTGTTAAGAATGATCTGTCTTAATCGAGCTGCTGTTTACTAGCGGTATTTTAAAATGTAAAACTGGAATGCACGAGTTCTTAACCGATTAAATTTAATGGAGGTTTAATTAACGCCTTCACAGCTTCATAGGACAAAGAAACAATTTGCGGCTATGATAATGAGTTTTTCCGACCGAAGTTATTGCTCTTGTGTTCAGAGCTGGATGACTGGTTTATCAGTATCTCAATTTGAGCTCTGTACCTCCCACCAAGATCAAATCGGTGCAACATTTACTAGCTAACATTGAATCGCATTTCCCAACGAAAAATTAAAAACACACGAGGCTACCAAGAATTGCACTTCTCATCGCCTTTCGTCAGAAACAGCTTCGACGGCGAGACTTATTCAGTCTTCTTCTAATACGAGACTGTAAGCACATTGAAAAAACCTTTACAAATACTCGCTTATGTCGAAGGCCTTCAAAAACAGGAAATAGTCAAAATGCAAGACCAATTACTTAATTCATTCCACCACAGAAATCTAAATGTAGCCGTTTAGTTACAGGCAAATTCAACGTTGTTTAATAGAATTAAAAGGGCAAATTATGGTTAATTAACTGTTAAATTGTCATTATCAACTTCCTAAGCACAGAATAAAGTGAGATAATAAACCCTGGTATCTTTGTGGTATGTGATACAAATTGGAGCCAAATCTTGACCAGAAAATCGACACTTTCCAGAGCATGGCTAGAATCTGACCACAGTGCTGATAGGTCAGATTGAGGTAGACAAATATCACTGCCAGACCTGGATTACAATACAGATCAATACCTCAAAATTGTAATCCACGATTAGACGTACCATCCGTGAGTTATCTTACCTCCTAAGCCGGTATCTGCCCTAGAAATATCAACAAGAAGTCCGAATACATGAAGATGTCAGAATTGTCATAACTTCTGCCTGGTGTCACAGTCGGAGAGCTCCGATCAGGCACGATGCGTTTTACAAATGATACCTCGAGACCGAATACAGCGTGAATGGAATTTCAGTCTTGGTATTCAGTAATTCATGAACACTCCGACCATAATGACACGCGCTTTACTTGCAGTGACACGTTGGAAACATGGCTGACATCAAAGCATTGAAACACGATCTCTATATACTCCGTTTTGTTTACTCGCTTGTGTCAAAACCGTGACAACAATTTAACTGTTTAGCATCTTCCACACCTGGGGTTTAAGGCGAAAGTATCAAAAAATCGCATCATGAATGTTACCGAAAAGCACGTTTCAGTGTTTAAATTCGCATTAAGTAACTCGATTCCTAAGCTATGGTGACAAAGAGTAATGCAAGAGATTACCTTCGAGTAGTTCTGTACAATCTGTTCTTTGACATTCGCTGTTCAGCACTAAGGTATTAATTAATGTTTTATTTGTTCTTTAGGTAGAATGCAGAGCGTATAAAATTATTTTACGCCTTTGTAAAGATGTTGCTTACAACAGCGCTGCTTTTTTTCTATTCTGCGACTTCACAAAGACAAGAAAACAACCAGTCTTTGAGCAGAACGATCAATAGCTCCCTTGGGGATTAAAAGATTAAGTAAATCAATAATTATATAATAGTAACTGATTTACCTAGTGACTGATTTTCAAAATCATTTACAGCCCTTGTACCTCGTGCACGAAAAAGAGGAGAAACATCTGAGATTACTGCTTTTAGTTATTTTAAGAAGCATTCGCGTCGATCAATATAAATTGATAAATATCTGAGCCTTAGTCAACGTCAGGCAGCCCATTTTAAGAATGTAGATATGTTTATTGCCTTTTAAAAAACCGTAAAACATGCCAATCAAGTTTTAACTAATGTTCACCGCAAATGCTTTTCTCTGTCCATTGATGTAGTTTATCACATATTGTTATATTCCCTTTTTTCAATGAATTCTTCTCTTGGTCTTCTTTTTAGTCAAATGCTAGTTATTTGAAATTAAATTTCAATGGGGTACAAACTTTAAACTTATCAAAAAGAGAATTTTTGAACATCTGAACTGAATTCTTCACACTATGTTACTTTTAATCATGTTTAATTATAACTTATTATCGCCTAGCAAAATCTTCCTTTCGTAATGCATGGAAGCAGATGTTTTCTTCCATTTGGATAAAAATATAGAAATAATGAAAATAAGGTGCTATTTTTAACATCAGACATGTCGACCTCTTCAGGCTCAAAAAATATCAATGGAATGCTTCTCCTTCCACAGATTATGGGGTTTACAGTTGTGGAGGACTTCAACATCGCTGATTTTCGCCAAAATTGCCCAACTCTTTAATCCTAGTTGGCCCATTTTCTAAGCATGCTACAAGCATGTTTTGGACAACTTAGGCGTGTGGCTGGCTCAAAAATAAAGCTTTACAAGCATCATAAAAGTTGGAATGTTGGATACTTGTAACAGCCAAATTTAGATTATTAAAACCACTTAAAAATGTCTGGACAGTTTTGCTCAATATTAATAAAGGGAACCGTCAAGAGCTCATACATCGTACTAATAGCTTATTGCTCCCATAGAATCCATGATGTAGGTGCAGTGAGAAAGCAAGCAAAAAAGATTGAATTTGTATTTTTTTTTTTCTTGTATTCTGTCGGGGGCAATTTACTCAAGGGACTTATAACTGGACCAACACAAAAATACTTGCAATTTGTTTAGAAACACTAGCTTCCCTTTCTCTCCCAGATCATGTTTTGATGAGATAATTTATCACTAAACCTTACAGCTCGGTGGATGAAATTCTAAGGTGTTACCATTCAAATGAAACCTCTTTAGCAGAATTTATTTTTTTCGGACTTAACAAAATCACCTTAACAATCCGTCATCGTATTTTGTATACAAAGGCATGCGAATCAATGATTTCCAGTTACTTAATGATTCCATAATCTTGTCAAATAGATAACCTACTGGGTTTAGTTGACCTTAGGTGATTTAACTTTGCAATCAGAACATTCTTTCAGAACACTTGAATGTTCACAGAGGCGGAAAATACAAAAAAAAAAACAAAAGGAAGTTAATCTATCTTTGTCTACTTTCAAATTAATGATAGCAATTCAGAGAGAGGATAAATTATTAGGCCAATAATTTAGAATGAGCTCTTAACTGAAGTGATTCACTTGATCTAGAATTAAAAAGTAACTTAAAATAATTGTCCTTTTAATCTTTTTTCTTGACCTTCCTGTACTTCAATCTTATCACGTTAATAAAATTTAAAAAATTAATTTGGTTACTACTTGATAATGTGACAATTATAAATTAGAAAACCACTTTGATTCATATCATCCGCAAGGAACCCAGAAAAAAATTCTCACCCGGGGAATCTTATTTCTGGGTTCCGTGAGGTGGATTCTCGTTACTGCGCTTTTCCAACTAATGTTTGCGTTTTTCGCCGCAGTCAATCATCCAAGCGGGCCTCTTAGGAAACAGTAATTTACTTCAACGGGTACAAAAGGTCATGGTTTGTGATTGTGATTGGTGGATTTCGATCCGTTTTGTGTGTTTGTGTCTTTCAAGGTTCGTTGCTCGTGATCGTAATTTTGATTGACGTCAGCGAAAAACGCAATTGTGAAGGCGGCTTTCGAACTTTAGAGTTCGCGTGTTTTTTGAAAAGCGCAGTTAAGGGATTTCTAAATATATTTTAGTAACAAAAGAAAAATCATTGACAACCTACCTCATCATCATCATCATCATCCTCAATTTCATCATCACTGTTTTCCCCTGTTTGTGAAGACCAGTCCACCTCAGATAGGGAAGCTCTCTCCTCTGGGATAGGAGAATTCTGTGGGATACCACCAAGATGCCCTGGAACACTACGAGAACGATTTAAACTCACATCAAAGTTACTAGGGAAGGACACTTCTGATGCCATTGAGAAAGTGCTGCCAAGATCATTCTCAGTAAACGATGATTCTGAGTTGATTGACTGCTGTGAGCTATTACAACTGTTACAGCTACCAATGCTGTTGGATCTCTGCAGCAAATGTTGAGGAAGTCGAAGGAATGACTTGTCCCCATAGCCACCGTAAGAGTGACGCTTACCCATGTCAATCATCTCGTTGAACACATTGTCAACATATGTTAGTGACGTAGTGTGTTTCATCATGTTTCTTTTGATGATACTTCTCTTTTTCCTCAGCACGACTTCTGCCGTGCATGCAGGCAACTGTTCAAGGCTTTGGATCCGCGGCCTTACATAAGGAGGACTAGTGCAAATCGCAGGACTCCCATTATTCTTGTCTAGCTGGCTGCAAGACACAGAGCGATTAGACTCCGTCATAAGCACCTGCTGAAGTGGTGACTTTGATGGCATCCTTGCGCTACGAGAGCGCTGACGTTCCTCGGGTTGTTCAAGGTTCAAGTTGCCGCACTTTAGTATTCCACCATGTTCATTGTAGCTCGAATAATCTTGAGAAATTAAAAGCGGCGACGGAGTTTTTTCGCCACGGCTTTTTACGGACAAATTGTCATTATCAAAACTGTTTTCAGCATTTAAGCTACAAGAGGAATTAAGGCTATCCGTGCTGTCTGAGAGCTGGTTAATTGGCAGAGTATGACTGGTGTGCAGTTTTCTGATATCAGGAAAACTGTGATACATTGTTGAATTGCTAATCAAAGGTGATAATGACTGTCTTGGTGAGTTTGGTAAACTATTCACTTTATGACTTTGTATCTTTTTCTCAGCCAATACGTCTTCGCCAGTACAAATCCTACCTAATCTGCTAACAATTAACTCCGGTGAATTATGATCACGCAAACTGTGTATATTCTCTTCACCAACGTTTGTTTGTCCCCGTGATGTTTCAGAAAGCGTTGGGGAACACGGTGATGATTGTAGAGAATCTGTCAACTCGCAACGTCTTTTCACGCAAGACAAACACTGCCGTAGTTGAATTGACCCGTCTTTCTGTGTTTGTTCACAGTTCGCAGAACAAAAGTGCTCTTCGCAAAGTTGCTCTTCAATGTTTACTCTCTCGCTGGATAAACTTCGTGTTTTGTCGCAAGCAAGTTTATCCTCTGTGTTCCAGTTTACATCCAAGTGATTTTCCGTGTCCGTGATCCTGTCGACTGTCGATTTAACATCGAAAAAATCTCGCGCATGATCGTGTTTAATATGAAAGGTATTAATCATTCGTTTTCCATCTTCAAGCGCTTCACTACCCTCGTACAAAGAATTAAATTTGTCCTTTGTCAAGTGATTATCCGGACTGTTGCTCTGTACAGGATAATAACTGAGTACTACATTTTCAAGTTCTTGATCATAACTCTCCAGAAAATCGCTTTCCTGAATGATAGGATCTGCCTCACCATCTGTTGCATTTCGATAAAATGACTTTCCGTTTCTCTTAAAGGACCGAAGAAATTCCAATTTCATTGTCGCATCTTTCGGATTGAATTTTCGTGGTTTTTGCTCATAGGATGAGTTGTTTCCCATATCAGTTGTCAAATCCCCGCAATCTCTACAACTGCTGTTTTCCAGTGGTAGAGTTCTCTCGTCCAAACCTTTTGACTTGCACCCAACAACGTCCTGTTCAATTTGATCGCAATTATCGTCACCCGGAGCAATATCTGGCTTCGATTCAGAAAAAAATGACGATCCAATATTTGATGAGTTTTCATTAGCCGAATATAGCAGCGAAGGAGGAGCTGAACGTCTTTTGTGTGCGTCACACTTCTTTGCGGCTGGTCGGGTTATATTGGCGACTGTTTCGTATGTTTCAGGAGAGCCACTTGAAAGGGGTGAAGCTACTTCTGCGCGGGCTTTACACCCCAAGGAACTTGAACGACCTGTCACGTTTTGATAATATTCAGAACGCGTATCATTTCTTCCTGATTGAGCTGACAAACGAGGCACAAATTCCGCAGTAAGAGCCCTTTCAAAAGCACCACGGGAATTTTCGCGGTATTCTTCGACACGAATGCAGGGTGGAATTGAGGATACCGTCTTGGATTTTTCCATTTGAGGGCTGCAGGGATCCAACGAATTGTCCATAGAAAAAGCTCTCGGAAGGGTCCTTTTTGGAAAAATCAGCGATCCTTTTGAACGTTTCAACGAGTAATACTTACCTCTCTTGAAATGAGAGTCGTAATCTCCAAAGGAATCAATCGATGAAGTGCTAGCAGCGATATCTGTTACCAGAGTGTCCAAATTAATACCATGATCTGTTGATAATCCTTTCGATACCTCGATGTGCGAGGGCGAAAAAGACTGACTTTTCCCACGGTTGTTTTTATCTTTTGACTTGTTGGATCTCTTAAATAAATTTGTTAGTATACTCAAGCTCTTAGATCTTGAGAGCCTTGGTCTTTCTGTGTTTGTTTTGTCTCTCTCAGGTTTGGATCTTTGTGATCTTTTCCCTGAGTTTGATGCTTTTTGACCGCAATCTGCCAGCTCTCTGACGTGTGCGTTACTCGAAGAAGATTCCGCCGTAGTTTTCTTTTCTTTTCGATTATTATTCGCGTTTGTTTTGTTTTTCTCATATTTCTGCTTGTCCAAACTAGATTTGTCAAATGATGTTTTTCTAGTCGGATAATGTGAGTGTGAATTTGTTTTGATGCCATTATCTTGTTTGTGTGACACTGAGTTGTGTTGTTCCCTGGTCAAATTTTCCCGTTTCACGTGCCTCGTCGAACGATTCGCTCCATGGATTCGGTTGTCTTCTGAAAGATCGCGTTTTACTTCATCAACAGATGAGGCTGTTCTCGGTGAATATCCTCTCTTCAATCGCATGGACTGTCTCAGAGTGCTTTGAAAACTATGAAGCCGTGATTTCCATCGCTTCGGATGTTGATCAGGTATTGCCATGTTAGTTTCAATTTCGTGGTTAAACGATGACATGCTCTTTCCGGCACAACGAAACTACCATTCATTTACTCAATTTCCTCCATCTTTAGGCTCCTTTGATGCAGCACTTAACAACGATTCCTACGTAAACAGATGTCAGAAATTTACACAATGTTATCTATAATGTCGAGATATCAAATAGTAAACGTTTACCACTTTCAAGCGCCAAGCTAGTCTGTTCTGCATAAACATAAGTTAAAGTAGTCCTTTCTTCTCAGTCATGATTCGTGAAATCGATATGAAAACGAGATTGTTCCAGTAACACAACCTCGCTATACATTTTCTCCGCTCTCATTTATGAGTAATAATGGATTATACCTGCGACAAATTTGTCATAATCAAAACCGTCTACAGAGCCGCATAAAACTTCTAAAACTATTCAATCCGGGATATATATTAAGAGATAGAGTCCCGGCCACACGGGATCGTGCACCCGTTTATGGAATAACATAAAATCTTTTATCAAGCAAAGAAGAAACAATTATGATCTCAAATTAATTATCGTTCTGGTGCCTTCGCGTCGATTATGAAGGTGCAACATTTTGAAATTTGCATTGCACGGGTCAGTGAAAACAAAGCCCCAATTACTATAAAGGATTTTGCTTTTACAAAACAAGACCTGCAATTGGTTCCCCGAGCTGCAAATACAAAGCAATTAGACAAGGTTCCTTTACCAGGATGACAATTAGGACATGCCATCGCGAAGTAATCGTGGGTAAATAAAAGGCATTGATGAAATCATCGTTATAAAAATAATTGTTTGTTTATGTAAAGGCTTACCAAAGAATGTGCTAATGAGCCAGAGATTTGCTAGCACCCTACGACATTGGTACAGCGCAAAATGTTCCTCGTGTTGCCGAAAGAAATTTGACAGAGATCGAGTGAGGCAAGTAGAACCAAGCGACTGGCCAACATAAATTTATTATCATTGTATGCTTCAAGAGCATGACTTCAAAGGTCAAAAATCTGGGCCGCCTACAGATCTCCACACGCTGTGATTCCTATACATCCCCATGGAGAATTAGAATAGTAGTCCAGCTGCTTATGACATTATGTAATATGTTATGGTGACAACGTTTGTTATTACAAACACAATACGCCCACTCAGAAACGGCTGTAAAAGCAAAAAGATAGCGTTGGCTATGACTTTTTTTAAAAAAGAAAAAAGTGGAGATAAGACATTTTAGATATCCTCAGAACAAGAAAAGGAAAAAATTATCATCAAATCAGTAAGATTTGTCCACTGACAAAAATGTATAGGAGCTCTAGCAAGGCGGAGCCAACTAGGAACATATATACTGAATTTGGGAACCTAAGCCCAGAAAGGCGGCCTTTTCACAGCGATGACGAATTCAATCGGAACGTTTTAAAAAAATAATAGAGATCATCATAAAAATCTTTACTTAATGAGGTTCGTCAGCGACCAACACGATATGATACGTTGGTGGGCGTTTGGTTTCTAGAGCAATTTTGTTTTCAGACTCAGTCAGATATAATAATATGTACAAGAATGGGTTACCATGACTGATTGACGCCGGCAATATGAGAAAACAATGCAACAAAGTCATTTCTACATCTCTAAGGGCTCGAAATAAGCTCTTTTTGTGTCCATGAAAAGAAAAAAATGAAGAGGAAAATTTCTCCTTTACCGCGATGATCTTTCATTTTGAACTGCGATTCAAAATATATAAAAGTTCTAAATTTTTCGTTTTCAGACAAACCTTTTTTGCTTATCCTTTATTTCTGGTGAAGGAGCTTCATTTTTATCACAAAACCCTTATTTCAAACCGTGGAATAACGGTTCTAAGACAATAAATCGGATATTCTGCCACCCGCCGGATGGTCAATGATACATCTTTTTTTTTTCTTTCTGTTATTGCATTATTTTTGGCTTTTCTTAACTGGCAAAAAAAGAGAGAGAGATATAGGAAAAAATTATATAAATTAATTAACGCTGAAATTTCGCGCTAAAATTAGGGAGTAATTTGATTTGATACTAATATTATAAAATCTCGTGTTCTCTGTGTAAAATTAAACCTGGGTTGTTGATCAGGGCATACCCAGACTTGGAACCACTCAGTCACGACTTAAGATCACTTCAGATCAACAAGTGTGAGTTTTTCCCGCAGGGATACAACACCGTTCTATATTCGAGACCGGTAACGAAGAAAAAAAATATTGTGAATTGAAACCGAAAAGAGAATGCTAGCTTTTACCTGTTCCGTTCCAAAAGAGCCTCATAGGCACCTATGGAACCTTTCGGAACGAAATAGTTATAATAGACCTTATTCACGCCATCTTTGCACGCGTTTTAGGATTGATCGGATAAAAGCAATGTCACGTGGTATTTCAGGGGGCAATCAAAGATAAAATTTGCCAATGCGAGAAATCGCAGTCGACTTTGTTTATTCTCTCAAAACGAAACGACGATTTATGGTCATGCAAGATGTACGGTTTGAGTTTCCACAAAATAAACGTCAGTATTCCTTGCTGTGAGGATATCTACAGTTGCTCCTGCATCCAGAAAAAGTAAAAATGATCTCTTCCACCCATAATTTGCCATTATCGTCTTTAATATAAAAAGTTGTTCATTTTCTGTTGTCAAGAATAAACAAACTCGACCGCGATTTCTTGCATTGGAAAAATTTATCACTTGCCTGCCGCCTGAGAAACCACGTGACATCGCTGTGATCCCACCAGTCCTTAAACGCGTGCAAAGATGGCGAGCATCGTGAATAAGGTCTATTGGAACAATTCAGGTACCGTTTACACGTAAAATTTTATCCACGCTTTCCGTCGTGTTATAGAAGTTGTTCCAGTTTTTTTGTTGCTGTAAATGGGTCTCCAGGTCTCCAGGTAGGCGGAACGTGCCCCTGTCCTTGCCCGTTCTTTTTTTCTTGGTCTTGTTCTTCTACTTATTTTTTGTAATCGCTTTTCGTTTGGCTCGTTCCTCACGGGATGGATTCTCGCATGGATATTGAAGACCCATGGGGCTCAGAGTAATTAGTCTGCAACAAAGCATCTCTCAAAAGACCGACAGATAGGACTGACCATATAGCTGAGAATCAATTGACGATCTCTAATTTATTTCTTTTCTGAAATATCAAATTGGCAATATTCAGTGACAAATACAAACTGGCCTATGTAGGGGCAGAGGGGATGTTGGAAGGGGTCCAGAAAACCACTGGTTGATTGAAATTGCGCAGTTTTAAGCAACCAATGATTTTCTGGGCCCTTTCTAACATCTCCTCTGCCCCTACGTAGGCCAGTTTGTATTTGTCACTGAATATTGAAATATGTTGGTGTATACACCAACACATTTTCAGACAATCAATTAATACTATGAAGGGAATATAGTTGTGTCATATAATCCTTTCTAACCCTCGTAACAGAGCGAACAACAGTCTTAGTTCAGTTCAGTTCAACTATCCCTCATTCAGGCCACTCCCGTAGCAATTAATATTATCACAATGTTCAAGTTAACTGCTGATTGTTCCGTTAAATATGTTTTTTTGTGTATGCGTTTCGAAAGCCACTAAGACATCAGAAAAATATAAGCATTAACCAACAACGCTGATCGAAACTTACCGACGTCAGATTATTAAGGTGCTTCTAAATCAATATTTTACCAGATACAGTGTTCTCCCTATCAGTAACCGGTAAATTTTTTCTCTTGAAGCAAAACTTCTTACCACCTACAACCGCTTGAAGGTTTACTAAAATTAAATACGCTGTTTTAAAAAATACGCAAGTTGTGATCCGATCCGATCCTCACACTGGAAAATGGATTAAATAAGGAAAAACAAAAAGTATATAGAGCTAGCTATTATCTTTGAGGTTTTTTAATTGCTGACTGGTACCTTTCAAAGCACTGCAGGCTAGCAATTTTTTCCTGGGCTTCTGTCATAATTCTAGGCTTTCTCGACTTCGACGCTCTCGCGACCTTCGTGCTGAACTTTCCTTTCCGAGAGGAAAGTTCAGCACTTTATGATTTGGCACGCCACATGCCAATACAGCCCTCCTATTTTTAAGTTCTATCTAAAACTTATCCCTGAATAGCCCTAACTAACTAGTACTTAACTGGCAAATATTGTACAAGAGGTCAAACGTTTCAGGCATTTTCCCCTTAATTTATAAGGATTTTACAGTTACTGTGAAGAAAAAATACGGACATATAGAAATTTTATATACTGTTTATTAAAGTGTTTATTAAAATGTGACTATGGAGCGTTTTTACATGACATCAAGGCGGCCATGGTGTTCCAAAACAATACAACGGCGGCTATGTTGGTGTCCCAAACCCAATCTCGTCACCAGAGCCCTAGCTTCCGCGTTATGGCATGCGCAATCCTGTGGAAGTTAAACTCGGTGTTTCATATGTAAACGCTTTCTTTTGCACAGATGCCGGCCACGAGAGTAAAAACGCTGTCTTTCTCCTTTTTTCTCGGAATACAGAGCCTCTTGTCGTTGAAAATGATTCATGCCAGGCCAAGAGTGGTTGACAAATTGTGACAGCAAGTTTGCAGTCTCGATTTCATAACACTGAAAACTTTTTTTAGGTATTTTTTTCCGTTTGACCACTCCTATTACTCAGATTTACCATTGAAACTGCTTTCTTGACCCATCACCGTGCTTTAATGAACTCATCTTCTCATGTTTTAAGACTGAGCTACGTCCACAAACAAAAATCGGTTGTTTATATTCACAATAAATGAAAACAGTAAATTAGCAATGTCAGCAATCTCGTGCTCACTTGAATCTCTGAACATTGAAGCAGTATCGCAAATTTTTACACTCACAACGACAAAGAATGATGTTACAGACAGGGGCGGTCGACATGTCTTCGTAGCGCTGGCGAATACAGGGGAAAACCGAAAATTTTGTATAAAAAGGACAATTACATGTAGTTTTCCAACATAAGAGATTTAACGTATGTAGACCATAAGATTTACGTTGAAATATTGCTGAATCCTCCTCAATTCTGTACTTCATATTGTAAATTTCTTATGTAGATTGACATTTTCCAATAGAGCTGAATGATTTGCCCTTAATATTTTGATATCAGCTGTCTGCTCTAAACTGTCCGACGCTGGCTATTTCACAGTATTTAAATGATGAATAGCAATCATTCAAACCCGGAAAATTTCGCCCAGCAGGTTCAGTTTTTAAGCAATGACTAATAAGCAGTTGAATTAACTTGCTGAAGAGAATTTGCTCGAACAACAATGCAAGAAGATTTCAACTCCTTACACTACAATTGACGTTCCCTTTTTCTAAGTGTAGATTAGCCCAAGATATGTTTGTAATGTTTGAAAGTCTATTATCAAGTTTACCCAGAGTAACTAAACACTTGTATTGGATAAAGGTCAAACTTAGTTCACGAACGTTGCTGGAAACGTTAAACAAACGTGAAAGATTATTGCGGGATCATCAAAGTTTCTTTTCAACTAATTTGTGGTGTTTCTCCATTCCTTATCATGGGGAAAAGTTTATTTCTGGCTTCAGAGAAACGTTTGATTAACGGAGTTATATCAGCCTAAACAGCCAGTACTCCTGGAGAACCTCTTCTGGGGCTTTAAACACAATATCTAATAGTTTGGAAGTGTTATTTTTAATGTATATGTAACAAGGCAAAGGTAACAAGCTCAATACTCTCAGTCTCGCACTTCACTACGAATAGTAGTCAGGAAAATCGATGAATATCAATTTGGGTGGCCTGTTAGAGTGAACCTTATCATAACTACCGTTTAGATCTTATGTTGCATTTCAAGAACCTAATATATTCCTCGCCAAACGACTGTCTCCTATTTAAAGGCGTCCAAAATCGCGCCTTGTAACAGACAAGACGGCCAGGACTCAAATAATGTGTAATCTTTATCCTTCACCACTTAAAAACCCCATTTACACGTGCTAAAAAATCAGCACGGCACGTCGAATTTTTGGCACCGTGCCTCGTTTACCCGTGCCGAGACTACCTCCCGGCGGTAGTCCCGGCACCCCTAAAATTTTGAGCACTGTGCCAAACATTTGGCGTGCCGTGCCGATTTTTTTGCTCGTGTAAATGGGGTTTAAATTGTGTTTTAATTTCATTGAACGAAGCTTTAAATTCTGCGCATTCTGCTAATAGTAGCCTACTTTAATCCTGACTTTTGAAAATGGTTTTGGACATTTTAAAAAAAAACACTTTTTTCGACAACGGAGTTTTTTTAAAAACGCATCCGTTTATGGATGGGTAAAAACAGATTCCCAGAACAAATACAGAGGAGGCCATTTATTCCTTTCTAGACAAAAATTGTTCATGGAAAGACTGACGAGTCAACGAAGCTGGCTTGTGTAAACGAAGAAAAGGACACTGATGTACAGAACTTTCCACAAAATTTGGAATTAGTACTAAGCAAAACGAACAAACGCAAAACGTAAACTAAGCTTTCTAAAACTCATCGTATTTAAAAAATGCAAAACGTAAATTAAGCTTTCTAAACATATCGTATTTGAGCAAGGAGTAACAGCTTTTGTTCCATATTTACACCGTAATTTTAAGGGAGTTATTATAACTCCAAAAATGGAGTAAAAGTCTTAGGTACAGGATAACCCCTTTTTTGAGGTTATTTTAACTCCTGATTTAACTCCGAATTTGGGGTCATTTTTACTCCTAAAAAAGGGTTCTTTTTACTTCCAGTCTGGAGTTAAAATAGCTCCGAAGTGGGGTTACTTTTACTCCTTACATGGGTTGTTTTTACTCCTTTTGGAGTTAATTTAACTCTGAAAGTGGAGTAAAAATTTTAGGTAAAGGATAACTCCTTTTGGGGGGTTATTTTGACTCCTCAATATCTGGGGTCAGGATAACTCCTTTTTGGGTTTTTTTTTTAACTCCTCAATATCTGGGGTCACTTTTACTCCTTTTTGGAGTTAAAATAAATCCCCAAAAAATAACTCCACTGTAAGGAGTTAAATTAGGCCTACTAGAGGAGTTATTATAACTCCTTGAAAATTACTGTGTACCGAGGAAAAATAGTCGTTTCGTGGGATGGGGAAGGTGATTGCCCTCATGGTCTTCGGAACCGCATACCTACTAAAATACCACACTCGGTATTCAACGATGAGATCAAAGCAAGTGTTCAGTTAAACCACCAAAGCTCTCTACAATCACTACTAAGTTTGCATGATTGTTAATTAACCATGCGTTAATTTTCCATTGTAATTAGCCTGCGAAAGCATCCGTTTCTCCTTCGCTCTTCGCCGCTGGGGACGTTTTCCAGCGGCGAAGAGCGAAGGAGAAACGGATGCTTTCGCAGGCTACATTGTAATATGTCTTGCCAATAAACACTATTAAAACAGCAATTTTCAATTCTGATCAGAGGCTTACTGGCTTGCCGCTCCTATCAAAACTCGCCGACACTCTCAAAAAACGGATGTGACTTACACATTATAGTACTTTTAACCTCGACCACATCTTTCGGATACTCATAAAACACCGCTTTTTGCATTTAATTCTACTACAACTGTCTACTATTAACAATCGTTACAGTCATGTCGGCCCCTCTCCTAGAACAATATCGCCGCTCCATAAAAAAGGAACTTTGTTATCTTGGAGGGGAAGGGGGGAGGGGGTGGGGTGTGAATTTGAAGAAAATAGTTTTTGAAAATAAAGATATAAGAGGTCTCCGAACGTTTTAATAATGATCTTAACTTCACTAGAGACGCGCCCGCGCGTGAAATGTCGACTTAAAAAGATGATCCACCAGAAAGAGCCTCAAGCCTTGAATAGCTCGCAATTTTGCTTGGCCTTCAGTATAGCATTACATCGTTGTTCTAAGCGCACATAGTTAAGCCTCTTGCAAAAAACAATCAAAGGCGTTTCCTGTATAGTAACCCATAACCGTATGTACCATCATGATTTCTTCTGATGGTCGACTTTTAAGGTTGCTTCCTGATGCGTTTATGCCCTCTGGCTCTGTTTTCGTACATCTTGGACATTCCTATTAATTTGACCACTTCCAATACACCTCAATTCAAAAAGCGGATTTAAAACTGACCATTTGCAAAAGCGGATTACAACATCCAAAAAAGGAGCTTAAATATCGACTTATAATGTTTACATTGGAAGGTTTTCTGGATTGGCAAGAGGGTCTTCATGTTTTAATATCATTATGCGGCGACTCGATGTCCAAGAATTTCGTACAGCACCGTAGATCGGAGGGTTCCGTGTGTTAACTTCCTTTTACTTACTTTTGCCTAGGAACGACCGGAGAATAACATCGTAGCGTTGTAACTCCTTACGGTCGGCCGAAAAGAGATAAAATAAAGCGTGCTTCATGGGCGTTAGAGGTTTGAGTTTAGTGCACTAACACTGGTTTTTCTTAACGGCTTATCCGTCCGATAGCGATTTATCCTATATTGTAGATTCTGTAGATAGCATCCTCCTAGCGGGAAGTTTAGGGAAGAGGGGGGGGGGGGACAGGGAAGCACCAATGATTTCTTTACGTTTGATTGCCCCGTTATTGTTGTTGTTTATATAATATTGCTGTTGAGCAAAGGCCCTTTACCAAGTGTGTATTTCTGTCTTGAACTAAATAGGAATAAGGGCTATCTAGAGGACAAGGGTGTTCACAAGAAAAATATAACTGAGGTTTCCCGCCTACTTCCACGTCATCTCTTTACCGTGGTGTTATCCTTTGATGTTTTTGTTGGAACTGGGGTAGCTTTTTTCTTTCGTTCTTTCCTTTCTCTTTGTCCTCCTAAAAGCATTTAATCTGCACTACTTGTATTGTTCCACTGTTATTAAATTATTTAATCTTCTCTGGTATATTTGGTTTGAGAATTCGATATGTAGCATGAGATGTTTAAAGGTTAAATGTTGGTCCAGGGGACGCTTTAATTTAACAAATAACTTCACCATCGCATCACCAGCAGTTGGCCGATATACCCTGGTTTGTTTATGTCGGAATATCTCATAATTTCCCTTTTTAAAAAACTAATAAAAATTCCATATCCCTCTGTAAAACGTGGAAAACAAAGTACCATTTGAAAGAAATGCTAAAGAGGTCACAAATTATCCGAAATGGCCACAGCATCGGGTTTCTTCCACGGACGATCAAGTAAGGTAACAGCCAAAGATCAGAGTCGTGTAATCCAAGTTTTTACCCACATTATTTTATGACTCATCTGCGGTACACTCGTCGATGTGGCTCAAACTAACATCTGAACAACAAGAAAACTGATCGAAAAGGACACCAATCAAAGTGAAAAAAAAGACCTTAATCAATGGGTTTTGGCTGATAGTAGTTCCAAATAACTCAAACAAACTTTCATGCACAGTTTTGCTTTCGTTTCAGCTGGTCTAAACTGACGAACTTGCACGGAAACGCTTGATGCGCAGGCCATCCGGCTATTTCTTTCCTACCCTTGTTCCTATGGATCCTGAGCTAACGACAGCTAACTTTTTTTTTAGCTTTTGCAACACTGTACATTGTATGGTCATGCAAATAAAGCTCGTTGTTGTTTTCGTATGTGCCGACTCTGTTGGTAGCCCCGGGCCGGTAGACCTGGCCAATATTACAGAAACGTCACTTAAATTTTCAGTTGGTTACGTAAAAAAGAATCTTAGAGACTGTTTGCAGTTTTCTTGATGGTTACAAGAACACATCCCCTGGTGTGTAATCCAAAGAATATGAACCCGATAATCACATCTACACGCGGACTATCACATGATAATTATACATTTTCTAAGCGGAAGACAGTCGTACAAGTAATCAATTATTCATCCCCACTCATTGAGACTTTTATCTCGGTTCCAGTGCGTATTTTCTCCCTAAATAAGTAATTTTACTTAGTACAAGTTTTATTTTGCTTGAAATACAGGACAAATACTAAACAAGCCGATTTTGGGCCAAAAAAACGGTACAGTCTGGGATGACTGCTAACGCGTAACAAGTATCGGAGATGGCCCACTTCAGTTTGTTGAGTTTGTAAACTACAAGATATATTCTAAACTTCGCGAGATAAATGGAAATACGTTTTACATGTGATTGCACGTTAAGATATAAACATTAAACGGTTGTTTTCTTACCTTCGCTTGAGTGCGTGACAAACAGCTAAAATCTTTATAGCCGTCATAATCTTTGCCAAGGTTGAGAGTATGCCCGTCGTCTCGCGGCTAGTAAAATTACCAGAATTCCTCCCAAATGCTTGTTCTGTAACTCTTAAAATTCTCCAACAAATAATGGCTGTCTCATTCAGCAAGATCCCTCAGCTCCTATATTTCCATGTCAAAGAATGTACCTCTCAGGTCAAACACTAAATTAGTCAACTAAGCGTATCCCGGAAATAGGATCTACTGCTTTGTCTTGGTTGGTTGAAGTTTTAATGGATATCAGTTTCTTGAAAAGATTATCCTGAAAACGTCAATCATAAGAAACAGATCTTGTTGCCGTGAAGCATGTTCCCTTTCGAGACACCCATACCGCCTTTGTTCCTGGCGGAAGAACAAAACCAGCGGAAATGACTAATGCATTGGGAATGATCTTATCGACCACGAAACTGGCTTTTTAGATGTTTCTCGAATAAAAACTGTAGCAGTATACCTGAGTATACGTTAATAACCGCTCGTTTCTTGACAAGAAATAGCCTCTTCAATTAAGCGGGTTTACAGGTAACGAGAAGCTGAAGGAATCAAACTCAGAACTGAGATCGGTAACTTTTTGTCCCAAAAATTTCTTGAAATTGAAATCATGGTACGCTGAACTAAAAATAACACACAGTATACACAAAAGTAGTATATGGCTCATATATAAGAAATGGGGTACTCCAAGACCAAAAGCAAGGGTGCGCGCGCGAGGTTAGGAGGTGCCCCCGGCTAGTGCACACTTGTGCCACCCTCTAGCCTACGGAGTCCTCATCTTCCCCTCCACAGTTACTTGCGCCCTCCCAAACTACAATCATGGTCAATTCCTTGGGACATTAATGCAGTATTCATAATTTTCTGTAATTTCCGGGTTCCCTCACAAAATAGTGCATCCCTTTCGAAAATTTTCCGTCATTTTCCCCTCCCCACCTTGTGGAAAGTTGAAACTCGGAAAAAATGCTGGATGCACGTGTAACGTTGTTTGTGGGTAAGGGGTGTAAATTGGAAAACTCCCAAGAAATGCAAAACAACAACAACAACAACAAGTTATTTTTTTTCTACTGTAGACTAAAAGAATTTACAAGAAGTAATAATTAGTAGAGGTAATAGCATGATTTGCAATGATATTTGGCATAAATACCACGAGTGATATTTCAAAATTGCTATACGTAATTTCACGAGCCGTTAGGCGAGTGAAATTTGAGACAATTTTGAAAGATCACGAGTAGTATTTATGCCAAATATCACGTACAAATCATGCTATTATTTGTTTATACTATTACCAGCAAAAGGTTTGTAATTTTCACATGTAGGTATTTCAAATTAAGCCGAAATACCACTGCTCCAAGCCAATCAAACTGCAGAAATTTGTCATGTAGTAGCATAAAGAACATTACATACAGTAGTCGAACATCCAAAAAAGCTAAACTAGTTGGGTGACCACGAAATGTGTGAAAAGACTGGAAAGAGGCATAACAAATACAGGGGCACCCAATGTATCTGTTCCTTAAACTATGCGTTCTTCAGGCAAAATTTTGCTGGCTAGGAGCTGTGGAAGAAACAATATTTCCCTCGAAGGCAAGTGCCGCCGGGAAAAAGACAATTCAGGGTGTCTGAGGGGATTTGGTTTGTAGAATAGGTGCTACTAAAGTCATTTGTCAGAAACCTCTCCCCCCTCACCCCCTTGGGCCACACCCATTTTCTTCCCCCCCCCAACCAGGCTCCCTGGACGTCTGCTGGGAAACTTCACAGTAAGTCCGGTTGCAGGTTGGACTGAGGTGCACCTTGCTGGCTGGGAACTCTTCCACCAGTCTTGCTGGGAGTCAGGAACAGATAAATTTTTTTCCTAATACATGTCCCAAAAAGTGTCACAAGACTTTTGTCCATGATTGTAGGTCAAACTAGTGTCTACTGACTAACGTAAGTAATTGTGTGTGCGATATCTTAACCCCAAAACTCACTTCGACTTCTTCGGTCAGCCGAAGAAGTCGAAGTGAGTTTTGGGGTTGAGATATGGCTAGAGTAAGATTGAGGTATTAGGATATATGACAGATATATGGGAGAGGTATAAGGATATATGAAAGAGGTATATAGACTAAAGTGGTTTGGGGCATCGAATACCATATACAGTTATAAATTCTAAGTGTCCGGTTAGCAAGTCTGAAAACGAAGAATTACTCTCAGTGCATGAATCCCGGTATAACGAAGAGTCTGATTAAATGCATTTTTTTCTAGCTAATTATGTTCTATTCTATATAAAGGGCCTCAGACACAGCTGAAAAAGAAGTTTTTCTCTATCCCAAGGTAGCTAGGGATGTAGGTACCGTAAATGATCGATAAAGCGCCGCTATTTGAATAATTAAGCGTCGCACCTATAACAGGAAAATGAAATAAGCGCCGGGGCACTTAATCGATCATTTACGGTTATGTATTATCCACGTATTTCATCAATTGAAAGAAGCTGGTACACCATGAGAGAAGACTCGTGTTAAAAGAAAATCAGGGACTGATATCATTTCCTGGTTAAAAAGGAATTAGGTAGTGTACAATAATTATATTTAGCGCTTATTTTATGGCAATACCAGTTTCTATAAATTATGTTGACTGTTAGTAAAGCACTAAGGGCAATGTTGGACAAAAATGTCATTGGATGGTAGATGATGGTGCCGTCAAGTAAAGCCTACCAGGTGTGTCCATAGGGGTGGGTGGGCAAGGGGTTTATTTTCCTTATTATCAAGTGGTGTAACTTATCTTTCAATCTTATACATGGGTGTATCAGTTTCAGAGTTGACAAGAGCACTTTACACGATATCGGCAATGTTGGGCCCACATCGCGTGCTACTCTTGCTGCGGAGTCAGCATCTTTCCGGTGGCAAGCTGAGCCTAATTTTCAGTTGTTCCTTAGCTACTCCTAACAGTTTGCTCATTCCGAGTCACGTGCACAGATGGATCATTTTATTACATGCATGTAATCCATTTTGCTGGTTTCATGGCATAATGAAACGGCCACTGCCATTCTTTTTTAAAAAATAAAGAGTTCGTCAAATCCCCCCGTGACTTGAGCGTCTGCAGCTTCACACTCAGAATAAACTTGAAATATCAAGTGCGGGCGATATTGGACAAAAGCATTTTGAGGATTTTGGAAGGGAAAAACAAAATAAATTTGAAACCGAAACGACAACTCACCGAGATTCCATAACCTGTTGAACTACGTCACTCCGCAGGAGATGTAAAAAAGAAAAGTAAATAAATGTTTAAAAATGCTTTTAAAAGCCACAAAAATGAATTTTTCAAAACTCACCTGTTTAAAAATGTCCTGGTTTCAAAAGAAGCAGGCTCCTAACTGAACATACCAAAAGAAAATGCGATATGGCTCGTTCAAGTTACAGCTAGCTGTCCGCCTTAATTTATAATTCTTCGCCGTTCAGACCACACTGCTGAATAGCCACCTTCGAACGCAGCCGGCCAAGCTGTTATCACTCTTTTCTTTCTAGCAGGTGCTCTGTTTTTCAACGAATCACGGCTATGCAGTGGATAATCATATCAAATGACATTTATTTGGCACAATAATTTTTTTTTCTTCTTTGCCATGAGGGACGGACTATTATTTTTTGACGGGGGCGGTTGGGGGGGGGGGTTGGAAAATTTTGAAATAAATTGTTTGCAGAGGCTGTAAACACTGAAATAAATTGTATGCATTTAAAAAAAGTGTTTGCAGGAAGACGGAGACACACAAAAAAATTGTTTGCAGCAGCCAGCCGCTTATGAAAAAAAATGTTTGCATGTTAAAATTTTCCAACCCCCACCCCCCCTCCGGACAAAAAAATAATGGTCCGTCCGTTATTAGTTCTGTGCCATTTGGAGACCCAAAAAATTTTATCTATCGATTGGGCATCCTTTACATGATGGCAAAAAAATTGGTGAAGAAGAGCTTTCCTTTCAACATATTGTAAAGAATTGAGTTTTGTTCGCTTCCTCCCAAAGGCCATTAAATAAAATTGTTGTTACTATGGAAGCGCGGCAGTGTGTAAACAAACGTTTCGAGGACGCAGTTAAGTGAAAGTGACTGATGATCAGTAAATCGGGTCTTTTGCAAAGGTTCTTCACGTGACCAACTTTCTGTAAACACGAAAATAGTTACCTATTGGAAAATTTTGTGCGCAGGAACTGGAAGAGCATTTTAAAAGTAAATAACCAGTAAATTTTAAAACGAAAATTAGAGGGATTTGTAAGAGAAAACTACTCTTGCCACCCAGTCACGCTTGAATGGTTTTCCATACAAAAAATTGAAATTTTCAAACTGTCTCTAAATCTTTCTCAAATTGCCTGTTATGAATAAAAAGGAGATTGGAGTCCCGTAATGCTTTTTTTATATTTTACGACAGTTTGAAAATTTCGCACTTTACAAGGATTTCTATGGAAAACCAAAATTTTACAGGATACCAGGGTTATGGGCTCCTGAGGATACCTAATTTTGATATGCTCTTCTAGTTCTTGTCAACAAAATTTTCAAAACCGAACTGTTTTCAAGTTGATCACGTGATCAGCTGTCCCTCCAGTTAGCAGCTTAGCGGCCTCGCACAATACCAAATGCAAGGGAGGCTCGGCTACCAAGTTTGTCGCTAGGGACGCATTTCAAAATGGCGTCTGGAAATCCCTTACTGACTTTAGAACGGATGCTAAATGGCAGGACTACATTAAAAACTCAAAAACTAACCCACAACAATATCATATGTAAGTGAAGATTATATTTTCTTTGTATTTTTCTTTATAAATTGCCATATTATTGACGAAGAGAGTTTAACAGAACGTTTTGAAGATGATCATCATGAAGTGAATTCTAGAACAACAGAACGACTGATCAATCCACTTGCACTGTATGTGATCTGTGACAGTGGTGTAGCTGCCTTTAAGCCATCATGCCCGGAATTTGAGCAAAAATAGGTGTAGGTTATCACGTGTTCTTAAAATGATTTTCTCGATCGAACTAAAATATTGACAAGGGCAATTCTAGAAGCAAGAGTCTTGCAACACCTTTTACTCTTCGCACAGAGCAACTTACTTTTTCCATTCTGAATCTCTACCCAACGTTGTTCTGTTGTGTCACTGTTTTGCTGTCTATGAGCAGTTCCCAGACCCCCTTGCTTAGATTAAAAGTTTCATGAAAAATTGTCAGAGGTGCTTGTGAAGCCACAGCTTGCGAAGCCAAAGATCATCATTAAGTGCCACAAAGAGGGTAAAAACGTACATGCGATCCTCGATGTCAACAGATCGACTACCGTGTGGCACAAAATTTTTTTGGGTTCTAATTTTTGCGATTTTTGCAGTTTTTCCAGTGATCCACAAAAAGAAGTTCCCGCAAATAAAAATTACTGCAAACATTTTTCCCGCAAAAATTTACTCCAGAGTAAAATATTCTCTAACTTAAATTTGCTACACAAAAATACAGTGGTAAGAAATCGTGCCTGTTCGATCACGACTTGTCTCTTTCATTCAGAAATGACGACATTTAACAATTATTCGCCGAAGGCGAAGTTAATATTGTTGAATAATCCCCGAGACGAAGTCGAGGGGATTATTCAACAATATTAACTGAGCCTGAGGTGAATAATTGTTTTAGTATATTCACACGAAGTGATCTCAACAGAATCAGAAAGGAAACCATTAAAAAACGATTAGTTTGATTGACGGGTGAAAATTCATGCGTGAACACGAAGCCGTAAACAGTGGATGCGCAAAAGTTAGATCTTTACAGTATCTTCAAACATGGCAAATGATAGTTTTAATCCTTTTGTATCGAGTTTTGTAAGCTTTAGCATCAACGGTTTAAAAGAAAACGCCGAAAATTTAAATTACTACCCAATTCTGAGAAGAAAAGTATCTAGAGCTTTATTTGTTTCTGTCAACTCACCGTGAATGAGAAAGTTTTCTTCTTAAAGCTTCTTACAAATGCTGTCAACAGCGGCTGCGATCAAGGTGAGCATTGTTTATCTCAAAGTTCTTTGCCTTGTTAACTTGCTGACACGTACAATTTTCGAAAATATTTGCCTTCCTCTCTTCTCCATAAATTAACTTCTATTTATAGGCAAAATTGGTCTTGCGAGAAATCCCGAAATCACAAAACAGTGACAAAGCGACCTCGTTTTCCTCTGTAGAGGTAAACATAGCTTCGAAATGTACAAAAAAGTCAGCTAAAGTAAACCACTTCACAATAAATCACGCTGTTTAAACACCATGAAGTCTTTTCTTGCCTTCAAAGTCATCAGCACTTGGATATTCCTGTATTTTCAAAAAGGTTTTACTTTGAAACTTTGGCAAAACACCCAGTTCACGACAGTGATTTTGTTCGGCTTTATATTCACCGCCTAGCGCGGTGAATATAACGTCATAGTCCGAGATAGCTAACCAATCAGATTGCTTGAATTACCAAGATCACTGAGTGTGTATATACTAAACTGGTATATTACTTGAAAATATGTATATTTTCTATTTCACGTACTCAGTAAAAATGAAAATATTATCAATGCTGGGTACTGGGTACTTTCTGAAAATCGCAAAAATTAATTCCTAGCAAGAAAAACCAATCTGTCCTAATCGCAAAAATCACAAAAGTCGCTAATCCGCAAAAATAAACTCCATCAAAAATTTTGTGCCACACAGTATCATCCTTAGACTTCTTGTATGCATATAAAGAGATACCCAGTGACTCGCTGGAAAGAGTCGTCAGTGATTTTCTTACAAAAAAAAGCCGTGAAGACTTGCATTTTATTGACAAGTGGTAAATAATAAATACTGATCAAACTTTCATTTCAAGTACTCATCATGGCATTATTTTTCGGACATGTCGGAAAAGCGGACTCGTTCAGACTGTTTTTCCCTTTTTCTGCTAATGTTCTAAGAATGTGCACTTTTAAAGGGTCAACAACAGATTTTGCAAGTTTATATTTACGTTAGACATTGGCAAAAAAACAAATACCAGAAACAATAATGTTTTCAATAAAGAGAAACCTATTTGTCGAAGCGTTTTATCAGTATGCCTAATAGTTTTGTTCTTTAGAAGTCTGGATTGCATTTTTTATTCTTAATATTATCAAAATTCTTCATTATGTTGTGCACGCTGTGCTGTTCGTTTGTTAATTAGTTTGTGCCTTATAAACGTGTCAAACAAAATCATCATCATCATCATCATTATCATCATTGACCTCCTGGGTTTAAACCAAAAAATGCCTCGCCATGCCTGTGTGTGAAACATCTTTAAATCATAAATTCATATTGTGTAAACTTCTAGGCATTGGAACAGAACTTCTTAATGAAATTCAGGAAGTCATGAGGGAAGATAAAGAGAAAGCAGTCAGGGAGGCTGTAAGTAAAACAATTGAAGTAATACATGAGTTATGTAATTTGCCAGGTTTAGTCTAAAATTATCTAGTTAGCTGTTTTCTCGCCTAAACCTCGCCCAAGGGACAAGAAACCAGTTAACACACAACAATACGTCATTAAAAAATATAATTATCATAATCATGATCATCAAATCATGCATGTTTTCCAGGTAGGAAGTGTTGGTATTTGCCATGACATTTTGGTTAATTTTTGGGGGTTACGGGTATAAAAAGTACAATCAGTCAAGTTGGTCAGTCAATTTATCAGCAAGAAGAAAAAGTTATGAGAATTTTCAAAATGATCACTAAATGGAAAATGCTTTGATTCTTTTATCAAATTCTCCTAACTACAATCTTGGACAAAACTGTTGAGAAAATTGTATACTTGGACAGCATTTTTCTAAACATCGTAGTTGTACCGGTTCGTCCCTCTCCCCCTTCCCCTGAAAGCAATGTTGTTGTGTATTCAAAAGAAAGCCTGCCCTGGGCGTTTGTGGGAAGCAACATTGAATTGGGGGAAGGGGTTTTCTTTCCACAAAGGCGTCATTTTGGAAATAGTTTTGTTGCATAGGAGAGTGGACATGATGGAGAAAACTTTCTCAAGTAGTTTTGTCCAGGATTGTAGTTCCTCAAGAAAGTGTATGGAGATCAGTCAGGAGAATTTTTGTTAGGATTTTGGGGCTGCAAGGCTCATATTCAACCTAGATGAACTGGTACCAAGGAAAAGTTTCAATTATACGTGAATATCTTGCCATGTTGGGAACCAACTAATCAGATAAAATGTCTAACAATGCAGTCTTTCAAAGCAACTGGTCAGAAAGCCTACTACATGAAAGTCAACCTTTAGATAATAGGCTGGATTTGAAAAGTTGGTTACGTTGTAACTTTATCTTCTCTTTAGCTATATGCACATACTCAGTTGGGGTTGGTGGCAGAAGAGACCAATTTTATTATTTATTATTGTCGAATACAGGTTGCTGCAGCTGAAGCAACAGCAGAGGCAGAGTTGAGGCAGTCTCTGAAAGAGTTGAGGGAAAAAATGGACGATGAGAGGGAACAAGCTCTGGAAGAAGCAGGACTGGTAAACAAATTTTCTCAGTTCATTGCTTTTCCCAGAATTTAAATTTGGTGCAAACACTTTTATTTCATCCAAAGGCAAGAGAACATACAAGTCCCAAGAGGCCACCATCTCTTGAAAGAGCATGACCACGTCTTACACTGAGTAATGTTTAGTGTTGCAAAAAATGTTGTTTTGCATTGCATAATTTCTTTCCCGCACAAATCAGGCAAAAGGTTACCCATAATTTTCAATGTCTCTGAAACTAGATCATCAGTTATCATCATTCGCCATTTCATTTCCAGAGAAATTTAAGGAGACATACTGGTATTATCTAATAAAAACCTTTGAGTCTCTGAACAAGATTCTGTAATGAGAAAAACCTCTTTACCCACTTAAGCAAAAACCTCGTTAGCACTACTTTTACATGGTTCTATGTTTTGTATTTAGTATGTACAGTGGAACCTGGTTGATACGGACACCAAGGGCACATGTCATAGTGACTGTATTATCGGGGTGTTGGTATATATCAACGGGGCTCTCAGAAAAAAACTTCTCGGACACAGGGCTGTGGCTTGGTTGTTTCGGGTTGTAGGGTATCTGCAATTAGTAGGAGGGGAATTGTACAGCAAGGAAGTTCTTCTATTTTCCTTTTGGTTTCTTTAAAAGTAGCTGGGGCTCGTGCTCAAAGCAGCCAAGGAAAATCCCCGGCCCCCGGCTCTTAGTGACAGTCCTGCGGACACATGTTTTAATAATCTTAAGACTAAAGCAGACATTTTTACGAGGAACTTAAGCAAGTTCATCCTAAAGAAACTTCATAAGCGTTTATCATCATATCCTTTCAAGCGGGGAAATACAACATTTGATTACTTTGTACTGACACGTTTAGTTTGCGACTTAGCTAGGTGTTCTGAGCATTACACAAAACTTTTAAAACCTAGGATAATTGGCTGTTTCTTCCCATGTCCTTAAAGTGAATGAGAGAGTATGTGACTCGGGACATAGAAAAGTGTCCGGTGTCTGTATTAACCAGTGTGTGTTTAAAGCGGGTTAATTTTAGGGAAAATGTATGAGCTTTTTGTTGGGCCAAACAAAACTATCTGTTTTATATGGGTGCTAGTATTAAGTGGGTGTCTGTAAAGTGGGGTTCCACTGTAGTTGTAAGGTTTGATTCTGTGCATTGAGTGCTACGGTTGGATGTACATGCACTACTGTAAAGTATGAGGTGAAGACAACTAAAGTGCTTCACACAACTAACTTTATAAGTCTATCTTTTCAATGCTTTTTACAATGATATATATATATATATATAATAGTTGTTTAACCATATGATTATGGTTAAGGTAGGCTGTCCAATGATTATTATTCATGTTATACTACTACATGCAAAATTTCTGCAATCTGATTGGCTTAGAGCAGTGGTATTTCAGCTTAATTTGAAATACCTACATGTGAAAATTACAAACCTTTTGCGGGTAGTAGTATAAACAAATAATAGCATGATTTGTACGTGGCATTTGGCATAAATACCACTCGTGATATTTCAAAATTGTCTCAAATTTCACTCGCCTAACGGCTCGTGAAATTATGTAAAACAATTTCGAAATATCACTCGTGGTATTTATGCCAAATATCACTACAAATCATGCTATTACCTATTCTAATTGCTGAGAGATTTCTACTGAAACAATACGCTGCAAGCAGAGGCTACATTTTCGCGGTTTGAGCTGGCGTGCGAAAAGTAGCCAGGCTCATACCACGAAAATGTAGCCTCTGCTCGCAGGGTACTGAAACAACAAGTCTAGAAACAAACAATAGAAACAAAAAAAATAGTTTGACCATTCAAATGAGATCTCTTTGGGGATTATTTTTTCCAATGGTACTATATAGTCATTGAAAACATTGTTCTCAAAACACTTCGACTTTGGACCGAGAGGTACTTCAATATATGAGCTAGATTACTGATAGGTTTTTGCCGCCCAGTAGGGTATGGGTTTTGAGGGTCTCTGTCCTTAAATAGGCTATTATTGTTGCCCTTTTTTGGCGTTGTGTTTTCAGTATGATCCTAAGATAGGGTACTGTTGTCATATCAGCTAAAATTTAAGTGCATAAATGCCCAGTAGCAGGGGAAACAAATCATTTGTTAATACTGAACTTTACCTTAGAGTGTCAGGAAAGCGATGTTTGGAGGATTTTTGTGTTTCCATTAAATTTTAGTTTTTCTTTTTCCCTTGAATTGGGTCTCATTTTTTAGGTCTGGGCCTTAAATGGGGTATCAGGTTTCGTTTGTCTCATCCTTAAATAGCGTAAAGGTTTAAGACCCTGGGGGCCGTTTCTCGAAAGTCCCGGTAACTCCGGCGCGAAATCGAATATTCAAATCGAGATATAAAGAATAAATGCGCGGGTCCTGGCTTGCAAACTACTCCATTTTGTTTCATTAACTGATAGTTTTATCATGTTAGATGCAAAACTATTGAAACCTCGATCTTTAATGTAAACGGGGTCAGCTTACCGGGCCCGTTAATTATCGGGACTTTCGAGAAACGGGCCCTTGGTCCTGGTTGGAACACACCCATCCGAAATTTATTGGAATCCTCCCTGGGAATTGGACAACGTTTGGGAGTTTAACGGTCTGAGCTTTTTTTTATTATTATTATTTCTCAAGCGAGCTGAAGAGCAAATGGCAGAAATCCAGTATAGATGCGAGGTTGCAGAGAAGAAACGTGCTCGCTCAGCCTTTGAGCGATTCCAAGAGGAAGAGCGTACAGCCCTGGAAAAAGCAGCTTACGAAGCAGAAAAGAGAAAGCAGGAAGAGATGAGAGCGCTTACAGAAAACCTCACCAAAAAGCTCAGAAATGAAGCAGCTTTACAGAGAGAAATCGCCCTTGGTGAAGCATTGGCTGTTGCAAGGGTAATGACAAAGTAACATTCAGATTTTTTATGTAGGTGGAAATATCACCCCAAAAGTGCCCTCTCATTGGTTACTTCGAGGTCACATGACATCTAATAATGAAATGTTTCCCGCCAAAAGCCTCTGAGCTGGCAATATTCTCATAACCCACGAATGTTTAACGCTCGTTTAGATCTACTTTGATAAACTTGTATGTGGTGAACTTTTTCTTCGTGCGCTATATCCCAATATGTAACAAATCACTTAATGAAGCTGTGGTCTCCTGAAACTAGTTAATTTTGTTTCCCGAGGCGAGAGCCTCGGGAAAGAAAAATGAACTGTTTCCCTCGGAAACGCGTGCGAGAAATTCACGAGCGAAATAGGCTTGTCTTCGTTCTTATTGGTGGAGATTTTTAGCCAATCACAAGGCAAATCACTTGAAAACGAGAAAGTTGTGAAATTACCCGCTCTATATTAAGTCTTAGATGTCTGAAAACAGACCTTTTGTTTCGTACATTTTGGTCTTGAACTGATCATTGCAAAGACTATGAGTGACTCTGCAGTGCACACATGATTGTTTGAAATATAAAGGAAATGTTTGAAAACCACCTAACATACTTTACAAAGCAATCAAAAAGCCCTTTGGTCGAGGCTCACTTCTTGTTTAACTTTGCTCACAGTGAAATAGAAAAAGCGGACATAGCACTGACATTATCCATTAGTTACATATTAGGGCCATTTATACGAGGAAAAATAAGACGCGTCTTACGTAAGACGCGAACTTTCCGTATAAACGGCACATTTCGTCTAAAATAAGACGCGGCTTAGCTAAGACGCGTCTTATTAGATAAGACATGCTCGTATAAATGGTACAGTTCGCGTCTTATTTTTCTCGTATAAATGGCCCTATTGTCTCTTGGCTTTCTACAGAAAAATGCCGAAAGGCGTCGACACGAGTCCATAGAAGAAACAAAACGAGAATGCGAGAGACAAGCAGCGGCTGAAGCAGCGAGAGTTGCTGAGATACACAGAAATAAATGTGATGAGTTCAATGAAAGGTAACGACCTGGTACTTTGATGATGCATAAAACGTCATTTGCGTAAAAAGCGAGCTCATGACCGTGGGTTTGTTTACTTTCAGCTATTCTTTTCACCACGGATGGCTCTTTGGCTCTTTGGAAGATTATTTAAGTAAAAATGATCCCGTGTTTGAATGAAAATTGTATCATCCACATGCTTGAATTGCTTTCGTTTAGGTGAGGATAAGGCCTTATAGGGGATACTTCGTGGTCTCTATCATAAGGAGCATGAATCTAATTAGCGCTTGGTTAAGGACATTAAGACGTGAATTGCACAACGTCTTCATTCACAAACGAAAAGAGAATCGACAGGTTCATTTCAAGTAATTTTAGAAAACCCAACGCCGGTAGTAACTTTTTATAAATAGAGACCGTCTTTTAATTATGGTTCTTGTTTCCTTTTTGCAGAATAAACCATCTAACCAAACTGTTACGAAACGAGAACACCGAAAAAGTGCGAGTGGAAGAATCATTTCATGTAAGTTCATATGCTACATTTTCTACGTCCCGTTCTTGACCTTTTGAAGACAAAACAGCAATTTATACAAAAACGGTCTACACCCTCAAAAGCTCTAAGCCCATACACCACTGATTATAAAAAGTTCGCCGCGCTTTAGCGCAACTGGTTGATTGACCTTGTATGACACAGGCTTGGCTATCAAAAAAAGGTCAAAAGCTGGTATAAGGCGGATGTAGGAAGCAACGATACTCTCAAATTTGCCACTAGCCTTGAACGATCTTGAAGGACTGTTGTAATGCGGAACAATTAAGGACAACGTCGTCGCGTGCTGCCCAAACAAAAACGACAATAAAATTTTTGCCGTTACAGTTATCAGCAGTTTCGGCATAGAAACGAGGCAAAGGATTCATTTCGTGTTTTCCAAGTACCCCCTTTGCATGCCTTTTAAACAAGAGAATATTTGACCTCGAGCTCAATTTGAATAACAGCTATTAGCTTTAGACTACAAGAAGTCGTCTCTCTTTTAATTATATGTTTTCTCAAAGACGGTACCTGTAATAGCAAATGGGAGGTGCAAATGGCGCGTCGCTTCTCCTCGCGGGAAGCGATTTCCCACTTCTTTGCGTGTTGCGTTATCTCAACCATCTTTCAGAAAAATATTAAAGAATATGCTTAGTGTGTGTATTAGCTATTAGTTGTTTGCCCTCATATCTAAAAACTTGCATATTTTGTGTGTATGTAGCTTAGACGATTATCAACTGTCCACCTAAACAACTGGGTGAAAAAATATTAACAACATTGCTGCTCGTGGGATGTTTTGAATTCTCATCAAATCTTAATTATAGAGGCAGCGTGACGCCTTATTCGATAATTACTTCGCGCATAAAACTAGTAAATTAACTGTTAATTTAGACACTTGACAGTGTTCCTGTTAATTTTTTGTTGGTCGTATTAGCATGCTTAAAAAGTTTAGAAGTGTTAATTTTCTCCACACTCTGGAAGAAACAGTGTAATATTTTGGCTAGAGTGATGAAAGTATGTCGACTGCTTTATTTTACAAAGAAGGCGATATCGCAAAATTACACCCCTAAAATTTGAAGTGTCAGTTCCCGGATGTCAGGCGGCGTAAATTGAACCATGTGTTTGTCATTGTAAGCATTTCCCGCCATATGATGAATGTGTCCGTTCTTTTTGGCCAATCACTGCAAACGAAAGTGACAGAATCAGCCAATCAGAACTTAACGGAAAAACAAGGAACTTGCGCAAGCGCGGGAAACGCGGAGCCGCCCACATAAGCTTGGCGTAGCCGGATTAGATTCTTTTTTGTTTCTAAAACAAAGCTTATATCTCTAATAAAAGTTAAGCATTTTGGCGAATTAGCTTAGCAAAACCCACCCGAGAAGCTTTTCCCACGTTTTGATATTGTTAATTCCATTTTTCTCTTCCAAGGGCTTCATTTTCTTAATCTGGAGTTGTTTTAAGTTTGCTTAATTTTTATGAAGCATACAGTTTGCTCATAACTTATGAATTAGGTAATCCATTGCTAGACGCTAAAAAGATCACCAATGCATGACTGCAGCGTTTGCGTAGGGAAACACAAGGTCCCATTCGCAGTTCTTTTTTGTCAAATTACTGCCTCTCTGTTTTCAAACTAAGCATATCTGTTATTTTAATTTGTGGTAGATATTCTAAGTATTGCTTAAGGCCGCAAAGACGAAAAATGATGATAATCGATCGTTTTGCGGAAATCTGAAATTATTAAATTAAAGGAAAGCTTTCATCATTTGAGAAAGTGCCCGATGAACCTGTCTACCTTTCTATCACTGTTGTCCGTATTTTAGAAAAAGAGGAATTCTAATAAAGAATTATCTCTCCATCTAGGAAATGAAAGAAGACTACAAGAGATTTCAAGATTATACTAAAGGATTTAATTCTGATTATCTTATGAAATGAAAGCGGTCAGACGATGTCGGAACTTAGAAGGATAAACACTAATTTATTTTTATGAACAAATCGTTTCTGCTTAGGGCTAAATTCCATCGGTTGAGGTTGTTTTGTCGCCGTATATTAAATAAGGAAATTGTATCTCTTGTCAGCTAAGTGGATCGATTTGCAAATTTCAAAGGAAGGCGACAATTTTGTGTTACGGTTTATAATACAAGTGAAAACCACCACATTTCTTTTGGATTTAGTGGTTTTCTTTCGATTAACTCTAGTTTGGGAAGTTATTTATTTGAAACTGTCTTTGCTTCCCTAAAATAAAATTTATAAATGAGGAAAAAGGTATGAATGGCCACAAATAGACAAAACTCAATAAACAATTTTTAACCACTTTTTCATTTTGTTCGTTGACAGGACAGAAACTTAATCTATGGCAGCTTTTAAAGGAACTACCGTAAATCATCTATTAAGCCCCTCGGGGGGCTTATTTTTTTCAAGCACTTTTGAGGGGGTGCTTAATAGAGAGGGGGGGCTTAAAAGAGACGGGGGGGGGGCTTATTTAATTTAGCAAAACGCATCACCTGTAGCAAAAACTAAATACAAGATTTACGGTAATACAAAATTCGGAAAGGGGAAGGGGGTGGGTAGAATGATATTTTCCAAGTCCTTAGGCCTCTTTATTCCACGCAGTAAATGCGTTTCTGGTCACGTGGTCCGTCACCAAAGTAAATTGAGGGACTAGGGAAGTATTGCTTACATCTGTTATGTTGGCAATGGAAAGCGCAAGCATTTAAAGCATTTTTCAAAAAGGTGTTGTAGTCTAGTGGTTTAACACAAGACTGCCAGTCCACCGAACTCAAATAAACGCTCGTAGCAGGTGCCATGCACTTCCAAGTTAAGTCTTAATATCTTAGAATAAGTATCACCCGTGTACATTAGACTGGGACCAGGTTTCTTACCCCCCTCCCCACTCCCAACTTCACGTTTTTTTTTTGTTTTTCCCCCAAACGGAGAGCCTGCTCACATGCTACACTTCAAGAATATAAGAAAAAGGATTTACTCGAAAAGTGAATCAATCGGCTTCCCTTTGCCTTCGTCGTCATTTTGTTTTTTTATTTCCACGTGCGGACGCAGGCGAAAAGAGCCCAATTGCGCCGGAAATCGAAACTTGGGACTGTTCTAAAAATAAAAAGATACGAGCAAAGGTTGACCCAAGGATATTGCCTTCGTCGGTCCTGATGTACCCATTTTTACGAAAGACAATAAAAATATACTTTGTTGCCCCCGCCTCTGTGTAGCAGACTACCCCCCCCACCTTCACAGACTACCCCACCCCCCCACCCACCACCGCAATTTGCATACCTTTTGCTTTCAATCTCAATTGCAAAAAGAACTTTTCGCACGCCTGCTCACACAGCGAAAATGTAGCCTTTGCTCGCAGGGTATTCGTCCCAAGAAACATTGAAGGACGAAGAGGGAGAGGGAGGGGGTACTGGTGCGCTCATGACTGAAATCTCGAACTAACGAATAAAATCATTGGCTTTTCAGACTTAACACGTTTAGTCCGCCCGGCTATTGCTTGTTATGCAAGCTACCAGCAAATGTCTCTCTCACTTGTATTCGTGTGTCTGCGCATCCCGGGCTATTGTCGCTCCAACATCCTTGTTCTTAATGCAGAAACATCCTTGTGCGAGGTTGTAATAAAGCTAGGGAAAATGATTCATCTCGTTTTGGCGACAAATTAGTTTTTACTTGTTACTGACAATTACTATCTTTTAGGAGTGTTGGAACGGTTTCGGATTGAGGACGCACAGATTTTTTCCTCACGACTAACTACCCGCTGGTTTGCACTTCGTGTGTTATTTATTTTTAACCAGAAAGACCGCTATTTAATTTAAACGTGTCGCTGTGTACAGTGACAAAATTTGGCCGCATGCTGTTTTTCACAATGTGATAACTTTGCATATGCGAATTTTAACTATTTTTGTTGCGGCAGAAAATTTTAGAAGTTAAAATTCCAGTAATTTCATTCCTCCTTAGAACGTTTTTCATTTCTGGCGGTTAAAGAAAAAGACTATTGGTAGAAAATAACCGTTTACAGTGACGTTATAGTTTAATTTGTTCGTCCCTTGTAATGTACAGGCCAAAATTAATTTGTACAAAAGCTAGTTGGACTGCTGACCCATTGCGTACAACCAAACATATCCACTGTTTATTGTTCTGTAGATTTTCCAATTAAGTCTTATATTTCAGTGCTATATAACCACACGATAAAAACCGCGTGCCGTTCATAAAGAATTACGACAGACCGCTTTTTTGTTATTTTTCTGAGGGTTTGAAAAAAAATATCGACGGAAAATTTTCGTCCTTCACTTCGGGGGCTGTTGCAACACAGACAGTTGTTTAATATATACATAAAGGGATTAAAAAATAATAAAAGTGTTTCATTTATCTTTTTAAAATGAAGTCTCTTTATTAGCTAGTCGAAATCTCATATTCTTTTAGAGACTATATATACTTCTTGGAAATTCATTTCTAGTTTCGTCGACCTGTTATGTCATTCATGACAGAACTTTGATTTGTTTCAATTTCACTGAGCTCGCTCGTCTCGTGTTCAATGTTTCCATTTTGTTCTATTTCCTTTTTTGGCTCCATGATGTTTTTGTAATAAAGGGTGTTAAAATTCGACACGAACGTTAAAACGGGCAGGGCGAGGGTCAAAGCGCCAAATATCGCGCAAGCTGCCGACATGAGCTTTGCAAAAGGGCTGTGAGGGACCATGTCTCCATAACCGATAGTTGTAATGGTCTGAAGTGAAAACCAGAACGTAGCAGGTACACTGATGAAATGGGTTTCGCTACTACCAAGTTCAATGTAATACAACAAACTAGCAGAAATAATTACGGTGAAAAACAGGCACAAGATGAGAAGACCGAGCTCTCTGACGCTCTCGAGGACGCAGTAACCAATTATTTGAAGGCTTTTCGAGTAGCGGGAGAGTTTGAAAATTCGGAACACCCTAACAACACGCAAAATTCGCAGCACGGCGACTGAGTTTGTTTCGGACTTGTTCAGGAGCAACATGATGTAGAACGGAGCAATGGCAGCGAGATCAATAAAGTTTAAAAGCGAAGTAAAGAAATGAAATTTGTTGGGAGAAGTCAACAACCGAACTAAATACTCGATCGTGAACCACGCATTAAAGGACAATTCGAGGAGGAACCAGGTGTTATGAGTGTCTGTAGAGGCATCTTCCGTCACCGTTGAGTTCGTCTCGTTGTTGTTCAATTCATTTGACTTTATGGATGGAATGGTCTCCACAATAGAAACTGTGATTGCTAGTACAATAACAGTGACAGAAAAGATAGCCAGGCAAGAGGCAGCTGTTGAGGTGTCAGGTTGATCGAAAAGTTCCCAGACAATACGTTGAAGTTTATTTTCGGGACACTCTTTGCTCCCATCATTGAGGGTGATATAACCCTCTTTAAGACGGATATCGCTCAGAACGTCGTCACCTAGCTCAAAAAACTCAATTTCCTGCTTGAAAATACTCATCGGTACATCAGCGGGTCGCTTTAGACGTCCGCGAGATTGGTAATAGTAGAGAATAGCCTCGAAGGCTGGGCGGTTTCGATTGAAGAAGTACTCGTGAGTCTCCGGCACATAGAACTTGTTCCTCTTTTCCTCACTGCCCAGCAGCGTCTGTGGAAAACGCGACAGCGTTTCTTGACGTGTTTCAAAAATCATCCCGCTCACATTTATTACAACCCGGTCGTCGTAGATAATGGGTTGGAGCGCATCTCGCCTGGAATTCATGGCTGCTGATGTTAAATCCCCTTGCCTTCGGGTGTCTCAGTAGATGTGTAAGCAGGTCCCTCGCCAGTGTCTCACGATCTCTGTTTTAGAACTGATCCATTAAACAGACCGCTCTCACGTAAACAACCATCACATACGCGCGAGAGCGCGTATGCAATCAATAATTTCTACAACCCTTTTAACCTGCAAGTTTTACATCAATAATTTATACTCGAAACAGTGTAAATCTCAGGACACGAAGAACACAGCGCACAGGTTTATCAGAAAATCCATTATTTTCACGTTGCAGTAGATAATGGCATATTCAAAAGGTAGGATCTAAATTCAAATAATGAAGGATATTAACACGAAAAAGAACAATATACATAATTAACGCGTACTAGTGTAATTTTCGAGTGTTCTTATTTGTGAATTCAAAGACACCTGTTCCCTTTGAAACCCTTTTTCTGTATTTAACTGAGTTTTGAACCTTCGCCTGACATTTATTGCAAAACAAAACAATGCAATTTTCTCAAAAGCGTTGTGCACGTAGTTTTGTCATTACAACGATAAAATAAACTGAAAAACTACTAAGACACCTCTAATCTTATTTGTCAAGCAAATTTCAAAGACTAAACAACGCTGTCTAACTTAGAAATTTCTAGACATTTTAGAATTAATCTTTGTAAACACACTTACCGCAATATAAGTAAAAACCACTAAACTTTTATGATATGTTTTCAAGTAAGATACAAATAATGCAAGCAAAGGGGCTAGATGTATCTTTCATTTATTGTATATATAAAGAGTCTTTGAACTTTTCAACTGATTCTTATTTCCAAGCTCCTTAAATTGGACTGCCTTGTTCGCGAGTGTTATGATTACTACAGTAACGTTGCGCGGTAGGTGTTATACCTATGAAATTTGAATTAATATGTTGGAGCCAAAAGTCTTAAAAAATTTTAAAATTCAATCATCTGTGTTTTACCTCTTTTTGTTTCTAAAGAATTTTCTGGTGTTATTTAATTGGAATCTTTAATTCACGACAAAACTCTTAGGCAACCCTAAACTGTCGATGAATATAACAAAAAAGGTGAAAACCTTGGCACAGATATTAACTAATAATGACAATAATTATGCTTGGTTTGCCGAAACCAGTGGTTCTTGTGATTTTTGGTTTGTAATCTTGGCGTGCCCTGCAGTGTAAGCCTGCGTGCTTTAAACAAAGTTTAAAAAACATTTCCAGTTCCGTAATGCAAATGACTGGAAATAATGGCAACAGCTTTTGCTCAAACGCCAGCGGGTCACGCGAAGGGATTTCACCTTCTTCTGTAGCAGCCGATGGCATCCTCCCAGAAAAATACCATCGATATAACCGGGATAGTTCCATTTAATAAATGCACTTCGTACGGTCTGGTTTAAGTTAAAGGTAATAGTTTTCGCCCACATTTGAAATAAAAGGAAATTAACATTAGCACAGAAAAATACCACTCGCAATACATCAGGGGCACCCAACGGCAATTTTCGGGAAAATATCTGTTCGGAAGACGATTTGAGATCTAGAATTTTCGGAGCATTTGTTGTAAAATTTCTTGCTTGCTTGCCTCTCCTAGGATTTTCGAACATCTACGTGAAAATGGTATAATTACCCATTTTTAACGGATTTTGACCCTAAAAAAGGCCACCTAGAATTTTCGGGAGCCTTTTCCTGGCTGAAATTTTCGAGAAGGTAAGTTTCTATCCCTATAATTTTCGGATCACTAGACTTTCAGCTAGGAGTCCGAACAGATGAAAAGTTTTTAGGGGATAAAAATATGCCTATATCTACCGTTTGAATACTAAAATACGTTCAACAATGCTATGTTAAGTGGTTCTGAACCATATCCTCGTTGGGTGCCCCTGATACATGTAGAAATAAATACATGTAGCGAAAGTCGTCATTCTGTTGACCAGAGGCTTTCTTCCATGAACACACAAATAACATTTCTGACAATTGTGCCCTAGTAGATCGTTACGCTTTGTTTGGAGCCTAAACTGAGCGTGCAGAAGACAACTTTCATCAATAGGACAATTGCACGATAACGATTGACTACAACTACCAGAATTCGGTTTTGCTTTGTTATTTAAATCTGTCAACCCCGCTGAGGAGTGAAGAACAATAGACTTAATTTGCACAAGAAAACGACAAACTCAAGGACAGTCTGGTAGTTGTAGTAAAATGACGTCATCATGCAATTGTCCCATTCATCAAGGAGAAATTAACGGCATTTTGGAGACGCATTTAAATGACACACAGAGGCCGGAAAAAAACTGTACAAAAAAAAAAAAAAAAAAAAAAAAACGCGAAAAAGGCGGGAAAAATTGAGGATAGCAGGAAAAAAGCCCAAAACTCCACGACCTTTCCTAGGAGGTCAAATAATGGTCGTCAGGAAAATAAATACAAGATAAAGCTAAACTTTGCCGGCAGAGAAAGAAGCGTAACTACCGAGAATGAACGTGAAAGTTTGTTTTCGAAATATCCGATAAGGGCTTGCATACTCGACACTGTCTAGTTATATAAAAATACTAATTCTTCCATCCATGCACACATTTAATGAGCATACAAGCTAGCGCTTTCAGAAGTACCTCGTTAACTGATCATTCAAACCATCTTTACAAATAATCAACAGTTAATACGATAGCGGGCAGAGATCAATTCTCTCTTAATGCTACGCAACCGAAGAAAATTTTCAATCGTATAGTGAAATTCCATGGTGTTACCAGTCAAATGAAACCTCTTCAGCAGTACTTTCACATGGTACTATTTATTTAGTATGTAGTTCTAACTTCTGAGTCTGTGGATAAAATCCCTAAGGTGTGACCATTCAAGTGAAACCTCCTTGGGCTATTTATTTCTGTGGATTTTACCAAAAGAAATTTGGATTTTTTGCGAATAGGAGTACAAGGGTTAAATACTATTTTTATATCGTTAAGAAGAGGATACGCCAAGGTCTTTACACTAGCGCTTGCATGAAAGTAGTATGAAAACAATATTTCAATCCCACGAAATGAAGAATACCTTGCAGTTAGGTTTCGTCAACTCTCCAAGTTGCTCAAAGCACGAAATCATAAAGCCTCGCTGGAGCACAAGGACATTTCATTGATCTTTGTGCCCGATCTAACAAAAGAAATCTGGAGTTTTCGTGAATTGTTTTGTTTGGCCACTACTGAATGAAATTCAACAACATTGTGAAGAAACAAAGAAGATTTATTTGTGTTAGCCTCACTTTGCATAAAGAAGTTGAAGAGGAGGGAGTTGAGGAAGTCGCCGGGGTAGGGTGCACTTAAGAATCGATTTAAAACGTGCGCGCTTTTTTCGAGGGAATACGGTACTTCTACAAAGCTCAGTTGAACGGTTAGATTTTAGCACGCAATTTACACTATTGAACACACAGTTAGTAATAATTTATAAGCAAAGAACAAAGGGAATTCCATGTTAAATGGTTACTTTTAATCTGATAACCACGGTGAAGTTTTTAGCTACACTTTTGCGGACAAAATTATCCGAAAACCAAAGGATCATTGAAATAAATATTTATAGCTCTACAGAACACGTTTTGATGCCGTTCATTAAACTCTCATTTTGCGTTTGAGATAGCTACCCCTTGTGTTATAAACGTGATAAATAGTACACTCTATTTGAATTCATTTGTTTTTACGAGCTGAGCTTCATCCCAGAGGACACCCAGCATTCTAAGCACTACAGATAGATTTTAGGAACAAAATAGAGGCAGGTCGCTTTCAAGGGGTGATCAATACACATTACAGTAAGCAATCTTTGCGGCATTGTTCAAACCATGTGCAACAAAGCTGCATGATCAAAAATGTACTACAGTAGCCAGGAACATTTTCACAACCGAGTCCCCACAACTCGAACGTCCATTACAGTAAAGAGTAGATTGTAGATCTCTTTGCATCCGGGTTGTTAGGGTGACTCTTCTCTTGTCCCCTCTTGGGTTGTCACGTTGGTTGACAAGATGCCCTGGGAAAGAAGATGGTTCCTTGTGCAAAAATTTACACAGAAGAGTCCTTCAGGTTTAGTTTTCAAATCGCTGAATCCTTCTTCTCCGAATTTCGTCCACACTGTCTAGTTCAGGCATTCGGCTCCCAGAAGGGTAAGGTAACGTTCCACCTGGGTATCCATTCATGCCTTGTTCTACTGGGGGAGCTGATGGTTCTGGTTGTACTCTCGGATACAGTCCTTCCCCTTGTAGGGGGTAGGGTTGGGGATATGAAAACTGTCCATCAATGTAAGATGGAGGGTTGCGTGGAATTCTAGGATAGAGGCTGTCTTGATGTGTGGGGTAGACTGGTGTATGTGAACTTGAACCAATTCCAGGAGAGTTGTACCCTCCAGTGGGGTAAGGTGGTGATCTTGATGATGGTCCTCGCCTTTGAGGCCCTGGGTTGTTGGACCACCTGGAAGGTTCCCCTCCAGCGTCATCAAGGCTCTCTCTAATTGCAGACTGTATGCCTGGATCATAGTCATCTAAAGATGGGGGACGGTTCATGTGTGTTTCTCTGAGACTTGCTCTGATGGCCTGACGTAGGTCCTCATCTTCAGAATCACTTGAATGAGTTGAATAACGCCTGCGACCTGCAAGGCAAGACACGTCTTAAGCCTTTTTATCTGTAGATTTAGTTCTGGACATGTAATAAACTAAATAATGGTTTTTTTTTTGGTATTATGAACAAATCTTTTGGTGTGACCATTAAAATGAAACCTTTTCAACAGTACATAACCTGGTACCTTTTGCTTTTCTAGTATTTTACTGAAAAATTGGAATTTTTCTTGAATTAGGTCTTGAGTACTTTGGGCTACTCTGGCTTCAAAGGTCTCTTTCCAAAATACCTAGGATGACTGAAATTATCCACGTCCATGATTTAAAAAACTTCTGGGATGGGCACAATTTTAGGTAATAAAACTTGTGGCACCAAGGTTCAAAATATAACATGACATGTTTTTCATGCCAGGATCAGATGGCAAACTCTTCATTAGTCAACTCTGAGGCAATAACTCGTTTGAGTAGGAAGTTTTAACTTGGGAAGCCTTTGCTGACTTTTACATAGAAAAAGTAAATTTTAAACAATATTTTACAGCATTGTTACTATTCTGTGAGACCAAAAGATTCTTCATGGCAGGTGCGAGGGTGCAGGGATGTAGCTAAAATTCATAACAGATGGGAAATGACATTTTATGGGCAGGTAATATGAGAAGACTGCATTTTTTTAGGCTGGAAAAATCACATTGACAGCCACGTATTTTCCCCGGCTCCCAGCTATTATCTACATCCCTGGGGTTGAGATTTTAATTTTCATTCCTTTCAAAAGTTGAATGCCCCCCCCCCAGAAAAAAAAAAAATTATATGACCTGCATTAGACCATAGTTAGTCTACTAACTATGATTAGACCTGAGTCAGAGGTCAGAGCCTTAGCTAGGGGGGGGGGGCAGCTACCCACCCATCTGGACCTGTTGAGCCAGACAAATCAAGTCTGTTGATGAATTTGTTTTCTTTAGACTCAGTTATTTTGATTGTGACTTGCAATTATTGTTTGCCACTTTCATGGCCAAGAAATTGGTTGGTCCACGGTGTGTGCAAATAGTAAGCAAAAGAAAGTAAAACCCCCTATTGAAATTGGCGTGTATATGTACTAAATGTACCATTTGCAAAGTTCATTCTAATTTACCGAGAGTGCCTGTAATGGCACAGCCAGGAACTAGTCTAGCAGCGAGTAGAAACATCTTTTATAGGTTAGTTAACCAAACATCATGCAGTAGTGTGAAATGTCTAGTGTACTGGTGCTTGGATATACAGTGTGATTTAAATTAACAGGACCTCGGAAATAAGCACTTGTAAGCACTGAAAATGCCAGCCTTGTGGGAGACATATCTCATGACAAGTGCTGAAAATAGCATTTCGGGGCCTCCAAATTTGAAAAGACCCCACCCCCTACAAGGTTTGTGCCTTTGACCACACCCCTCCGTTATAAAAAAACCTAGCTACAGCCCTGTAAGTTGACAGACGGGCTAATGTCTGTGAGTTTTTTCTTACCTGTTGCTCCCGCATGATACGTGTAGGACTGTCTCATTCGCCGTGTTACACCAGAGCCTGATAAAACAGAAAGGGTTTGTTTGTTTGGTAAAATTGAAAATCTTTGAATGGACAAAATCTCTTTGAAGACATTTACATCAAATTCAAGAATTTGTTATATTAATAAAGCTGGCAGAAATTTCATAACTGCCTTGCATGAGAATTCAGTGCTCATATTATACATATGGGAATGCAGCGATGAATCTAAAACCTTATTAAATTTTAGCCTGCATAGCAAGCGTTTCCTTGCAAGTTCTTCAAGAAAGTTAAGATGAGAGCAAAAAAGAGGAATGAAGGGGGAGGGGGAGGGGGAAGGGAGAGAAGGAAACGTTTGCCCACAAACTCCACGATTTTAAAAAACTGCATTCGCCCATGAACACAGCTTCTGATTGGTGCTTGGCTGGTAGTGTTGATTAAATAGCTATCCATACATCAATCAAACCAGATATTTCTTGTCTATGTGCATCGCAGATTGGCCTGATTTGATCTCTGGTCGCAGATTTTTAAAAAATGCCTTGGACTGACATTTATTTGAATCGTGTTTGTGCCAAGGTTTGTCAGATCTGAGCTGAAAGAAGGCCTTGCTAGCAATGTTGTTTATTTTGCCTCTTCAAAGTATAATTGGAGATCAAGCAATGGAGACTAGTGAAGGCCAATTTATTGGCAATGACAGCGTGCTGATCTGACGGGAAGAAAATGGACTGTTTGTTGGAGATAACTCTGATAACATCAACGTAAATAGAACATTGGTACTTGACAATAGCTGAAGCCGCCAGGGACGAGAGAATTGTCAACTCTTTGAAATTAAAAGATTCTCTGTTCATTGCAAATTTTGTAGCAACGTGTATTGTAGAGAACCTTTCGACATGGCCCAGATAGCAGCCGCTCTGCAAAATTCATAGCCAGCGGAGTGAATTGTTCTGGACAAATCATTTCTTTGAAATGTTTTGGCAAGGTTTCAAATTAGATAAAGGCACCTTACGTTCCAAATGTACTTGTAACTTGACAATAAAAAACAACACAAAATTCTGCAGCAATCAATCCGGGTTGCGACCTCCTTGTATCATAAAGCTACTTTATCATAGTTTTTAGCCTGCAAACAGCAGACGTTTCTCCTCGCTCATCGCCGCTGAAGGACGTTTCGTGAGGAGGAACGTCTGCGACTCAACGACAGCAATTCCATACTGATGATGTAAAATCTGTCCAGAATCCGGTCAGAAGCACTAATTGGTCGACGGAGTAGTTTCATTGTGTTAGCTATTGTTTATTAATAACAGACAAAAGACAAAAGGCTGCAAAGGTCAGATGTAAACGCGATGAATCTCTAACAAAACAATCAATATTTGTGGAATATAGTCTCCTCTAAAAGAAGCATTTGAGTTTTGCTGGAGCTCGTTTGCAGATCAACACAACACTTTACCAAAATCGACCAGGAGAAACGTAAAATTGAACAAATTTGCATTTGGAAACCCATGACTACTTGATTTATTATGTAAACATTGATTTACGTCATCAGTATGAAATTTCTGTCATTGAGTCGCAGACGTTCCTACTTGTGAAACGTCCCTCAGAGGCGATGAGCGAGGAGAAACGTCTGCCGTTCGCAGGCTACATAGTTTTCTGTAATATTGGAGCATGTTTTTAAAAAAAACAAAGTAAATTTTACAAATCTAATTATCTGTTTTTCACGTTACACTGACTGTTACCTTGGCAAGTTGTCAATTTACAAATGAACCGAACCATGAAATATAAAGGGCTGTTTTCCAGGGTTGTGGGGTTTGTTGGCGAGCGTTTCCCCTTCTCCCCTCCCTTTCCATTCTTTTGCTCTTGTTCTAACTTACGCGCTATGACTTGATTGGAAACGCTTGTTACGTACGATAAGATTATGTCTATGATGCAGTATAATCTTAGGATGCTCACCTGCTCCACTCACTGTATCCATGATGTACTTTAAAGGACCCTTGACATACATCAGTCCCACAAGAATTCCAGCTAAGTGACCAGTGAATGAGGCATTGGGAAACAATAGCTGTATCAAAACCAGTTCAGCCCAGCATGCCCATCTCATGGGCACAGGGAACATACCCATCACCATGGAGACACCAGAAGGGAGATTGTAAGTTGTTAGAACCTTTAATGCAAAGATGACCCCGGAAAATCCTGCGGCACAAGTACGGATGTAGGAGAAGTTCCCTGTGATGTTTGCTAGGGCGAGATCTAAACCTACAAGCACTACATTTGTTAAAACCGTAAACACAGCCAAGATGTACAGAAATTTCGAGCTGCCCATTCGTCCTTCAAGAGAAATGCCCTTCCAAACAAAGGAGGCCATATTGTAGTACAGATGAAAGTCATCCAAGTGATAAAAGGCAGCGAAAAGAAGTCTTTTCCACTCGCCATTAAACCAGACGTGCTGAGCGCTGACACAGGCTTTTCCGAGAGATGGAAGATCATTCAGTAGTCCAAGGTAAACTGCAACGTTAACGCCAATAAACGACAGTGTTACTGGAGGGATTCGGTTGAAACCGATGTTATAAAGTTGGCTGAGCAGAAATAAGAGACCGATTCCTGGTCCACGTCTCCTTCGCTGATACATTTATACCAATAATTGTCAGTGTCTCGTATCAGAATTGCATTTGATCGTCAGTTTGAAATCTCTGTGTGATACTGCACGATATTTGCGCGTCTTAAAAGCGAAAATCGCGACACTGACGTGTAAATTTTGTGTTCAATTTCAAAAAGTGTTAAGTCATCATTTTTCCGTCTTCCCCGCCATGTTTTTATGGCCGAGGGAAAGACAACATTTCAATTTAGGAGGAGAGGGGTAAGTGCATTATTTTTCTTAGTGTTGGGTTTCACTTCATCTACCTAAATTGTAAATAATGGTAATTTTATAGGAGTTTCAGTAAAAAAAGGAATATAATTCTATCTTCGTCTTATTGAAAACGTCAATATTAATCTACTTTTTTACTGCGAAAATCACGCCAGTCTTACCCTCCCCTGGCCTGTATTGTTTCGTACTTAGACCAGCGGTTGCTCCCATTAGCCCTTCAGTTTCAAGATGGCGGCGGCTCTTAGCACCGGTGAGTTTCCCGTTCATGGCCTTTTACCCAAACGAGAAACCGGAGCCGACCGCTTTCTAGCTAAATATCCGGAGTACGATGGACGTGGAATTGTGATCGCTATTTTCGACACTGGTGTTGATCCAGGAGCACCCGGCCTGCAGGTAGGACCTTATGATAACATAAAATTCTTTTAAGGGCAATCAACTGTTCTTGTTCTAAAACATTTTGACCTTTAGCTTATATTCTCCCCATTTGTGGACTGTTTTTCTCGTTAGGAGAAAACAAGGATCATTTTATTTTTAGCTTGTTTATTCCTTTCAACGCAAAAGATTTGACAGGTGTCATTTTGGACAAACTTCCACTTGAGCTTTAAAATTAATTATGCATACAATTTGGAGCCGTGTCAAGGTTTTTGGACAATCCAGGCCACCATAAAGGCTGCATGTAACAGACCAACATCAAGGCTCTTTTGACAGAAGGAAAAGGTTTCAAGATCCTATGGCATTTTCACAGACAAGTTTATTTTTCCATCTGTTTGATTTTGCTACAATTTTATTGTATTATTACATAAGACTTAAGTCTAACAAACCAGTCTACAAACGTAAGTTCCGCAACTTCACCCTTTGCCCTAATTTTAATACACCTTCTGTTGCACCTGCATCAACTGCTAAATGCAAAGTAAACCCAGTGCAAAAATTCTGCTCATAATACAATGCTGTCATTAGATAAAGCGGTTTTCACTTGACTGTCGTAAAACACAAAGCTACTCTTGCTCGTCACGTGAGAAAAACAAAACCAAACCAAACCAAACTGTTTTCGAACGTGGCCTATGAACACAGCTGTTCTTAGTAAGCAAGGGGAAAGCATTCTTGTTTTAGAGGGTAACTGCAAGACAACCAGCTACACTAAGTTTGAACTATAGGAGGATTTGTAGGGGGCTACTTTCCTTGAGAGACCAGCTAGCCTTTAATAATGAAAGCCCTGAAATATGGTGTTTTTTATGTCAATTTTGGGTGATAATGTTTCTTTGATATCATGCTCATGGCATATACTGATCACAATCATCTTTTCTTCTCTGTTTGCTATGATACTATTTAATTTGCAATGAAGAGTGGCTAGAGGAGAGCTATTAATATTAATTTTCCTTCTATACAACTGTATGCAAGATTAAACAGTGGTGTAAAAAAAAATTATCAGTGTGGTCATAACATGTGTATGGTGTACTATAGTGTACATGCACAGAGTTAGTCAAGGATGTAAAAAATCATATCAGAGTGGTGAGAACTTTCATTTTGTGATATCCAATTAAAAATTACGTATTAGGAAACGCCGGATGGACGACGTAAGATTGTTGATTTGATTGATGCCAGTGGAAGTGGTGATGTTGATACTTCTACCGTGTGTGAAGCCACAGATGGTTACTTGAATGGGCTGACTGGAAGAAAGCTAAAGGTTTGTTGTATGTTTATACTGAGTTCATTCATCTGTTAACTGCTAAGCTTACAAGTTAGAATTCTTTATCCTTGTCCAAGGGTTCTTAATGTTTAAGCACAGTCTAACATAATTAACCATTTCATAATACGTCAAATACCAAATTTCATTGCTGAAAGCCTCCAGGCAAGCTGCACACTAATATATTGGGTGTCCTGTGGTTCCTTGGGTGTCTTGTCACTGTTTATAGGCGTTACAATCTAAACTTTTGTATCAGGATGATTTTTAGTAGATATGACCAGTGGTATCATTATAATATTAAACATAAAATGATCGTAACACACCTATTATGTCAGTCTCATTGTGCTAAGTTTTGCATATTTTGGCATGCACAAACAGTTTCAAATTATTTTTGTATGACTGTAAACTGTTCAATAAAGGCTGCCTAATGAATGTCATAGACCTTATAGGTTGCCAAATTTTTATTGCACATTTTTTACAACTTTAAGTGAAATATTCTGATCAAGGGCTACATTCTCATTCCAACTGCTTTGTCTTCCTCTGAAACAAGTGGAGAATTTAGAGAATGATGTGCAAAGAGCCTTTTTCTACTCAACCCTTGAATAATACTTATTTCAATCATTACCCCTTTAATGTTATTATAATTATGAGTAAAAGATTGTCTATTCTTTATACAGATACCAGATGACTGGGAGAACCCTTCTGGAAAGTATCATATTGGAATTAAAAGTGCGTACAGTTTATTTCCAGCTAAACTGAAGGAGAGACGTGTGGTAAGTTACAAACTATAGCAAATCACCTGGGTAGTGTAGGAGCTGCTCGGAAGGTCTCTGCTAATTGGTCGCAGGAAACAATGACACGTCGTTCTCCCAACAATTATTGCTTTAGTATTGTTCAGGGTCAGGGAAATGCACCTTTGGCGACTTCTCTTCCTAGCAGCTGCTACATGACCAATCATGTGGGAGCACAGAACCCCCATCTCCCATCTCTAGCACTGTTTATCTGAAAGCTAGAACCAAGGGCATGGCTGGGATTGGGGGGTGAGGGAGGGGGGGGGAGAGGGGGATAGGGTATCTGTGACCCTATTCAGGAAACAGTGATTGTTATAAAACAAACCGACAACAATGTAGCCATGCATCATGAAAAAAGCTGATGAAGCTCTACAGAACTAGTGGCATTTTTAACGAATATCCACTGAAGAATCCTGAACACTGTGTTTTCAAATTTATAAGATCTGATGGGTTCAAGGGTGATCCCATCTTCTCATAGGATGATGTCACTGAACCCCTTATTGGCAATCATGTTTATGCTATATACTCTCAGTCTTGGTTCTTGCTCTTGGTCCATTGCTAGCCTTGTTGTTGTTTACTTTTCAGAAAGAGAGACGTGATAAGCTTTGGAATCCCTACCATCAGGCATGCATGGCAGAGACAACAAGAAGGCTGGATCAATGGGATGCAGAACACCCCAGTCCTTCTGCGGTAGGTTTAATTTTTGTGTTCCTGTCATTAGAATTGCTAGTTAGACTTACATTCCAGGGGAACAAGAGTGGCGCAGTGGTGTGAACATTTCCTTCCCACCATTGTGTTTCATGTCTTGGTGTTGACGCCATATGTGGGTTGAGTTTTTTGTCAACTTGGTTCTTCCTTTGCTCTGAGAGGTTTTTGGCCTGGTACCTCCGTTTTCCCCTTTCTCCCAAACTAAAATTTCCAAATTCCAATCTGACCAGGAAAGGTAGACGGAGAACCACTATGTGGATGTTGTCGATAGATGCTCTTGTTTGTTCTACCTGCATATAAACATGCAAATTGGTTGGTGGAATGTTTACATAAAAACAAAAGGTTAGTCATTGATATGTTTTGAACACCCTTAAAAACAAGACATCTAAATTGGGGTTTAAAATGTAATTCAACATTATCTCAGAAGATTTTCCGAGAAATTTTCAGGGTTTGTTGCGTTACCAGCTGGAGGGACAACATTTTCAATTTTTACGGTATTTTCAGTACACTGTATGTCCTCCACCATACTCTAAACTATGACCCATTACATAGAGGTTATGCTCAACGGTATAGCCAGCACTTGTATAAGGGTGGTGTGAAAACAACATTTTAACCAAGAAATGAAGAAATTATAGAGAATGTGAAAGTGTGAAAATGGTGAAGTGGGAGCAACATAACTTTTCATTCATCTTTTTCTTGATTCATCAGCAAGAAAAATTAATCAAGGAAGATCTTCAAGCTCAAGTAGAGATGCTTACCAGCCTTGATAAGAGCTACTCTGATACTGGTCCAGTTTTTGACTGTGTTGTGTTTCATGATGGACACACTTGGAGGTTTGTAGATAGTTAGATAGATACTGTTTTCATTAGGGTTTCTCTTGATATTGTATCCACAAATAACAATGCCACACATGGCCCTCAACAAAAATAAAACAGATAAAAGTTAATGAACCTTGAAAAATAAATTTAAATCCAAGAAAGTCTTATATACAAAAATATATATATATTATTTTCACAAGGATTATGTTCATTATCAATAGCACACATTATCTCAGGTACGCTTGAATCAGTTTCAGCGAAAATGCACTGATTGAATGTGATTCTTTGATATCTCTGGAGCTTGTTCCAGCTCCTAGCTGCTGAAAAGTTTAAAACATTCTTGGCCATACTAGTCCTAACTTTTGAGAGGATCAAATTATGTTTTGGCCCCTTGTGTTTCTTGTATTGTTAAGATTGGTCGGATGTAATGCAGAATAATTGTTCTCTATAGATAGGGCACTCATTTGTTACATGGGCAAGTACATGAATGTGGAAGTGAAACCCACAGGCACCACATGCTAAATGTAACATATTGTTTACACTTTGTTGCCCACCACATTGCTCGATGTTGAACAAATTATGAGTTGGATGATGTTGAAGAAAGTTCAATGTCAATTGTACATCATTTTCAACATTTCTCTTTACCACAGTTGTGAACAACACTGTGGCATTCCTTTAGCTATATGGTTCAACACATACTGTTGGACACATGATTGCTTCAATGACTAAAGCTCTTTTAATGTTGCCTCATTAGGGCGTGTATTGACACATCTGAAAGTGGAGATTTGGCCAGTTGTACTGTGTTGTCAAACTACAGGGAGTGTGGACAATATGCCACCTTTGGAAAAGATGGTAATACTGTCTAACATTATACTAACATTGAATGATTAACTCACAGGCAAAGTCTCACAGTGACTTGAACTTTTCCTCATCTTGTTTGAGCCTTTTTAGTACCCAAGAGACGGAGAAGGCTCCTTTATTGTTGAGACAGGATTGTTGTGTGGTGGTGAGGGGGACTTTCTGGGTGAAAATTTTCTATTTTTTATTTTATTAGATTCGCCAATTACTGGCAGGGACACTGCAACAGCATGACGCCAATTACTGTGGGCCCGTAACAGTCCCTCCCTCATGAGAGATAGACCACCACACCGGGGACTACGTCCCCTACTCTTTACGAACACTGTGTGGGTTCTTTAATGTCCCACAGAATTTATATATGCAAGGTTCCTTATCCGAGAAGACTAGAAAGTCTAACCGTTTGCAGCTGTCTTCAAAAAGGCAGTACTTTCTCCTCAGTAATTTAAAGACCCTGAGTGTTGGTCTGGGTGGGACTTGAACCAGCAGCCTCCCGCTTGGAAGACAGGCGCTTATCTAACTAAACTCACCGGGTGCCGGTTTTCTGGAAAGTTATTGTCAATAGTTAGCAGTATGTTTTTAGCTTGGATCTGTGGGTGTTAGAATAACAGAAACAACCAGGCATTATCCATTTAATGGCATATAATGGTTCTTTGTTGTTATTATATCATTTTCTTCATGATTTATTTGATTTATTGGTATTACAATCTATGGCACAAGAAAGTTAAATTGAATATGTATCATAATGTATACACGTTTAATCGACATATACCTGATTAAATGAAGGTTTCTTTGGGCATTGGGCAATTGCGCACTGGAAAAGCTATTGTTTGGTGGTCACTCAAGCAAATCATTGCACTGAGTTCTGTAAATGCAAACACCGAATGCGCCAAATTGTCAAAGCAACCTTGATTGAATATTAAAGGTATAAATTATGCAGAGTACTAAATGAATAATATTAAGCATTCAAGTTGATATGTTTCAACCTGAATACATGTACTTAATTCAGACTTAAATGACTGGATGCTTCCACATTTTTCAGATTTACTCAATTATAGTGTTAACATTTATGAAGAGGGCAAGGTATTATCCATAGTGGCTAACGGAGGTGAGTTAATATGAACAGTTGTAAAATAATGACATCACATCTGACAAACCTCTTCATATTGAACTCCTAACCTTTAAGGCAAAGACCTTGATTTAAGAAACAATTATTCCTTGCTAAAAATCCACAGATATTGGAAGGAAAATAATTAGTACTGTAAATCAACAAAATCATCTGATGAAGACCTGCAGTACACAGGAGAAACATTGTGATCACTATGTGACCGTCATGAGACAATTAATGATAAAGGAAACCCTTTATACATATATAAAGTGGAATGAATTTTTTTTCTGTCCCATTTTATAACTCACCAAGAATATGCTTTCTTTTGCAACAAGATACCCTAAGTTGTCTAATGACTGTTTGAGAGAATTTTGAATTCAATAAATCACTAGTCAAGGGTGTAAAACTTTTACAGTAGGACCTTGGCAACTTGAACTCGGATAACTCGAACTCCCCGCTAACTCAAACTAAGGCCCATTTCCCTTGGATTTGATCCTTTATACTTTTCAGTCACTTTTACTTCGATAACTCCAACTGGGATACTCAAATTCCCAACTAACTGGAACTAAGTTTTGTTTCCCTCGATCAAAATTTACCTTGGTAACTCGAATTCTGGTTCTTGGAACTCACCATGAATGCCATCCTGTTAGCTTTTCCTTACCCCTAAAACTAACATGGCAGCAATTTTTTTTTACTGGTTTTTAATAAGTGCAACAAACAGATCATGTATTTGACAGTCATAAAAATGCATAATCATGTCACAATTTCTGACTTGTACGCAGCTGTATACTGAAGTGCTAAAAATATCAGTAAACTATCAAATTGAATATTACCATGGGAAATTGAAGATTCAATTGACCCCAATAACTTAAACCCATACTCACTCGAACTGTTTTTTGTTTCCCTTCAGGGTTTGAGTTACCATTGTTCTATTGTATTATTACTTATGCATTATACCCCAGGAATTGATATATTGATAACGTCAAACTTTCACGGGGAGAGTAATATTTTTTTAATGTTCAAAATGAAAATCTGGGCTAAAATTATTTCAGACTAGTTTGATTCTCTATTTGCTGTACCAGAAACAAAAAAAGAACTAAAAGTTCAAATTCAAATTAGGTAGAGTCAGGGATTACCGGTATTGTTCTGTGTCTTACTTATCAATATAAGAACGAGGAGGTAAAAAAAACTGAGAGACAAACAAGGCTGAAATAATTTTAACAGGGGAGATCAGGGGAGCAAGGGATGGTGCAGTGCTGAGAGTGTTCCCCTCCCACCAATGTGGCCTGGTTCAAATCCCGGCATCATGCATACTTGGTTTGAGTTTGTTGTTGGTTCTCTCCTTTGCTAACAGAGGTTTTTCACCGGGTACTCCGGTTTTCCCCTCTCCTCAAAAACCAACGTTTTCAAATTCCAATTCAACCAGGAATCAGGTAGACGAAGAACCACTTTGTGGCTGTGCTACCTCCAAATCATCATGAATTTCATTTTGAACTGTGACAACTATTTGTCATTCAAGTAATAATACGTGTTTGTCATTTATTTACGAAGGTACCCACGGCACCCATGTAGCCAGTATAGCAGCCGGTTATTGTGCAGATGATCCTGCACTGACGGGCGTGGCACCAGGTGCCCAGGTGGGTAAAGTTAGGTTCCAATACAAAAGTACCACATAACAGCTACAAGGGTAATTCACTAATTTTCCACTGGCTGAGTGTAATGAAAGAAGTGGAAAATGTTTTTCTCGCACACCACTGGGGGCCTGCTTATAGGTCATCCGACCGAAAGGGAGCAGTTGCTTTTGTTGTGTCTGCTATTACTGACCTTCCCACCCACCCACCCTAAGATTTTAGTTTTGTAGGCTGTTTAAATGTAATGTGCAACTTTGTAATTTTGTTGTTTTTGTTGGTGTCTCAAATGCACCTTTCTAGGGGTATGTTATGTGTAGATTTTTATGAATTTGGAATAAAGGTCAGGCTGCAGCAGTCAGCTTGGCATGGCTACCAGTGGTGTGTGAGAAACAATCATACTTCAAGTACATGAAATTCTCTTGGGGTCCAAAGCACTTTAACCCATTCGCTCCTGAGAATTTCTGCCAAAAAACATGTTTTGAAGCTGGTCACTGTCTGGCTATAAAGAGCTAAAACTTACGTAAAAGCCATTTACAGGTCACGCACTTTGAGGCCTTCTGTTCCAGATGCAAAATATCAGCTTCCAAAAATTGGATGAGTGCAGATCTTGAGAGCAAAATTTTTTAAATGATAGTTTTTAAGTATAAAGGGCAGAAGTCTCGGCTTTTACCTTTTGCTTTCCCTTCTTCCCACATCTTTCACTTTTTGTGCCCATTTTTTATACTTTATTTATTTTGAGAGACCAGAAGAAATTGCGAAAAATCCCTTTGAAATTTAGCTTGCGAAAGCTGATTCAGGTGCTCATATTAAAGAATCACAAAAAAAATCGGCAGTACAAGTTTTCAAACAAAAACTGTTGGTATAAACATATTCAGTTCAATAAGCGCTAATTTTACATATAGTGTTAAGTAACATAAATCTGCTACATTACTTACTTATGAGACAATATTCTGATACTGAACACAAGTTTGGGTTAACTGTGTATTTATCAGATTTTGTCAGTGAAAATTGCTGATACAAGACTGGACACAATGGAGACAGGAGCTTCCATGGTGAGAGGGGTAGGTACAGTAGTTTTTTTGTATCTAACATTAGTACCGACAGATGAAAAGAAGATGTGCTACCATGTACATAATGCATATATTTAATCGTTTCACTTGTCTGTTGTGCTTTAAAGTCATACTCTTCTTCTTGGAGGAAGGGGAAAGTTGACTCTTGTAGACCTAGTACAGGGACTTTTGTATCCTTGGTTATGTTAAGTTTTCACTTCACTGTTAACTGAAAACCTGTAATGGTATTGACAAAAAGAACTTCCTGGACATTTAATTGTACAGTAGGAAAATTTTCATTTGAGAACTGATTTTTATATTATTCTAATAATTAAGTCTTCTTTTTTTATCTGTAGTTGATTGCTGTCCACAAGTATAAATGTGACCTTATCAACATGAGCTATGGAGAGGCCTGCCAATGGCCCAACTCTGGGTAAAAACAGCTTTTCGTTTTTAGAAACTTGTATTCTAGAAATAAAGCTTCACTTGTTTTTCTTTGTGGTTCTTTTGCATGTTTTTCTTTGTGTTTCTTTTTTTGGCATGCACGTGACATGAACATGTCATTGTTTTAGCATAGTGTTTTCTATGTTGATAAAAATAATGTGCAATGCTTTAATAAATAAGTATTGTTGATTTGATGTGGTTATACATGTACTCTTGAATTCTCCTCCATTCTTTATCCTTTAGTTCGTTTTAATTATTATCATATGACCTTTATAACTGCTTAACCACTGATATTTCATGGAAACTTTGATGCTGGTTCCTGTGGAATGGTAAAGTTTGGGTGAGCATAACACCTCCTGGAAGCAGAAAGAGTGTCTACAATTGGAACTAGCTGGTTATTAAATGGGAATGGTTCTTGTAAGCAGAGAGGTCAATCAGGGTTTTGTAATGGTGGTTATGAGAAAGGAATTAGTCATTAGGAGTGTCCATTAACGGAAAGCTTTGACCATAGTGGAATTTTATTTCCTTCTTTCCCAAATTATTTGCCGTTGTTTAAAACTGACATATTTGTGTAATGTACATTTTTTACCCAGCCGAGTTATTGAATTGATGAATGAACTTGTGGACGAGCATAAAGTAATATTTGTGTCCAGTGCTGGTAATAATGGCCCTGCTCTATCCACGGTGGGCTGTCCAGGAGGAAGTGCAGAGTCTATTATCGGTAAATTTAACTAGGTTTTACTGTGAAACTCACAGAACTGTGAACACCAGAAATATTTATGGAATGTTATTGTGTTGCGAGAAATAATCCAATAAGCCGCGAGATAATTAAACCGCAAGCAGCAACGGTAATTAATTTGTGGTTTTGAGGTTTGCTTGCATATCCTGAACTTTGTTGTGATTGGCCGGTACACAATCGACATTCCTGAAATTTTTAAGGTGTTCACGGTTTTCTGAGTTTGACAGTAAGTCTGTTTTTAAATGTGAAAGTGAGTGGTTGTAAGGGGAAGGGAATGGGGATGGGGAAATAGCCCAAGAGTTTGCCTGCAAGCCAGTTTGTGAGGGAGGGGGTGAGGGAGGTGAAAGTTCTCCAAGTGCTTCACAGACTGTGAGACATTTAAAGGTCTCTAATTATCGGGGATCATAGTCTGTGGGCTTCCAATATATTTGATCGTACTGTTCACAGCTAGTTGTTTTCGTTCTCAGGTGTTGGTGCCTATGTGTCCCCAGATATGATGGCTGCTGAATATTCATTACTAGAAAAACTACCAGGAAACCAATATACTTGGTCCTCCAGAGGCCCTACGTAAGGAGAGCTATATGAATCATTAGAACTATATTGGCAGAGTTTTATAAATCATTAGAACTATATTTATTTGGCAGAGCTTTACAGATCTTTAGAACTATATCCGCAGAGCTTTGCAAATCATTAGAACTATAATGTGCAGTCCTTGAGTATCTTTTAACGAATTTTATAAGGCAGTTAGTTACACGTGTATAAAATGATATGGTGCTCCCTTTTAAGCCATTTACAAAGAAACAGACAGCTTTCCTTCAAATAGCTTTATATTCTGGGTCAATATTTCTTGAGACGTGAAACAATAAGCAAACAAGACGGGAAACGCTCATACGAGGGGTTTGTTTTTTACCTGAGATGTGCTTGTTTACTCGCATTGTATGTAAGACACATCTTATCTTTGCTTGTGTAGATGGCACGTTTGGGGATGAAATTTTTCAAAGTGATAACACCATTCGACAACGAAACCTAGTTGACAGAGTACCACGGCATGGAAGCATTTTTGTTTCAGTATTTTACAAAATCAAACTTAGTATTTGGCCTTTTTCAATGGTTTATTTTTGTCGTGGCAGAGTCCTAGATGATATATCCGCCAGCCTTGGAGTTCTTAACCAATTTTAATAATTGAACTTACAGTTTGTATGTCTTGCAGGACAGATGGATATTTAGGAGTAAGTATAAGTGCGCCTGGAGGAGCAATCGCCGCTGTTCCCAACTGGACACTCAGGGGCACCCAGCTGATGAATGGAACTTCAATGTCTTCGCCTAATGCTTGTGGAGGAATTGGTAATATAGAGCTTTAGAATTGGAGACGAGAACGAACACCAGTACGAGATTTAACTTAAAGTTTTTTACGCGTGTTCTCAAAAAAGACACCCCGGAAAGCTTCATTTTACTTTGTTTCATCAAAAAACGTTTGTACAGTTATTTATGCTGAAGGAGGTTAAGCCCTCTCCCGATAGCAAAATGATAAAACTTCTTACATTAGATGACTTGTTTCCGCCCCTACGACATTCTCGTTAAAACTGGTAGTAGAATGACGACGGCTATCACGTTTTCCCGCCAAAATGACGCTGGTTCACGCGAGAGCAATACTCAGTATTGAAAAAATCTCGTACTCGTAGTCTTCCTCGTGTTAGAATCTAAAGATCTCCATTAAAACCATACACGCCCATTCGTCACTTTACAACCTAGTAGGAAACTGGGTCGAAATAAACTTTCGCAAAGACTTCTGGGACTGTTACTAGGGCTAGGGGGAAATTGGCCAATAGCTGAGCGGCGCCTCCCCTGTAACGATCCCAGAAACAATAGCGTGACGCATGTCGATTTCACCTCCCTTCTCGTTTCTAAAGTGAACAATAAAGTCAGTCATTACATCTCTGAAACTTCATACTCAAAGAAAACAAGTTTCTCGTGACGTCATCAATGTATTTGTATTCTATAGAGCATAGGCAACGACCAATTGCAGCGGCCGTAGCATTCACATCATTGTATAATAAAGATTTGACAGGCGTAAAAGTAAATCTAGAAAGGACGATATTGAGGAGAATAGTATCCATCGCTAGACGAATATACATCACAGGGTTCTATCTTTTCTTGTTTACTTACCCTTTGATGGTGATCCCTTTAATGTGCGTTTTACTTACTGTTTTCTCATTTGTTTTGTAGCGCTTGTTCTTTCTGGACTTAAAGCAAATTCCATCCCATATTCTCCTCCGAGGTGAGCTATTCCTTTACTCCTGAGCTACTTGTTAGGGGCTGTTTACAAGGAGGTGGGGGACCCCAGGTAGGTGAGGTAACCCGCTTGTCTATATAATGTCTCATATGGTCACCCCACCTATCATGTAAACGTGATCAAATTAAAATGAATTTTTTTAGAACCGGGAAAATCCCACCATAAGCTGCTAGATCTTTCGTTATTTAGAGCATTCTTTACTCGAAAACAGTTTTAAAACTTGAGAGTTGGACTTTAACTGCAAAGCTGTTTTTAAAGCTCACATTACATTTGCCTTCTAACAGCATTCGCAGAGCACTGGAAAATACCGCACTTCAGTTAGAAGGTACAGTACAATGTGATTCTTATTGGCCAGGCTGAGAATGAGACTGGGGCGATATTGTGTCGAATTGTACTTAGTATGAGACTGTACTGGGAACGCTGCTTCTCTCATTGGCTGTTCCGAAGTTGCCCAGGAAACTGCTGGTTCAAAATTTGTGCCCCAGACAGTTCCATGATGCAATTTGACACAACCTCGATCCAGACTGGAGTGAGCTTGTATGGGATAACGGTTGATTAGATTTCCGCTGAGCACGTATCTGGCATTGTCCCAGACGATTTTGCACGGCCAAATGACATCATCACCAACTTGCCCAATGAGAGAGAGCCCGGGCTCGAGGTCGATCGAATATAAATGCACAATCTTTGTTGATACTATCAGCTTTTTAATCAGAGATTGTGGAAACGCGTTCAAAGTTTTTGGCAGAAACAGGTTCCCTGAGTTTACAACTTATTCCAAAATGTTGGCAAATTTAGTTTTTCTCTTGTCCTCTTGATAATTGACCCTCAGTGCCTTGTTTTAAGAGTTAAAATCTTTTTAATTCTGCAAATGCAATTGAGGCAAAGAGGACTTTATTAACCTAAATATAAAAGAAAAGTAATATTCCTATCATGTGTTTGAGCCCAGACAAGCACAAGGGACAGATATACGACTTTCCCTACACCAGAAAATTTTCCATTTTTTCCAGCATGATAGGCGGATTAGCTTTTCTTTCTTCGAACGCGAATCTTACTGGTATTATTCTCCGTTATCCCCAAACCCTATCATACGTTTGTAGGAAACTGCCCACCTACCCCTCCCCTAAGCCAACATTTTGCCCTTTAAAAGTGAGAAGTAAGTGTTAATGTTGGCTTAGGGGAGGGGCTGGTGGGCAGTTTCCCAGAAACGTGTAATGATCCACCCTTACTGTAGCCCCCTCAAAGGGAAAACAAAACCCCTCGACGTGTTTTCATCATTTGGTTTTCTTTTTTTTTCAGGACTTGATAAGCTCACTCAAGGTCATGGTCTTCTTCAGGTTTGTTTTACTAGTTTTCATCTTTTGACGCCTAAAATGGCCTGAACTTGACAAGGCGACAATTCGTGTGACGCGACTTAACTCTTTAAAATATTTTATGGTAAAAGTACATCTTCTGTGAATCCAAAATCGAGATTTTTATCATCTCTGTTATGCGTTGTAGGTTGACAAAGCTTATGATTATTGCTGTGAATATTCCAGTTCTCCAGAAAGAGATGTTCGATTTCAGGTAGGCCATGTGCGACGCTTATCATCGCCTCTTTCGTTGCTAAGGCGGCGGAACACAACTCTTGATTCTTTGTCATTGCTATATTCAGGTTTCCTGTTCAGAAGGCCAAAGAGGGATTTATTTAAGAGAACCTCATCAGTTAAGTAAGCCCGTCACCAAATCTGTGTCAGTCACAACACATTACGACGATGACGTCGGTGAGTTCCTTAGAATGTTTTGTTTTTTTGTTTGATTTGTAACTATAGAGCGTTTTCACTCACGTGGCCAGCATCTATGCAAATTTATTGCAACAAAAGAAAGTGTTTGCATACGAAAAGAGTCCAACTCCCACAGGACTGGTTTGGAACAACAACATGGCCACCGTTTCATTGTTTTGGAACACCAATATGGCCGCCGTGACGTCATGTGAAAACACTCTATAGACAGTATCCACAGACAACACTACTCAGAAGGCTAGAAAAGACTGATTATGGTACTATGTATGCATACATTACAACGAAAAGGAAAAGGGGATGGCGGGGGGAAAGACACTGCCAGTGCTGAAATACAGAGAACAGAGAAAATGTGGTAGTATTAGTAGTTTTCAATGTAAGAGGTAAAGGAGGCAATTGAGGGAATTTTTTTTTCTTTGGGGGGGGGGGGGACTGTGCAGTTTACTTTCCCGCGAATACAACGCATGAAAAACCTAAGGTAGGTCGTGCTCACTTCTTTTCGCGCGCTTTCGCGTTCTCGTATGAAGTTGCGTTGCCTCTCCCTCTTGATAATGCTGAGTTGTGGATAGGCTCATTTTTCGCCTCTTTTTTCTTTCTTCTCTCCTTCCTTTTTCATTCCTTTTCATAAACTCCTTTTTTTTTTCTTTGTGGACAGCTCATGATGAAAGAATCAGCTTCAATCTCCGCCTGAGTTTAATCAGTACTGCGTCTTGGCTTACGGTTCCTGACCATTTTGTCCTCATGAACACAGGTTCGTGAATCCAAGAGATTACTCTACACTGAACAGTGTAAACCTTAACGTAGACTAATGCTTTTGTTCGTAACAAACAATCATGCAAATCGTAACATTAACGAACAGTTATCAAACAAGCACAACCTGCTTACAACCGTGAAGAAGAAATCCGCTTCTTTTGGTTCCCGGTGTCAAGTGGTCCTTTTAAAGCTTGGGTAGGTGGGTGACTCTTTTACCCGGAACAACCGTTTTCGTCATGCAAACGCTGCCTTACCAGATGTTTATATCAAGTTTCATTCAAAGGAGTGACCTACAATGCATTGCAAACAGCAAGTAACACAAACAGTAAACTTCAAGATAATTGACTAAAGCTTCGTTTGAGAACATGATGATAACTGAATAAGCCAAAGGAATTTGCTTTACTCGCCTTGTGTGTAACGACTATTATTTTTTCGTGTCCGGGTTCTGGGAAGTTCACTATGAGATTTAAGAATATTCCAGTGTGAAGGACAAGGGAAACTGAAACTGTCAACACTGCGTGAAAAAATATTCGACTTCTTCAGTAGTCTAACATTTATATTCTTACAACTTTAACTCTAGCTGCTTGTTAAAACCTTTTCAGTTCGCAGTTTTGCTGTAATAGTCGATCCTCGTGGCTTGTCCCATGGTGCTCACTACGCGGAGGTAATGGTTTTTCTTCTTTCTACTGAATCAGTTTTGACTCAGATATAAGAAAGCGTCAACAGTACAGACCATTGAGATTATCTTTACTGATTCCCACCCAAACCATCCCCGAAATCTTAGTTCCCTGGAGTTTCTGAAGTGATATAATAAAATGGATCAAGACTTTATTGACTTTCCTTTTTAGGTGTGTGCTTACGATGTTAAGTGTCCACAGCGAGGACCACTCTTCAGAGTTCCTGTTACAGTCATTATACCTGACAGGTAACTTTTCCTTGATATTCGGTTTTCAATACCTTGCGTGTAGAGGCTTCCCTCTTTCATGGCTTTTAGTGTTTACAGAGTCCTAAACACACGGGGCGTAAACAAACCAACTACGCTACAGACAAGCCGCGTGAACGACGTGGTAAACGCTAGAAGACATGCAAGAGATAAACCTTTGCTCGCAGGGTAGGTTGTCAAAGGCAATACAAACAAGTAGGTTAGTTTGCGAAAGGTCAGCATTGTGCGAGGACGCGTGAACCCTTCGGCTCTCGCAATAAGACATAATTGTAATACTTTTGCGTTCAAAAGGTTTATGTCATGGAGTTGTTGCTGTTTTAGGTCACTTCTGTGCTCAAGACAATGGGGAGCTTTAGCATCGACGACTGCGATTTTATTTGTTGCGCGAAGATACTCGGTTATAAGACGCACCCGAAATTACAACAGATTTAGAGCTATCAAGCAGACTTTCGTTGAAAAAATGCTGCGCCTTATAAGCGAAAAAATACGGTAGTCTAAAATAACAAAAGTGGACCATTATTTTGGAATTCAATTGGTGCAAAGATACGTTTTTAGCGGAGCTCCAAGCGCTCGCGAGGCGCTCGCGAGCGTAGCCCCATACCTAAGAAAATGTGGTAATCTAGCCATCCGAGACTTCAGGGCGGAAAAACGTTCTGCGCAAGCTTCTGCGCATCCCTTACCGCAGGCTCAAGGCGGGCTTTTCTGTGTGTTGACTTTGTGTTTGTTTGTTGCTGGAGTTCTGAGTGAAATGCACGAGGTGCGAACGTTTGTTCCCTGTAAAGCATTTTTATTTGACATGTTTGCTTTTTTTCGTCGCTTGAAAATTACTTTGGATTCAGAACAATCAATGTTAAAGGAAAAATGGATCATTCCGTCAGTCTGAGGTGGAATAAAAGGTTTTGAACATTTTTAAAGAGGCGAGTATTTTTTTCTAATTGTGCATCCGATTAATTTATGAGTTGATTTCTCCGGGTTGAATTAAAATCCCGCTTGTATTCTGTTATTAGTAGTTACGGTTACTTTTTTTTACGCCCCAGATTTATGACCTTTGCAGAACCAGCTTTATCTTTGTCGTCAGTCAAAGAACCATATTGCTGTTATAACGCATCAGAGTGAACAAACTTGTGCGCTTATTAAACTTTCTCGGAAATAGAAGGCCAGCAAGCTTACTCAGGATCATTTTTCTGTTGCTCAAGTAATAGTAGTCGGAGTTTCTTTCATTTTCATTACATTGTTTTGTTTTCCAGTGCACTGTAAAAGTTTCTGTTCTTTATAAGAATAACTTTCTGTACGCAAATTGTCCTTTTCACTCGCTGTGAAGTAGAGAACGACAACTGCCGGCAGTGACTTCAAAACAATTGACTCTTTTCCCGTAAACAACGGCTGAAGCTGGATTTGACTGCGGCGAGCAAAACAAACCCTTATATGCAATTTTCTGTATTTTCTAATGATCGGCTGAGTTTAATTTGCTTAAACGAAGACCCTCGCATGGACCAGTTAACCTTAAAATAGCTAAATGGTGAATCATGGCTTGGCTTCCAAGTTGCAAGTGATCTTTTGCTTTTAAGGTCTTTAGGTAGGTTGTTTTCGTACAGAAAATTCATTTCTTCATTGTCAGCAAGAAGTTTTTGAAATAATGTAACTTCAACTTTGTTTGAAGGAAATCCTACTTACGCGTGGGTTTTTGACAGATGTTATGCGTGTTCAAATTGAAAACACAAAGCATAATTTATATATCTGCGCGAAATGAGCAAGTTTAAAAAACTATAGTTGCTTTGAAACCGATTTTTGGGAAGATTTTACTAGATAAAGATTGACCTTTTTTCTGCCCACATAAAGGCAACGCAATAACTTCTACATTGAGGATTTTGTTTATATTTTAGTGATCTGCGAAACTACGAGTGACACGAGTGTCCGATCGAGCGAGGGTTTTAAAATATGAGCTCGAGTGCGACAAAGTTCAGTGACTTCAAACACATTGTGGGCAAGCATTAATTTTTTTGGGCAAATCACTGTTCAAAGATATGTTGTTTTTGTGTCCACAGTGGAGCTCCGGACCTTATATATCCAGGAACTTCCTTATATGAGCACATTTTGTGAATGCATCTCGAAAAAAATCGGACCTTTGCATGCACATTTCCAGTACAACGCAAGGAAATCAATGTCGTTAAAGTCCGTTTTACTATGAGGTATTCTTCGAGAAAATTTACTAACGACAAGGTTATAACCACAGCTTGCAACTTTTGAAGACAAATTGCCTGTTCTTTCCAGGTTATGAGTGGAAACATTTTATTTTTAGGCAATAAATTATTTGAAATCCCGCCATTGTTTCAAACCCGGCCAGGGGATCTGGGCAAAAAAAGTTCGCGCATGCTCATTACGTTTTTCCGCCCTGAAATCCGAGACATGTTGGTAATCACGTGACCGTACGTTCGACCGTCCGTCCGTCCGCACCACAGGCATACCAATGTAAAATAACTTAATCAATAGGTATGGCGAACCAAATGCGACTTGAGGTTATTTTGAGCAAAAATAAAATGTACAAAAAAATTTTACTGCACGTGCGAAGTTCCTTTTTTGCTAATTAGACCTATTGTTGCTTTTCACCGTTCTCCGGCGTTGCCTTCGCCGCTTAGCATTACACGATTATATATTTTGTTTGAGCAAACTGTAAATATTATCGAGAGCTTCGCTTTTAGCCCTGACTAAATCTATATATTAGCTTTTTAAAGAGATAGCAAATAGCGTAACATAGCCCCTTGAGGACCACTATATTTTCAGGGCCAAGATAAAATATTCCAATGCCTTCCCCCTCCCCACCGCGTATTAGGGGGACTCGAGGAACAGGTTGCCTGTTACTTAAAAATCTCATTCCGTTACTGTAATTAATTTCTTATCAATTGTTTTTTGTTGCACAGAATATGTGACGTTCATCATTACACGTACGACTTAGAAAAAATGAAGTTTAAACCCGGTCAAGTGCATAGGACGTTTCTTCAAGTTCCAGACGGAGCTACTTGGGCAGGTAATATATAAATGTTAAAAGAATATACCAAGAGATCATAGCCACCCTTTAGTTATCGCAGCCCAGCTAAGCCCTCAGGCCCTTGGCGGGAAAATGGTTTCCTGCTCAGTAGCATTCAATGACGTCACAAAAAAAAGGGGTGCGCGAAAAAAAGCGAAAGGGAATTTGGGTGCCAGGCTTCTCTCGTCCATTTGATTAACCTCAGGAGGAGAGACGTAACGTGAGGTGGGTCTGTGCATATTTCGCCACAAGTCTCCCGTAGCTCAGTTTTATACCTTTCACCTAGTTCCTGGAGGGTCGTGAGTTTCGGTGACTCAAATGTTTTCTTTGTCCTATATTCAGCAAGATGTTATGTCCAGTATTAGGAGAATATTATTGTATTTTTTATTTAATTTTCGACATTAATTTGTGGAAGTATGGGTGTGTAAATTAGAATAAATTTTCTTTTGACTGACTTCTTTTTCAAAACAATAGTAGAGAAATTATTTCATGAATGACTCATTATTCTGACTCGTGCCTTTTCCTTGCCATTATTGCTATCAGAAGTTTACACAGGTTGGTGATGCAATTTGATGTTGTATATCCGGCTGTTTCCCGTTGAAAGCTCTAAAACTTAACAACAACTGCGACATTTAGGTGGTCGCAGTTAGCGGTAAACTTGCGGATCTAAATGCCCTTTCTTCAAATATGCTTTACATCCAACAGAGTTTTCAGCGTCAAGCCTAGAGAATGAGGTTAATGGACGCTTCCTTCTCCACGCTGTGCAATTGTCTCCACTCTCCTCTTTCAAGGAACAAGAATTCTTTCAATTTTTCACGCTCGCGCCACTTGGAGAGAAAACTTTGAGTTTTGCAGTAAAGGTAAGATAAAAAAACAACAACCACAACAGTTGCTAACCCAAGCTTTTGTTCTTCAATATTATTTATCTCAACTGAAGAGGCATGTTATGTAAAAGCTTCCTGAACCTTTAATTCTTTAAGTTTACTGTCGCTTATCTGAAATAACAAACAGTTCATTTACAATGTGAATGATGCCCAAAATTTGTTCACTGAATTAGTAGTAAGCTGTTATCAGGGCTGTGGCTAAAATTTCAAGTTGCCGTTAAATGCAAATAGCGGGGTTTTCGGTAGCATTTGGAAGTACCTATGCAGTGGTTCAGCTGACGGACGAGCACCGTTCGCGCCTTTGGCACGAACTCCTAGGGGGGTCCGGGGGCCTCCCCCCCGGGAAATTTGTAAAATTGGACTCTGCTAAATGCAATTTCCTGCGTTCACAGGACCGGAATTGGGTAACCGGAATTATGACAGGAATTATATTTTTTGCATTACATAACTAAGTGAGTAAAATGAGGGTCAAGTCTTTCTTTGGTTAATAAATGGAAAAGAAAAACGATTTTCACACTTAAAAAATAATTATTTCGTGTGTGAACCACCAGACGTTGGGTCCGGCCTTTAACGAAACCCCTGAAATAGTTGGAGGGGAATTGTGCAGCTAGGAAGTTCTTTTGGTTCTATTTTCCTTTTGTTTGCTATAAGAGTAGCCGGGACTCACGCTCATGAGTAGATGGGGAAAATCCCTGGCCCCCGCCTCTTAATTGCAGCCCTGTGTTATCGTTAAAGTTACAATGCTTTCCGTTCAGGGTGGCGAGACGTTAGAGCTGTGTACGGCAAGATGGTGGGCAAGTCTTGGAGAATGCAGTATAGAAAGAAAAGTAACATTTCACGGAGTTACACCCAGTGAAAACAGTATAACGTTGGTAGGTGCTCTTAGGACAGTATGGTAATGGTTGAATTTCATGGAAATGTGAGAGTTAGATGAAGGGATGTTACGGCAAATAATTTTTGAGACAACAACACGTTATCGATCATACCCAGGCAGTAACAGCTTATCTCGATTTTGGCCTGTTTTACTCTCTTCCTGCTAATTATTTGTCACCCTGAAACTTCAGGGTGACACTCGGAAGTACCCGATCGGCGGCACCTCTGACGTGCCGCGGGCGCAGGTAGGGTGTAAGACGGTGCAATCTGAGAGGCATTTACTTACATAACGGTAATCAAATACAGACAAAGACGGAGATATAAACCCATTATCCTAAATTTATCTCTGTTACCTCAAATTGAAAATTTACATTCTTTCGTCTTTGTAGCAAGCGTCAAAAGTTTGTCGTGTGGATATAAAAGCAACGCTAAGAGATGAGGAAATATCGCCATCAGTGTCGCTCAAAACACACGCCCAGCCTGTTAGGTAAGCAGCTTCAGACTTTCTCCTGGTTGTTTTTCAAACGAGGGAGACGTTCTAGAAAGGGCGTGTAAGCCTGCGCCGCAGAAGAAACTAAACCTCTGCTTAAGTCCGTCTGCGAAACAGCGCCTAAATCCTTGTTCTAACCCGCACATGGGTACCAGCAGGATTTGAGTGCTTGTCGTGATCGGCCTGTTAAAAATGCCATTGTCAATTTTCCAATCAGGTCTAAGAGAAATTCGAAACGCTTTTCTCGTAATTCGTTGAGTCAGTTGAGGGTCCAAAACAAGGATATCGGCGCCGCAGCTATCCCTTTCGTAAACGGTCGCTGCCATTTTTAAGACACTTAGAAAATTTTTGATCTGTTATTCAAAGCGTTTCTATAAAAAGAAAGGAAATCGCAACGTAGGTCGAACCTGGACCTCGAACCCAGACCTTTCGTATCCTAATCTTTCTCCCTTACCACTACACTACCGCACCGACCCGCCAAAATTCCGAAAAAATTAAGTACAGACACTAGCAAACTGTCTTTCTTAACTGGTACAATCAATAACAGGTGACCCTAGCCTTTTCCAAAATTTTTAACGTAAATAGACCTATTCGGCTAACTCAATGTTGTGCCCAATTCAAATCTTCCGGGGTTAAGATTCTTTGTGTATTGTATTTGCATTATAATGTGGCATTTAAATTTAAATGATATGGAAATTCCTGAAACAAAACGTTTGAACCCCAAGGGGTTTGAATTGAGTACAACATTGAGTTAGCCGAATTGGTCTATTCAACTTGGGCTTCAACTTCGTTTTTTGTAAGACTATTCAAAAACGTATTATTTGCCTTATTGTAACTTAATCCAGGCAATATATAACATCCATCATCACTAAAGGCCTGGGCCAGCTTGTTCGAAGGCCGATTACGGCTTAACCCGGGATTAAATTTAACCCTAGTTTCTTTTTCTTGTGTTCAAAAGCATTTTCTCAGATAATTTTCTCTGTTATTTTTAGAGCTTCCAATCATCAACTTGTAGACAAAAAAAAATTAAATCTGAAATTTTTTTTAGCTTTCAAATCTGATTGAAATCACGCATTAACCCTGGGTTATCTTAACCCGGCCTTGAACAACCTGGCCCTGGTTACCAACGGTGAAATCGACTGTTAAAAATGGCAACGACCGTTAACGAAATGGAAATAGGCATTGGCGCTGCTTAGCAGACGTTACTAACCCAGGTTACATTACGTCCGCGAGGCACGCTGTTGGCGTGTCAGCCATTTGGCGACGCTGTGAATTTATCGGCGCGCGAGTGAGCCAGGGCGTACTGTAACAACGGTTATGTGAGATCGTCAGGCAACATCAGAATCCATGACTCGAGAGCTCGATTCATTTGATAAGTTACTGGATCAAGGTGACTTAAGCTGTCTCATTTCTCATCTTTTTCTTCTGTATTCAGGCCATCGGAATACAAGATTACCGCTCTTGCTTCAAGAGATGTCTTGCCAAATGGGCGGCAAATCTATTCCTCAACTCTCACTTACAATTTCCATCAGGTAAGTTAGTGCATAAAAGCGAGGGAGTTTCCGACTGCAATTTCTCCGTTCCTCATGTACATCGGGTTAATAGAATTCCTATTTACATTCTGTCACTGCCACTTCGTTTAGCTCCGCCGAATGTAAATACATTTTTTAGTTTTTATTGAAAGTGAGCACTTTGTTTGCATAGTGAATTGCCAGGGTCTGGAAAAAGGAGTCCTGATCCCGCAGTCCGCTCCTTTTCACGACCATTCCGGATCCCGAACATCTGTCATCGCTATTCTAAATACAGTTTTCTTTCCCAATTCTGCTTCTCGTGCCGAATTTATTGCGAATCCCGCTTTCCTGGTAGCAAATCCCGTATTCTGTTAACATGTCTCGGATCCCGTGAATACCCTTCCCGATGATCCCGCAGTCCAGCTCCTTTTCACTACCATCCCGATTCCTGAACATCTGTCAGTGCTATCCCGAATACCGTTTCCTTCTGCAATCCCGCTCCCCGTACCAAGATTTTGGCGAATCCCGCTTTCCGTGTTGCACATCCCGTATCCCGTTAACGTTTCTGGGATCCCGTGAATTCGCTTCCCGATCCGGTTCATTAAATGAGAGAATAAAAATAAAAACTGTCACAGTAGTTACAATAATTCTGGTGATACTTAAGGTCCATCATCGAAAAGAGACGTTCCGTTTTTTATGTGGAAATGAAGATTGTTATTTATTTATCTATTTTTTTTTCGCAGTAAAATGTTCAATAATGCTTTTTTTCCTCTCTCTTTTCAGTCCAAGGCAGGCGACATCAGTCCTAATGTCACGTATTTGTCAGATTTGTTGTATGAATCTGAGTACGAATCACAACTATGGATGCTTTATGACTCAAACAAACGGCTGCTGGGAAGCGGAGATGCATTTCCTGACCGGGTAGGGATTCTTGGATACCATGGGATGGGGCTGGAGCAATTGTCTAAAATTAACTTTAAAGCTAATTTTCTTATGCCTTGTCCAACTCTGGTTTTGGTCAAGTCGTAACTCCCATTTATTTTTTATTTATTTTTATTTCTGCTTTAAGCATCACTTCAAACTAGTTGATTTTTTACAAAGTAGAACAGAATTTTAGTGAAGTGTTCTGATACTATTCCCATTTTTGTCTATCAGCAGCTCTGACTGTTGGACCTAGAGAAAAGGATTCTAATATCTGTTAAGTTTAGAAAAATAATCTTTATTCGTTGTGTGTTTATCCATATTTTTACAGTATACAGTCAAGGTAGAAAAGGGAGACTACGTCCTTCAGCTCCAGGTAGGCAATAGAGAAATTTTTGTGGAAAGATATCACTTTTTCATTCACTAAAACCTCCTGCCCGAGATATGTGTTCTGCCCCATTTCGCCTCATAGATAACTGAAACTCTGTTTATGTTCTACAAGGTTATCATTATTTTTCACAACGCATTTTTTTCCAGCTGCAGTTGACCCCCGATAGCACCCATTCCTGGTTTCCCACCCTCGATACCAGCTGCAGTTCTCGCGCGCTTTGCACTGCATGCGCTCACCATCAGTTGCAGTTCGGCGCGCTTAACGTTTGTTGCTGTTTTTCCGCCCTTGGCACCATAATCCAAAAACAATTTCCAGAATCCAAATACACCCCAGAATCCAAACATGTCTCAGAATTTGGCATTCGGGAAGTTTTTGGGCCGTGTTTTGGATTCTGGAAGGTGCTTACCTACGAGCCACTAGACTGCGTCTCTGTTTTTCTTCAGAATTAGTGAGGGGAGTGCACGCCCGCGCGAGCATCAAATGGCGAAGCCGCGGGACGCGAGAAACAAAGGCTTCAGACTGTCACGCGCGTGGTCATATTAGTATCTCGCGCGTCTCGCGCGACGGACTAAGAAAAAAGAGAGACTGCTTGTAGTCTAACGAGCCACCTTTCTTACTGGCTTATTTTTGCATTATTTTGTCCCTGTGTTGCTTGGCCTGGTGTGACAACTTTGGCCTTAATAAGTCTTGACGCCCACTTTATTGTTTTAGGTTCGCCACGACAACAAAGATCAACTAGAGAAACTCAAGGACACAGTTGTGTTAATAGAGCAGAAACTATCACCTGCTATCACTCTGGACACGTATTCCTCGCGTCTAGCTTCCATGAAATCCAGCAAGTTCAGCTCATGCACAGTTCGTGCTGGCGTTCGATGTCCTGTTTACATTTTACCCCTAGTGGATGACAAGTGAGAAATAATATTAGTTTTCTTGTCGTTTTTTTCTCGCATAAACAGCACTAATGGGCCCTTTGCACGAAACAAAAACACGCTGCTGAATAGCCTGCGAGCAAGCTCTCGGAGATGCTCTGGAGGTGGGGCGGGAAAAGGAGGGAGATCTTGCAACTACGTCTCTGGAATTTGAATATTTGCATCGAAAAAGTCGATGCGAAATGCTGATTGGCGGAAATGACATTAGTAATGACGTCATTACCCTTGGCGCGCACTTGCTTTCATGTGTTTTTCACGTGTAGTTGCAAGCTCTCCTTCCTTTTCCCGCCACGCAGCCAGAACCCCCCGGAGAGCTTACTCGCAGACTACTTGCTGGATGGCACACGACGCAGTGGGGCAAGAAAAACAAAGAGATTACATCATTCAAAAGCTAAGCTATTCTCCTTTCTTTTCAAGGTCGCACTGCGTTGTTTGCCCTCCAGCAAGGTGTTTTTGTACCATGAAACCTTTTCGGGCAAAGGGTACATTGGAGTTACAGTCCTGAAAAAAAAAAATGCTGGGACACGCTAAATGTATCTCGCTGCAAATTGATGAAAATGTCAGCTACTTTAAAATTCACTCCGTTACCCTTCAAATCTGCTGATTTCCAATTACATAAAGTGGTGTTATCAAGTGAACTTTTCAAGCAACAACTGGCCACTGTAATAAGATCCAAAACCTAGTTTGTGTGTGGGTTATATATCGTGGTGCGGCTGTTGCGGCTGTGCTACTGTTAATTAAAATTAGTTGAAGTTGAGGATAAGGAGTGCCTTGTTCGATAATAAAATTTTGTTCTGTTAATCAAACGCTTTCAAAACCCTTTTTGGAAAAAATATTGAGGCCTGAGCCTTACATCCCATGAAATAAACCAACGTCTTCCCCTTTTTTTAACTGAACCACTAATGAATTTATGTCTTGGCAGTCTTTGTTCTTTATCGCGTTCACGTCACTATTTTCACAGCTTGGGGCAAGCTTATGCGTTAAATATCTATAATACGAAAATTACTTTGAATAAATTCTGTTCAACATCGTCTAAGTCTACTTTCCATTTCAATATAGGATTCCAAAGGCTGCAAAATCTGGTCACATTCTTAAAGGAACACTTTCGTTTGTTAAAAATGACAACGGGAAAAAAGCGGTAAGCTTCATTAAGGTGGCTGAACACAGTTTTGGCAGTTTGTGAGTGTATGTCATTTGCCAAATCATGGCAAGAGAAAGGTTACAGCTCACAAGCTGAAACTTGGCAGGTGAAAAATATACTGATGAGAGATTTTGATTGACAGGTAAAATTTGACGTTTTCATAGTTTCCATGGCAACATGAACGATTGAATACAACCTTAAAATTTCACTTTTGTTCAGTTTACATAAAATTCTCTCATTAGATTTTCCTATAAACTTGCATACACATTAATATAAGAAATCATTGCCATTTGAAACTTATTTGATCAAATTTCAACAGACGGACTTTTAGATAATCAATAATATAATTGTATTGTAATTATTAAATGTGTCACGAAATTCGTCTGTTCAACGTCCATTTTAAAGTTTTTATTATCTAAAATACAATAAAAGTAAAAATTCTGCGAAATATCACCAAATTTTAATGAGTAGATTTTGAGAAATCGTCTTCTGTGTACCATTGCTTTTTCGCCGCCATGTTTGTTTGTCTAATTAAAAGCTCGCGCGGTCACGCGAGTTACCGCTGACCACCCGCAAAACTGTGTTCAGCCACCTTAAGGAGAACCCTAAAAACGTAAGTTTAGTAAATATTTTCTCAGGAGAGGTGATTCCATTAGCCCTCGATGTCACCCTGGTTCTTTTAGGTCCTGTGATACTTGTAATTTCCTTGTTTCTTAGAGTCCTTCTGGTCCTCATGGTTCCCGTGATCTGGAGGCTCCCTTGGTTCTTGTAGTCTCCCATGGTCTTGTGGTTCCCTTGGCCCTACTTGCCGGTTCTCTTGTTTCTCGTTGTCCCCATGGTTTGTTTGTTCGCTTGATCCTACTTGCCCCCTTTGGTTTCTGTAGTTCCCTTGGTTCTCGTAATCCCCCATGATCTTGTGTTCCTACTGATCCCATTTAATCTTGTGGTTTCCCTGGTTCACACGATCCCCCTTGATTTGATATTCTTCCTGGTTCTTGTGGTCCCCCAAGAATTTTTTTGTTCCGTTGATCCTACTAGCTGCCCTTGGCTTCTGTAGTTTCTCTGGTTCTCGTAATCCCCCATGTTCTTGTGTTCCTTAGTTCCTACTGGTTCCCCGTGATCTTGTGGTTCACCTTGTTCTCATAGTCCTCCATGATTTTGTGGTTCTCTAGGCCCTACTGGTTCCCATTGGTCTTCTGGTTTCCCTGGTTCTCATGGTTCCCCTTGATTTGATATTCCTCCTGGTTCACATGGTCCCCCGTGAATGTTTTTGTCCCCTTGATCCTATTGCTCCCCTTGATTTGATATCCCCCGGTTCTCCTAGTCCACCATGACCCCCCCTGATCTTGTGGAATCCCTGATCTCATTGTCCACCATGATTTTTGATAAAGGTGTTAGTCGTTTAGTTTTTAATTCTCTCTGTGTTTGTCAATTCAGTGCACCTACCCAGTTCAATTCATTGTTCCTGCTACACCAAGTAAGCAGAATAACAACAAGGCTGACAAAAACGCAAAAAATGAAGAAAAGCAGGTATGAAACCGTTGGTATACTATACTGAAATGCTTTGTCATTAACCATTTCATTACCAGGAGTGACGTTAGAACTACGTCCTAAACAACTAGGTACCATGTGTTAGTATCGTTGAAGAGGTTTCATTTGAATGGCCACACTTTAAGATTTCATACACGGACTCAAAAATTAGAACTACATACTAAATAAATCATTAGTACCACATGTAAAAATACTGCTGATGAGGTTTCATTTGAATGGTAACTCAATGGGATTTCGTCCACAGACTCAAAAGTTAAATACGTACTAAAAATTGTGTCACGTGAAAGTACTGTTGAAGAGGTTTCATTTGAATGGTCACATCACAGGATTTCATCCACTGACTCAAAAGTTAGAATTACAGTTCAAAAACTCATTAATAATTCGTAAGGAAAAAACAAAAGAAAATTTTGTTTTTATGAGTGTTTTTATATTTGATAAAGACACGGCAAAAATTTACGTCCAATATTATAGACGAAAATCACCCCAAATCTAAACCTTAGTGCAAGAATGAGTTGATCTATATCAGTGAGTTGATCTATATCGTGTATTATCAGGTTTAAAAAGTCTGGGCTTCGCCTCGAGTTTTTAAAACCTGATAATACACTCCTGCTCGTGTTTTAAACAGTACACAATAAGTAATATTACCATGTACAAGCGTTTAAATGGTCACATGATAAAATTTTGTAGGCATCATTGTTTTCTGTATTGGGACCTATATTCCATGCAAGCTGTGTCTTGGCAAGAGCTTGTTTAGTTTTCGTTTTTGTATTCTCTTCAGCCCAAACAGCAGTTCGAAGAAGCAATGAGAGACCTGAAAATATCCTGGATATCAAAGTAAGTCTCGTATTAAGACAGCGAATACGCTTCTGAGGTTGGGTCTCAAGAAACCGCGCCCTCACTGTCTCCCCTCCCTCCCCTCCCCCCTCTCCGTTAAGGTCTTTTTTCCTAGACTGGGGGTATTTACAATTTACATGGAAAAACCTGAAATTCCGGTTGGAAAATCAAATGGTTCTCGCCATTCCGTTTGGGAAGCTTCGGGAAAGTCGGACCGTAATTTCAGGCGGTGCAATTGTTCTACTCTTTTTAGTCGGTTGAGCTGATTTGTGTAGTACTTTGTGGCGGGTCGTTTTCTCACCAAGTCAAATTTTAGAGTTATCTGTTTATGTACAAGATTTCCACCCGGGTAGTTTGTGTACATGTCTACTATATTCTTTAGTTCTTATACACCTCCCCCTTTTTAATTAGTCAGCCTTTATTTTGTGTCGTCACGCGACGATCCACTGACCTCCATAAAAGAAATGGCTGCGTAGGAAAGTACGATTCTACAATTTCAGTATGGGTCTCCTTGGAACGCATCCTTTTGAGAGTTACTTATCGGTCGAGAGTACCTCAAACTTGCGCGAGAGAGGGATCTCTCCCCTGCACGCCCGATTTCTCCCCTTCCTTTTCGGACGCCTTCCACGCAGACCACTTTTTTAATCATCTTCCTTCTTCCTTCAGACTTGACGATCTTAGCCTCTGTGATGAGTTGGAAGAACAATATCCTGACCATTTACCGCTCTATGTTGCCAGACTCCAGTTCTTAGATAATTCCAAGGTATGGATTATGTAAACGTTTGCTTAATTTTACAGGAAACGTCGGTTGAAGTTCTATTCGTTAGCAAGAACGCCTGGTCATTCCACGCGCTCCCTTGCGCTCTCAGATTACAACCGCGAAGGAATTTGACAAATTCTTACCATCAGAAAACAGTACATGGTGTTGTCGTAGTTAATAATAATAGGAATGGTTATGAGGCCCGTCAGACATTGTTACATGTTTATGTAGACTTGACGGTACACAATGTTTAATAGCATTCGGATTGCTATTACAAAAAATAATGCACTTTATTTGAGTGTCAATGTATTTAGCACGAACGTACTAACTGGGAGCACTAATTTTATGTCTCCAACTGGGGACGGGACCGCCATTTTACGTGGTCATCCGAGCCACGCGAAGGTTTAGCCGTTTGCAGTGCAAAGGGAGTACCTTCGTTTCTCAGTTATTTTAAGAGCGAATGCACAGAAAAATCGAGCAAACCGTGGCCACAGCTCAAAACCTAACCTACCCTCATTTTAAGTCTGTAATAACGTTTTAATAAGTTTAAAACACTGCTGAGGTTTAAATTTCAAAATGCGGCCAAATTTGGGAATTATTTGGGATTTTCGATTTCAACGGTCTGCGGGCCTAAAATTAGCCGCCAAACACGGCAATATAGCCTAGCGACAGAAATGACCTGACTTTCATAAACGAGCGAATATATTGGCAATCTTCCGCTTAAATCTCAAAAAACAGATATTAGCAATTTCTAAACAGCACATTTTTTTAGATTTAGAGCATAAAATATCGACGAACGAGCACAATTTTGAAACGTAATTTGCATAATGCTTATAAATACAACAATTTACCGCTAAAACCAAAATCGAATTTTCTATATGGGGGAATTCTCCAAATCACCCCAAATCCCGCTTACTACCTAATGAGATATAGTACTTCAACATTATCTGAAAGTTAGTCTGGTGTTCTCGCGAACGCTTGTAAAATAGATTGATTATTTTGAGGTTATTTTGCCCCAAAGAACCGCTAATTGATCCCAGGGTCAGTTGACACGTGCACGTCACCTTAGTTTTTTATGCATCGATTTGAGCTCGTTAAAAGGGAGAAACTAACAAGATTTTTTTAATATGTACCTGTTTTAATGAAAGACACGCAATCCTCAAAAGGAGAGGCAGTTCAATGGGTAATGTCTGTTCTTGAGATCTTGTAGATTGTAGCATGGCGTCTGCGAGTGGACCTGAATCTAGGTCTGTTTTCCCGTGACTGCGAAATCAGAATAAGATCATGAAATAATTCTCGCTCGAACCTTCGTAAATGAATCCACTTTGCAGTGCCTTACCTGAGATAAAAAGTGGGCCGAATAGGAAAACATTCTAGCGCAATTTGGATCCTTTGCAGCACGTAGTGTATTTGCTAAGCGGTGTGGTATCAGTGACTTTTAATTAGTTACTCACCTCCGATTGCGTGACCAGGCAATTATCGATTGTCTCCTGCGAAAAATAAGTGCACGGGAAACCAAAGCTTTCGGGATACAGTAAATTCATTTTCCTGTATGACCAGGTGTCCTTTTGTCCTATTTTAAAAGATGTTAACTAAGATGATTAGCAAACACACTGTCCCACTTGTAAAACTGGTACAGTGACTGGATGTTCTGTTCTTCTGATTTTACCCCCAACCCCGGAGTGTTCAGAAGATATATTTGCACTACACATGAAAGGCAAATGGATTAAATTTTAAGGTTCAAGGCGGTTTTAAGGCATGGGTTACCAGTGGATTAGTCAGACTTGTCATTAAGGTGCACTGAACGGAAAATTACAGGCATGATATCTCTGCTATTGTATATATGTCCATTAAGTGATTTTCCAGGAAACATTTTTTGACTTTTTTACCCCAAACGTTTTTTCCGTTCAACTCTTATCTATGAGATTTAAACTTAGTTAAATTTCTGTAATTTGTTGTTAAATGCAATTCTGCAAACAAATAAGTATTTAATTTTGCGTAAAAGCTACATGAAATTGGACTGTTTAGCCGTAAATCATAAAAAAGAGAAAGCATTTTCAAGTCTAGTAAGACTTAAGCAATGGCATTGCTTAAGTCCTAGTAGTTGTTCTCCATGTCTGCTAAGGAGGAAATAGTTTGCTCTTTTCAAGAAATTTTTCTTGCCCATTGCGGTTTCAAACCAAAGATAGCAGCAAGTCTGTCGTGGTTATATACCGCTACTTCAGTGCAAACGAAGCATAGGCGCACAAGTCAGCGCTTGCGTTTAGTCAAGTGCCGAAAATGAAGTGGAGGGCGTCCATGTTCGCTCCTGCTCGAAAAGGTAGAATCAGTTATGTAGTAAAAAGTAATGCGAAAAACCTGCGGGGGCTGGGGAAAGAAAGGCGTCTTATTTTTCTTTGGCTTGTTCTATTTTCGCGACGTGGTACAGGCTACGAAATACTGACAAGCTCTGTATATGTCTTCACCACCGAGAGTCACTTGCCCTTAGCCGGACACGCCCCTCACGAATCATGTTAAGTTCCTAAAGTTATTTCAAAGCACAGAACCAAACCTAATCAGCGGCCAAAGGCAGAAAAGGGGATGAGCAAACGGATGTCACAGCATATGTTGCAAGAAACTGGTATCCTTGTGCCTATCGGCTCTGGAACGATTAATTACTACTAGAATTAAAGGAGCTGTGTCACGAAATTCAGCCAAATTAGGACATTACAAAATGCCCGTAAAATTACGAGAAACATAAAAATAACCGCTTAAAACTTTAAAGGAAGGTTAAAGTGACATAACAGAAACAACAGATGCCACGGATGGGCAAAACTGAAGAACAGTGAAACGGATTGAAATAAGGGTTTTTGAAAACTGTTCAGCCTAACAGTTTTTCAAAGTTGATCCCTGCTGCTTGCAACTTCAAAAATAATGCTCAGGAGACAAATTTGTTTTTCTCGGATCTCTGATTTTGTCATTTACATGTAATTTCTTTGCTTACTTTAAGTTCCACAGCGATTGAGGGCGAGTAATTTGCAAAATTAAACAAAATGAACTGGACTGCCGTGACACAGCCCCTTTAATATCAGGGTCAGAATTTGAGTGCTACAATGGGAGGGAAGGAAGAAAAGGACACCGCCCCGCAGACCTGTCAAGTCTTTTATAAACTTTCTCGTCCTGACGGTTTCAAGGAAGGGCGTTGTGGCTGCTATAGAGTGTTTTCACATGACGTCACGGCGGCCATATTGTTGTCCCAAAGCAATGAAACGGCGGCCATGTTGGTGTCCTAAACCAGTCCTGTGGGAGTTGAACTCCTTTCTTATGCAAACGATTTCTTTTGTTCCAAGAAATGTGCATAGATGCTGGCCATGTGAGTGAAAACACTCTATTTAATTTACAGTGTCTGTTGCAGGTGTCGAATTAATCTTACAGCAACTGGAAACGTGGCCACGCCTGCCTAAACTGAGATTGGTTGTAGGATGAACGGCTATAGTTTGGTATATTCACGAGTGCGTTTTGTCCAGTGAACTGAGTGCGTAGTTTTTCTTAACGAAGGGATGGGGTGGGTCAAGTGAATAGTTCGGGGAACGTTTGCTCTCTTTAGAGGGGGGGGTATATTTGTTGATATCAGGAGTTCTGTCCTGATAGAGTCGTTGTAAAGCTATTTTTGCTTCGGAGTATCGGTTTACCGGAAGCTGAGCAAGGAAAAGTCAATGGTGCATTTATGGAATAACAATAGAGATTCTCATGGTCTAACAGTGCGAAGATTAGACTTCTGGTAAGGTGGCAACGATCAAGGCCCGCATTATAATTCATAATAATTGAAGGTCATGATGTGGAAAAATCGACTGAAATGGTGGATGCCATGCAATCCTCTCGGGTGGGGGCGGCATACCTGGCCTTTACGGTTGCCCCTGCGACAGAATGCAAGCATGCCCAGATTGTCCACGGGTTGCTAAATGAGACCGTCCCTTTCTTAGTACCCGTTCCCTGTCTTATAATTAGACCCGGGCAAATTTCGCGAGATTGCACCATCATTTTGGGCTTAAAGCTTCCAAAGACCAACAATAATAGCGCATGTTCGCTAACAGTGTCGATAACAGTTAAAAAGGTATATACAAGCCTCATGCAAAAGACAGTGGGAAGGAAGTGCACGTCGGTGATGGGGAAAAAGTTATTTAGTTATTTAGGGGTGGATCTTTCGAAACATTCTTATACTAACTCTTGGACAGATATGCATTGTTTAAAGTTTTAGACAAACCAGGTGTAAATTTATAGTACCAAACTGTTAAATATACATAAGCAAGATTTTTACGAATCCTATTTTTCGCTGGAGACTATCGTTTACTGGCTGGTCACGAAATCAAAGGTAACGTACTTTCCTACTCTTGTTTACTCACCTTTCGCTCTGCAATACACTGCGTTCCACAAAGGATCCAAATTGCGCTAGAAATGTTTTGCTATTCGGCCCACTTTTTATCTCAGGTAAGGCACTGCAAAGCTGATTCACTTACGAAGATTCGAGGGAGAATTATTTCTTGATGTTATTCTGATTTCGCAGTCACGGGAAAACAGACCTAGACTCAGGTCCACTCGCAGACGCCATGGTACAATCTACAAGATCTCAAGAACAGAAATTACCCATTGAACGGCCTCTCCTTTTGAAGATTGCGTGTATTTCATTAAAAAAGGTACATATTAAAAGAATCTTGTTAGTTTCGCCCTTTTAACGAGCTCAAATCGATGCATAAAACTAAGGTGACGTGCACGTGTCAACTGACCCTGGGGTCAATTAGCGGTTCTTTGGGGCAAAATAACCTCAAAATAATCAATCTATTTTACAAGCATTCGCGAGAACACCAGACTAACTTTCAGATAACGTTGAAGTACTATATCTCATTAGGTAGTAAGCGGGATTTGGGGTGATTTGGAGAATTCCCCCATATAGAAAATTCGATTTTGGTTTTAGCGGTAAATTGTTGTATTTATAAGCATTATGCAAATTACGTTTCAAAATTTTGCTGGTTCGTCGATGTTTTATGCTCTAAATCTAAAAAATGTGCCGTTGAGAAATTGTTAGATATCTGCTTTTTGAGATTTAAGTGGAAGATTGCCGATATATTCGCTCGTTTATGAAAGTCAGCTCATTTCTGTCGCTAGGCTATATATTGCCGTGTTCGGCGGCTAATTTTAGGTCCGCAGACCGTTGAAATTGAAAATCTTAAATAATTCCCAAACTCGGCCGCATTTTGAAATTTAAACCTCAGCAGTGTTATAAACTCATTAAAACCTTATTACAGACTGAAAATGAGGGTAAGTTAGGTTTTGAGCTGTGGCCACGATTTGCCGATTTTGCTCGATTTTTCTGTGCATTCGCTCTTAAGACCCTGAGTATTGGTCCGGCCCCGGGAATCGAACTCGCGGCCTCCCGCTCTGCAGTCAAGCGCTCTACCGACTGAGCTATTCCTGCCGCGTTTTTTATTGGTCAGTAAGATTAAAATGATAGGAATGATTCCTAGCATTTTGATCTTACTGACCAATAAAAACGTCGCATTAATGTAGTCCGTCACAATTTGTGAACAAAATTCAAAGATCTGTACACAGCCAAGGAGCTTCAAACATAAACTGCAGCACCGTCATTTTGCTCTTGATTTTTACTTCCTTTCATAACCAGTCACCTCTACTAACTATGGTTTTATGTAATTCTACCGTGGTGCGTTGAAAGTATGTTTTTCTCTTCGAATTCCTTTTATATAGGAACGCCTTAAAAGACTTCCACAAATAATAGACGCAGCGGAGAAGGTCGTACAGTTGGTAAGGCCAAAGATATGACATAGATACTACCACAAATATAATTTATGCCCCATTTGCACAAACTAGATAATTATGTTTCTTTGATCAAACTAGGTTTTAAAAATAGAAAATAGTATCAGAAAACTAGAACACATGCTTTTACGCAGAATTCAAATGAAGTTTAACGCGTTACGTAAATAAGCAGATTTTACACAAGTTTAAGCTTTGGGGTGAATGGCACTTCCGTTACAGGCTTGCGAAAGGGAGTAGTTGGAGCCTTGACACCCAATACCCAGATATGGTCTTCAGGTCGTCAGGCTGAAATATGATTGCGAAAATCCGAATGCAAGCCCAGTTAGTCCTCTGTTAACTTTGCTATGCATACACTTTTAAAAACGCGATCGACCTTTAGTTCGTTCTGGCTCTATTGGGGATATGAATCATCTTCTGATCAACAGTGATTTAGTGAAAAAGAAACATGTAAATAGAAGCTTAAAACGTGGACGGTTCGGCATCATCGCAACCTTGACTTTCTGCGCTTTTATTTACATTAATCATCTTACCTTCTTTATGTGAGACGTGCCAAGACACATTACCCCCACCACCCCCCGTCCCCGCAACAAAAACAAAAAAGATTTCATGCAAGTCAGACCCAAATTAACCAAGGGACAGGCGAAGCACCTTGCTTGAGCCCTGATATTCTTGCAGTAATTGTTTGTTCGACTGAGCAGCCGAGCGTTGCTGGTTCACTTCGGTGCCGTTTGGGCAAAACAAAAGTAATTATGAACGGACGAATGATATCTCATATCTTGAAGAAAGCACGTGTACAACAGCAGGCAACAAGTGCGAGAAACGCGCTAAAGGTTGCCCCAAACTCAGTCTCATTTTCCCTCTTGATTCGTTGACAAGTTGGTACCAAGCTAGACTTGCTACAAGTCGACCTCTCTTGGCGAGCGGAAGGAGTCTTTTTTGGCCGCGAAGCGGCGGACCACGAGCGACGAAGTCGCGAGAACATATGGAATCCGACGAAGGACTGTTTTGAAAGTCTAGTACCAGGCTTCCAATTGTTCAAAAGGAGGAAATTGCTGTCCACTGGAGAAATTTCTATCCAGCGGATGACGTAGTTGGTGTATATTTATCTACTGGATAGCGGTGGTTGCTCTATCCACCCTTTGTAGGAATCACAAGCATAGTGATGCAAAACTAAATCAAAAACGAAAACCGCTTTATTTTAAGGTCTTAATTGATTGAGCAACGTTTTTGTCCCATCTGTGTTTAGATAGACCGCGTTGACCTATCCAGCTATTTCGGCATGAAAACTGATCTACGCCCAGATGCCGCCACCATCAAGAGGTACTCTTCGCCTTGTTTGTATACTGTTTTTAACGAATGATCTCACTACTCCGCGCGCGAGGGACGGTCGGAAGAGCGCAAATGCGTGAATGCCTCTTTCTCTCTCCCATTCCCATCATTCCCTGCGCACTGTCTTTCCCATCTCTCCCCAGCCTCCTGGTGGCACAAGGAGGCCTCTGTTGAGGCAGAGGTAGCTGATGATGTGATATTCGGTAAAGAAATATCAAATATCGCAAATGATTGAAAAAAAAAACACAAACGTTTCGGGTTTATGACCCTTCTTCGGTGTGAGAAAAAACCGTTGAGGGGAGAGATGTATGATGATATCATTATGTTATCATCTTTGGGACCCAATGTTGTAGTGAATTTCAAGTTTAAAGAATGAATGGAGTTGCAGAAGGAATGAACTACTCCCAACCATAAACAGTTTTATAGTTAGAATAAACGGTAAATATGAAATAGAAAAATATATTTTCACTAAGAATAAGAATTTACAAAAATTAATGGACAAATGGACTTTGTAATCTAGGTAGTTTTTCTTCTTTTGAAAACATGATTAGTTTCTTCTTTTTAGGATAGCACTTGTAAATAACAGTAGGCATTGCCTTGTGTGTAATAGGACAATTGCACGATGACGATATTTGACTACAACTACCACAATTCATTTCGGTTTTGCTTTGTTATTTAAATTTGTCAATCCCGCTGAGGATTACAGAACAATAGCCTTAATTTGCATAAGAAAACAACAAACTCAAGGATTCTGGTAGTTGTAGTCAAATGACGTCATCGTGCAATTGTCCTATTGTGGAATTGCACGTGTGCTTAGGTGTGTAGTAAGTTTGTGCATGTGATAATAATTGTAATTGTTGTAATTGTTGTACTTTGGAATAGCAAATGAAATTAAAAAAAAAAAAGTTTAAAGAATGAAAATGACTCTTTGACGGATCTGTTACAAGTTAGTTTAAAATGCTAAGGTTACAAACGTGTTCTGTAAACGAGCGAATTCAAGTGAAGTCACGTCGTCCATTGTGGTGTGCTGAAAATAGCGGCATAACGGTGTACCATTTCAATCCTGTGGGAGTTGAACTCTCCAAGAAATAAAAAAACTTTCTTTTGTTCCAAGAAATTTAACGTAGTCGTGGTCACGAGAAAGGAAGCAGCTTCATTTTTCATTGTTAGATTTATTCCAGTTGTCCACCAATTATGGAGCGTTTTCACATGACGTCACGGCGGCCATATTGGTGTTCCAAACCAATCCTATAGGAGTTGAACTCTTTTCTTATGTAAACACTCTCGTTTGTTCCCATAAATTTGTATAGATGCTGGTCACGTGAGTGAAAACGCTCTATTAAAGTGGGGATTGGTTGTCGTATACTGTTTGTACTTGAGTGAAAAGCTCTCGCTTTCAGCGTTTAAAGCATGTATTATAATACCAGTTTAGCGTATATTTTGGGGGGCTGATGAATCGAGTCCTCTGCTATCTTGCGGCTTACAAATTCTGATTCCTGGTTTATTCTGTCTTTAATAGTGAGAAGGAGAACCAGAAAGCTGCGCTTGTGGATGCGTTATGTCGTAAGGTAAGGTTGGCATAAAAGTTCGATTATAAGATCTTATAAGTCTGTTAAATGCGTATTCATCATACACCCTATTTTATTGAATGCTAGTGGTGTAGCAAAAAAAAAGGCGGTACGTGAAAAGTGCAAGAAACGAGGGCCTCTCGAGTTTGCGCCCTCGCTTCTCGCGGCTTGCAGTTTCGTCGTTCGCCGCTTGGCAATCAGTGTAAGGATAGACTTCCATTGTCGCGTAACTTTCACATAAGTACGCACGTAAATTGTACGCGCCTGAATGAAATAGAGGCAGTGTATGGAAGGTCACGCGTAAATGTTAAAGTTGAACGGGGTCAACTTTTACATTTACGCGTGACCTTCCATACATTGCCTCTATTTTATCAACGCGCGTAAAATTTACGTGCGTACTTACGTGAAAGTTATGCGACAATGGAAATCTACCCTAAGAGCTCTCTTACGAAACACGCGTTTGCTACACGCCACTTAGCGGTCTTTCCCTGTAGCTGGTCAACTGAAATGCACGCTGACAAGAATTGTTTAGTAAGTTTGGGAAAAGAGAAAACTGTTTTTTCTTTTTCATTACACGGCATAAACAGATGATGGAAACTTCTGATTGTGCATGATAAAACTAACCATCCGACATAACAATGACAAGTGCTTGACCCATATGTTTTTAGGGAATTGCTTATGCTGATATGATTCTAAGTAAACCTTCAGACGCCATCAGCAGCGACCAGCCTTCAGGTATGTTTTCGATCACGTACGTTTGAATTTCGTTTGAACTTCCCTAAACTAACCCCGCTACAATCTGTCAGTCCGATAAACCACTCAGGCAATGTTCACACTATACTAGAGTATGAACAGCAACGACACAAAACTGGTACAAGTCGTTCACACACGGCAAACATCGTGTCGAAGGGGTTGACCGAGAGATGGCCGAGAGTCTGGCCGAGACGGTGTGGTTCTCTAAATCCCAGTCCTCACTCCCGAACGTTACCTTCCGTCTCAGATGATTCCAGTCCCCGCTCCCACTTAATAGAGAGCTTTAGATTGGAGGACAAGGACGACTACGACTAAGAGATTTGACTTAAAGTGTTTTCGCGTATTCTTTAAATACAGACTCCCCGGAAAGCTTCATTTTACCATTCTTCACTAGAAAAGTTAGCACTGTTACCTTTAGTGAAGGAGGTTAACGCCCTCTCCCGGTAGCAAAATGATAAAACTTCTACCCTTCTGGAACTTGTTTCCGCCACTTCGACATTCTCGCAAAGACTCGTAGTAGAGTGACGACGGCTACCACGTTTTCCCGCCAAAATGACGCTGGTTCACGCGCGAGCACTACCCATTACTGAGGAAATCTCGTGCTCGTAGTCGTACTCGTCTTAGAATCTAAAGCTGTCCATTAACTTCCGCTACGGTCCGAATTCCTGTTCGCGCAACACCAAAGTGTGACACAGAACCTATCCGATCTGTGACGCTCCCCTTTCGAGATCAGCGCGGCTCAGCTTCCCTTAGCCTCCCACACAGACGATCTTAAGGCTTCGTGGGGCAGGAACGCGTGACGAACCCCTAAGAACGTCTGCGTGGGAGGCTAAGCTTCCCTCCGCTGCAGAAATCACGTCGACATAACCGTTCTTATGCCTGAACGGAAGCCCTATCCGTTATGGTTTTCGTGCCGGCGCTAAAGCTATCTGGTAAAGTGTGAACATAACCCAGATCCTCGTAACGTGATGAGATTAATCGAGTAACACGGATACAAATTCACCTTGGATAAAAGCGCTCCTTGGATTGTAAGTTTTTAAAATCTTCAGACTGGGAGCCGAAAGTGCCCTTTTATTAAGACTACGTTCAGACAAAAAATTGATGCATATTTGATATTTCTTGGCAGTTGAACAAGATGTCAGTAGTTCAGAGGACAAAACAGGGACCTACGACGCAATTTGTGAGTACCATTTTTGTGAACATTTCTCTCTACCTGTACCATCTTAAAGCGTTAAGTCTTCACAACGTGTAATCAATTGCAGGACGTCAAGAGAATTGAGGATTTCGTGCCGCCTAAACTAATTTCGTGATATACCCTTTGTCAACGTCACATCTATCAAGTCATGAATTAAGGATAGCGCTAAAAAAGAGAATTTGCTTACTGACTCTCCAGATAGAAGTAAAGTAAAGTAAATTATCTTATTTTTTTTCCATATTTTGCCCTAACAATTGTTCTTCCCTAGGCCAGGTTCGAGCCTCACGGCATAAGAGACCTTAAAATTTTAAGACGAAGACGGCTACGAGAACGAGATTTACTCAATACTAAGTAGTGCGCGCGGGTGAACCAGCGTCATTCTGGCGGGAAAACTTGATAGCCGTCGTCATTCCACTACCAATTTTATCGAAATGTCGTCGTGACGGATACAAGTTGTCAAATGTTTGAAGTTTTATCATTTTTCGTTTGGGAGAAGGGTTAACATTACTGTGTGAACTTTTCTGGTGAAAAAAATAAAATAAAATAAAATGAAACTTTTTTTCGGGTTGTCTGTTTTTTAAGAATACGCAAAAGAAACTTTAAGTCAAATCTCGTCCTTGCAGTCATCCTCGTCCCCGATCTCCCGGCGGCAATATCTACAGAAACGCCTGGATATAAGCTCTGACTGCGTGAGCACCTGCCTCCTGCGAGGCTTTAAAGACAAACGAGATGCGTGGGAGCTGGACACAAGCGAGATAAGCGAGAGAGAATGACTCGAAAGAGCGCAGGGCGCCAGCGGGGAGTCACTCCTTTTCTCCCGTGCTTTACTTAATAATTAACTCAAATATTCCACCCTCCCCTACCCCCACCAAAAAAAGATCGTGAGCCAGAGGGGACGAGGCAGCGTAAGCACCGTAAATCGCAATCAGCCTTTACTATTTTACCTTCTTCTCAAGGCTTAAGTTTGAGCGTGCAAGGATAGGGTCCCCTCCCCTCCCCCCAACCTCCCGCCCCATCCCCATCGGCCGCCTGGCAGCATCATTGCTAGCGGCAATCTTTGACGTTAAGACCACGATCCTTTTATGTTTCTAATTTTTATTCTTTTCACTTCTATTAGATGACAAAATAAGCGAAACTTTCAACGAGCTTGTCAAATGGGTGGACGTTTCAGATGCAAAAGTAAGTGTAACAGGAACGTATGTTATGTTTTGAGTTCAAGGCAACACAAAACACGGAGATAGTCACTCAGTAATTGCAAAGCTGTCACCATTATAAAAAGGGCGTTTTTAAAATCCTGCACCACAAAACGTTTACATTGCCATAATGTGAGAACTTATACATGAAACTATCTACAATCATGATACACTGCATTACAAACAATAATTACAATGATCGAGGTTTACAATTCACTTACAAAAGAAATACCTACAGCAGAGAAGGGGTCCCAGTGGAATCTATTCATGTTTCCAGTAGAATAAATTCGTGTGTATTGAACAATCCTCGTATGCTAGTGAGCAAAGAGTGGGCATTCTTGAGACGGACTAAGAGAATGCCAAAAATTACTGTACTCCACATGCAACTTTCATTTTCAGGTCTTGCCGTTTTACATTCGCCGAGCGGAAGCACTGAAACTCTACGGTTTGGCACTTAAGGCCTCCATGAAACAAAATGGAGACGGCAATCCCAAGGCAGCTGACGAGAAGAATATTGAGGTATAAATGTGCTCTCTTTTTTTCGGTCTTGAAGCGTAAATAATTTTTTTAATATTCAGAGCTACACTCTTTGCTAGGATTACTCTTGCCTGTAAGCAAGCTTTCCGGGCTGCTTTGGCCGTCATCCCCGTACCCCCGGGAACTCCGATAGAGTTTGCTTGCTGGCTAGGATTACTCCGGCTGCTAACTGGACACTACTTTGTGCAAAGCTTGCTGCGGCGAAGTCGCATTCCTTTGAGGGCTCATACAATTTTTTTTTGTTGTCATTTTTCAGTTGTGCGAGAAGCTCGGTTGGGAACATTGTGCCAACTCCATCAGAGCAAGCCTTCTAATCAAGTATCCTGCAAAATATCAACCCTTTTAATCAGTTCTTCATGTTAGACTCACTGAGTTTTACATTTCACACGCCACGTGGACATCTCCCATAATGCACCTTATTTGCCCCCCCCAAAATTTTGTATCTCCTTTGTTTTTCATTTCTCCTGGGCCCAGTTGTTCGAAGGCCGATTAGCGCTTAACCCTGGTTTCTCTTTCGTGTGTTCAAAAGCATTTTCTGGGATAATTTTCTCCGTTATATTTAAAGCTTTCAATCATCAACTTGTGGACAAAAAGAATTAAAACTGAACAACTCGGCCCTGGGTATTACAGCCGTCCCAAGAGAAATTGAAAACAAAGCTTATGCAAAATTTGGGGGTTGGGTGGGGGGGCAAATAAGGTGCATTATGGGAGTTGTGCAAGTAGCGTATTTTTAGGTCGGTAGGAAGATGCTTCCGAAACACAAGCAACCACTCAATAATCTTAACATAATGCAACCGGGATAAATTTTGGTGTCGTTTTTATTACATCCAGAATGGAAGAAATATTTTTCTCATTTTTTCAGTTCTCGAGCAATATTTTCTACTGGATTGTTAGGAGATATGAATACTGCCGGACTGTTGTTTTATTTGAAAAGCTAAACATCAGGATTTTCAGTTAGAACCAATACAACTTGTATAGCATTCTAAACAGAATCCAACTAGCTTTCACTATTGCGAAAGATTATTTCGTTTCATAAATTGATACTGAATAGTTTTGAATCGTGAATCAACAAGATCTTAACTTTTTCGCTCCAACTTGGTATGTAGGGTATTATTCTAAGTGTAATGACTCCTTTGAAAAAAAGAACAGACAGGGAGGAGGAAAGGACGGGCGGACGGATGGACGAACGAAAGAAAGGATGCAGTGAAAGGTTCGGCTCAGTGCTGTCAGTAGCCCGGGATTGTGGGTTCCTGATTTAGTCCATATTTTTGCAATTGTAGCAATGTTTTAGTAAAGAAAGAAAAAATCCCAACACGCAATATTTGTTCGTCTTCGTACTTGTTTTCTTTCTTTTTCACAAAAAAGTGTTAAAATCTACACTTCCTTGGGGCCTTCTTGCGAAGGCTTGAATCTTTTAGGTGACAACGTCAGTGATATATGTGTATTTCAGCTAGTCTGCTACACAGCCGTTTTTAGTGTCGTCACGCAACGCTCCTCTGGGGAAGAGCGTTATGTGACGACTCTTAAAACGGCTGTGTAGCAGTGAGACTATATTTCAGCCCGGTATGTCTGACCTGGGGAATTACAAAACTTTTTTAAGCTTACGCTTTTGCTTTGTCTACCACTTATTTAATATGTACGTTTGTTAAATAAAGAATGAACTTTGGTGTTACCAATTTTTACTTGGAAATGTCTTCTGACAGTTGCTCAAGTCAAATCCAGCTTTGCTCACTGCCTCAGATGGACGAGGTGTTGTCTTTCTGGGTTGATTTTATCCATCTTTTAAAACCGCAGCAAATGCAAGACCAAGGTTTCTTCAACAAGAAAGTCAACGGGAAAACTTTCTTTCTTTCTTTCTTTAGTTAGTTATAGTTAGTCAGTTATTTTTTTTTTCACTATGGTAGCCTGCTTAGCTGCAAGGATTGTTATGCGCGGGAGTACTTTCTTGGCGTCGAAGGACATTTAACTTGGTCTCAATCTACTCGCGGCTCTGCCGGCTAAAAACAACAGCACTCGCCCGCTGTTCCCGCCAGCTACGAGGGTATCGCTATGGATACTATCATCACATCATCGTAAGGCTATACCCACCAACCCCTCCCCTAACCCAACATTTTGCTCTAAGTGAGAGAACGGTATAATAGTCTTGGAAACTGCCACCCACCCCTGTCCTAACCCAACATTTTGCTCTAAGTGAGAATTGAGTGTTTTTGTTGGCTAAAGGGAGGGGTAGGTAGGTGGCTTCCCAGAATCCCGCACGAGCAATGGTTTTCCTTGACAGTGAACTAAATATTTTCTCTTGTTAAAGTAGACTTACTGGTGTACATGGGTCCCCATATTTTTTTAAATGTCATGAAAGATATTAATCATCGTGGATAACGTTAGCCTCCCCGTAGACATCCTTTTGGGTTCGTTCGTCACGCATTCCAGGTTATAGTTTTATCGTTTGTCTCACTATTGTAACTTTAATATCGATCGCGAGATTTCGACCGTACACTGCATGTCTTCATCACGTGATAGTGTCGAACTATTTGTACCACTGTGGTTGTTCGTGATTGGTGAATCACAGACCTCGCTCATGGTTGGTGGGTTTCTGTCCAAAGTATTATTGGTATTGTGAGAGGAAGAAACTGATCCCTCGGTGGTCCGCTGTGGTAGAGGTCGGTTGTCATGTTGTCTGATTGTAGGCATCCACGCTTCAGAAATCTCAATTCCACTGTCCCTGTTGACTTTGTTAGGTTGAAGTCTTATGTGGATAGCCTCCTTAACTATACAAGAGTACCAGTGAGGGTCTCGGTCAATAAACGTAACCTCGTCCCAGAGCGCATAACGCCCGGTCTTTTTGGCCTGTTCAGAATCGGCCGAAATTTGAGTTCGTGAAAGCCGTGTATTCCTATCGTCCTCCTTAATCAGTTCATGTATGCACCTTCCGATTTCGCCAATGTATACTTTGCCTCATTCACAAGAAATCTTATACACTACTCCATCTTGTTTTCGTGGGTCCACAGGATCCTTAGGTCGCACTAAGTGTTGTATCGGATTTGAAAGCAGGTCGTACGCCATGCTGTTGTAGGCAAAAAGAAGTTCAGATAAACGTTTGATGTTTGGCAGAGCCGCTGTAGATTTAAGTTTGGTTGCGGGTTCTTTGTCAGATGCCTGCCGGATCTTGGATTTTGTGGTGTTAGTTACAAACGAATAAGGGTATCCGTTTGAGACAAGGACAGAAGTTAAATGCTTCTTTTCCCTCAGAGGTAGCCGGTGGTTTAGTGATGATTTTTTTTTATTGATCGTACAAGCAGTTGACAACACCGCGTTTAACTGATTGAGGGTGGTGTTAGTCATAAGACAGGTACTGAGCAGTGTGCGTAGGTTTTCTGAAACACTTGTAGTGAGGCGTCCTTCTGAATCTTTTATGACCAATGTGTAAAGAAAGGGAATTGCGTTGTCATTCGTTCGTTTTGTTTATATCGTAAATGGTTCGTCTCAAATAATAATTTCTTTCTTCCTTCAGTTTTCCATTGCGCAGTCGTTGTTGTCTATAATATCTAGTTATTCCACTCCGAACCATTTTGCTGTGTCTCTTCCTGATCCGGGAGGAAGTTCTCTCTTTTCCTTAGCCTACTATCAGAGGCTTCCTGTGTAGGAATCGCGGGTCCTTAGGTCGCGGGCGAACTACTCGCGTGTCCCTCGACCCTTTACGAGGGTTGCTCGCGGGCCATTCGTAGCTACTCCATACACTAGCGCTATTTTCCTCGCTTGTAAAGTCCGTTCGTTTGTAGTAATACAAAATGTGCCTAGCTTGAAACTTTTATCGATGTAAATGACGACTCAAAACACAACATTTCTTTCCAAAATTACCCATTGCTACATTGTCCCGCCCTGAAAATCTTTATAATTCCAGTTTTCCCTTTGTAACACTTTACTTACGCTCTTGTTCCACTCCAGAAATTTTCATCTCTGCGTAGTTTTCCCACTTCCAAATGTTTTCTTTGTTTCCATTGTTCCACTTTAAGAATTTTCACCATCTTTAGTGCAATGTTCCACTCCAATACTTTTCCTTATCTCATTTTTCCACTTCTAATATTTTCATTAAGCTACCTTTTCAATTAGATTTTAGTTTCTGATTGACTGGTTATTCATGTTGACGAAAGAAAGGCTTTGCTTGTCGTAATTGATCACTTAGATGGCGGACTTATCCATAACGATATTTTCTGCAGACTTCTTCCGCACATATAAATTTTCACTTTTTTTGTTTGGGTCAAAAGTTATCGAAAGATCCGTAACAGACAGTGAGCACAACTGGATAACCTTTAGAAAATTACCATCACAATAAATGAGTTTATGGATCGAACATCTGTTTTGTTCAGAATGACAAATTCTTCCAACCAAACATCGATACATGAGATAAGTACTTGCTTTTCTTTTGACGATAGTGTCGTTGCTTACTGTGTTTTTATTTGCGGTGAGCAGACTTGAAGGATCTTGAGGGGTATAAAGAAAATTGAATCGATCTCTTTACTTATGTGCGTTTGTCCCGCACTGATAGGTTAACGGTGGATTTAACAACAACTATTGTGTATTCACAAAATAAACTTTTTAATGAAATGGAGAATCTACTCATGTGTGAAGTCAAAATTTCATAAATTAACTGGGTGAAAGTGAAAGAGATTTTATCTTTATACCCATTAAGAAAAGAACGGTTTTTCACTTTTTAAATGTAGATTCACGGTGTAGGAATTCTCGCCAACTATTAGCTTCAATTGTCACTCATTAAAAATACAGGTTATTTATTTTATACAGTTATCAATACTTTTTTTTCTAAAACAAAAACCTTTTCGCAGACAAAATAAACTTTTGAGAACCGGGAAGGTATTTCAACCTGAAGCATTAATATTATACTGATCTGTACTGGTAAAATTGGTTCCTTAGAAATAAGGATGTAAAATTTGATATGTTAGATATACGGTATTCATTTTTTTTTTTGTTGAATGCAATTTTTGACTAGATTAAAATGGCACTACCCATTTGACGTAGGAGAATAAAGGAATGCACTTATCTCTGACTGAACTTAGCCCGGAATCGCGAGATTTTTCGAAGAAATTGTGGATTTCAGAGTAGTTTTCCCTCCACAACCAGTTCGACCAATCATAAAGCTTCTCGATTTTCCCGCGAACGAGGCAGCAAAGAAATGCAAGGAATGTTGCATTTGCGCAGTGCGTTACTATTAGCCACGTGGTTAATTATTGGCCAATCAAAACGCAAAATTAAACCCCACCGCGAAGATCGTTTGTCAGGGGTCTGAAGTCGGTGCAAAAACATGTCCTCTCAAGCGGAGAATTGAAAAAGTTCACTCTAATTTCTTCCATCTTAACCCTCAAATATGCCTCAGGGGACGATCTTGCAGTAAAACAATCATTTCCAAACACTTTGATAGCGATCGCTTGAAAATCAGAGCTAGTTCTTCAAGGCGATTCTGGCAAGTTTGTTTCGCACTCGTACCGTTGAGGCTGTGCGCAAACTTTGGTACACGATTCACTCATGCGATCGGTTCACCCTAAAGTGAGAGCATTAACTTCACTTTAGATTACACCGATGTCGAATCCTACAGCCACACTTACAAGCTTGTGGATCGAAGGTTGGTATCATGCGTTTTCCCTTTTGTACACACGTGTTAGGTCGCTTTTAGGCAAGTTGGTGTGTTAATATGTGAACTCTAGTACCTCGCCTTCCTTCTTTATTTCAAGAGGTATACATTTTTTTTGTAGCGCACGAGACAATTTTGCGGCACGGGTTTGTTTACTACCAGCCGGTCTGCGGATAAAGGAAAAGAAGAATCTGTTTTGCTTTCATGCGTATGGACATCACACGCTTGCTTTTATCACAATTCAATTTACAAATGAAAGCTGCTGATTATTCAAATTTCTCTTGTAGGTCAACCAAGCCCTGTTAAGAGTAACCCGTCTACTCCGGTAAAAGGGGCTTTGAATCGGGACGCGTCTATGGTTCAGGAAGACTTTATAAAGTTTTACAAAGATACTGGGCTAGAACCCCTGGCTCGAGAGGTACGTAAGCTTGAATCTCCTCGTGCTTCCCCCGCGACGAATCATCTCTTTCTTCATCCGATGCGTGAGCAGTATAAAGTATACTTTGAATTTACCCTCATTGGCTTCTAGCATCACGATTCATAATTCATGATAACACTTCTCAGAGCTCATCGAAGCTTCAGATGCGACTTATTGTGATTATCATTTCGTTTTGGCCGTCTGTGTCCCCGATTGCATCTGAGCTCATTCAGGCTTATTCAATATGACTTCGATTGAATTCAACTACCTGCATGGAACGGCCCCCTTAATCTCCACAGAGAATGAACTATGTCCTTAACTGCTGAACTAAAGCTTTTCTCGTCCTCTTTCTATATTTTGACCAACAGGTCGGCGTCATAGACAACAATGGGACTATAGATGGACTAAAAGACACATCTCTTCCTACTAAAGTCAATAGTAAGAATTGCTTTCACTTTTGTTTACTTGGATTAGATTTAGCTTAGTTAAATCTATCTTCTTTGACGTGTGTGTAGTGTAGCGTCAACTTGCCTTTGCTGTGTACAGTTTCCTGAGATCGAAACGATAATTCTGCAATCTTGTTGATGTTTATATCGTGCATTTTCAATGATTTTTCCTTGCATCATTTTTATTGATTATGTATTAAGATGTTAATTTTCGAGCTATTAATTTCTTTAACTCGGTTGTGCATATTAATTGGCTTATAGTTCTTAAGACTTTGATTTTCAACCTTGTTTTTCTCTCTTGGGAAATAGACATACAGTACATAGAAGGTAAACAAAGTGTTATATGAGAATGAATAATATTAAGAGTTAAATTTGTACTAATTATTTTATTTGCAAGAAGTGATTGATTGGTTGATGCTTCAATGCTCTTTTTCAGTGCTCAGGCATCATGACTAAAATTTTATGAGAAAAGTTAAATAACTGGTTTTTATGATATTGAAGTGACATCAGTGCTCACCTTCATCTAACAAGTGAAATTTGATTTGCCGGCCTTGAGTTTGCATTAAAGTTGCATTAAGACAAATAAAGGGTGTGAGATTTCAGTGTTTGTTTTAAGAGCTGATTGTAAAAGACTATTGCACTTAGCCATTCAGTAGCCTGAGAAAACAGCCAACATTTGGCAACCCTACCACTGGTTTCCCTGCCAAATGATATCTGAGAAATCAAAAACAAAGGCAGAAATTCCATACTGATGACGCATCACTACCCAGATCTTGGTAGTGCTTCTGGTTGGTTGAATCAAATTTCCCACACGGCATGTCCAATCAGAAGTACTACCCAGATCTGGGTAGTGATGCAACATCAGTATGGAATTTCTGCGCTTGTTTCTCTGGCGTCATTTGGCAGGTAAACCAGTGATAGTGTTGTCAAATGTCAGCTGTTTTCTCAGGCTAGCCATTTAGACTCTATTTTACTTATTATTTTTGAGGGACTATGCCATAGTACTTGTATATGAGGTGATCTTGCAACTTTTCATAAGCTACTATCTCCATTCTTGAGCTTTTGGCAAAACAAGTCATGACAAAGTCTTTTGGGGTTCAGATTCTAAAGACTTGAATCGTATTTTTGGATGTTCAGTTAAGAAATACAAAATCTGTGTTCAGGTTAAAGAATCTGGTGTATAGTTTTTCATAAGAAGTTCATCCTTAATCGCAGCTCTCCTAGTTTTATCGTCTTTAGCAGTTACAGGATAAGGTTGAGTATGATCTGGAGAATTATGCAATTTGAGGAGGGTGTATTGTTGGCCTTGGCAGGTGACACCCTCCAAGAACTGCATAATTTTCAGATCATACAGAAACCCCATCGACTTTCTGTACAGTTGACATCATTGGTGCAAATATTACAAGCATGAAGTCCAAATGTGATCAACGTGTTTATTGCATGAGGTTTTTGTGATATCCATAATAATCAAGATCTCCATAGACTGATCAAACTTGCTGAGACCTTTATTAGACCAGATATCACAAAAACCGAATCTTATCATAATTAGTGTTTTATTATACATTCTTTTGAAGAACATAACAACAAAAACACCCGTCGCTTTTGGAAATCATGCATTGCAGTCACAACCTACAGCTTAGTCTGTTCTCTGCTAGCAGATAACTAACTAATCTCTAAGTTGTGCTGTTTTTCAAAAGTAACTGTTGGCTCTCAATCAATGAGAAGATGGGTAAATAATTTATAATAATATTTTGTTAGTTAAGGCTATGAGATCATTAACTTGCATATCTGTATGTGTGTGTGTTTTTTTAACAGCTGATCAGCCAAAAATAGTGAGCAGTTCCACTGTTTTGCCTGTTACAACTGCCAAAATGTCACCTGTTATTTTACCCAAAACTGTGAATTCTGCAGCATCACCCATGGTAAGGCTAGAGATGATTTGACAAAGGATATCACATCAAGAATCATAATGTTTTGTTATTCAACTTTCACTGAGATCAGCTAAAATAGGCAGTTTTAGTAATAAAGGCATTGAAATTCCTCAAATCTCTATAAACCTTTAAAAGAACTTAAATTCTTTCATTGCTCTTGAAAAGTACTTGAAGTTAGTACTTTCAACGCAGTGAATCTTAATTAACTGTTCATCATGCATTGTAGGGGATTTCTGCAGCTCAGTTAATTATTACCTTGTCAGACTTTTTTTTCTTTCCTGACTTTTTTCTGATAGAAAAAAATACTTCTTATTTACATAGTCCAAGAAAAAGGGCATGCAAAATTGATTTCTTGAAAAGTGATAGTAGAGTTATTTCAACTGCTTATGATGTTGTCTGTGGTACCAGTAAGAGATGTAAAAAATCCCTGAAATTCCTTTCTGCCTATCTTTTGATGTCTGGGTTTCAACAGTAACACAACACAAGTGGGAGTGTGTTAGCTATGAGTTCTCATCTCACTTTTCAAGCACCGTAGATGCTTGCAAAAATGGAAGAAGTAAAATGATGTTGGCCTTCCTAAAGTTCCTTGTTCTATTATATTGCTTTTGTACTTGGCCTTGTATTTGCATTGGTGTTTGTTTTTACTTAATTCAAAACTTCTTGGTAGTGCTTGTGCAATGCTTACATCACTTAAGGAAGCTGGGCCTAAAAATAACCCTTAATGAGTAATTATTGACTTTGTTGTTTGTTTGGTAGGTCATTGGTTCACCTAACACACACCAGGTAATTGCTGTTGGTGGAAGCCCAAGAACTCCAACAATGATTGCAGCTCCAATTGTTCCAGCTAACACAAGCTCTTGGCCAAGGTAAATGTGGGAGAATTATGTCTGCAAATACATATTGCTATGTTAAAAATTTTAACCATTCCAAAATTTTTCTTGACAATAACTCTCAAACTGCTCTCCTTCATTTTCATAATTATATGTCTCTTATAGAAAGAAAAATTGAGAACTAAAGTACATATCATCTTGTCTGATCTTGACCTCTCTTTATATACATTAGGCACTGAATTGCAATGAAAACATTAAATAACTGTGAAGATTTAAGGTTGCTGTTGAATTACAAATCTAAAAAGGGTTTTTCCAATAAAATATAAGAAAACCAAGAAAGCTACAAATATTTCCAGAATTGTGTTGCAAGGAAAAAGTTGATCAAGTATTAGATAACTAAACTACAAGCAAATATGACAAACAATGAGATCTTTAACCTGCGAGCAAGCTCTGCGGGTTGCTTTGGCGCAGGCTATAGCTACGAGATCTTCAAGTGGAACTGGCTGTCATACAGTCTCAAAATATTCCAATGCTTTTTTTAGAGTTTGACAGTTACAAAACAAGGCTGTGCTCTAACGGCGCCCGGTCGCCTGAGGCGACTAACATTTAGCTTCGGGCGACTGAAAAAAAGTTCCCGGTCGCCCGGCCGGGCACTCTTGCTTCTGATGCAGTGTTCAGTTAAGCAGGAAGAAAAATTTAACATACTGGTGTTGGCTTGTTGAGTCAGAGTTTAGCTAAACCCTACAGAAAATGTTTTTACGAATGTTGTACGAGAGAAACGGGCGCACGTTGATGTCTTTCTGCATGATTTCACACGTAACATAATCCATCACTTTAAACGTGACAAGCGGCGAGGATTTCGATTTGTACCGCTGCTTAAAATAGTTTTAAAATTTTTTCTTTCAGAGAGAATGGCTCATTAGGTACAGTTTTTAGGAGAAACTGTCAATACTTTTCTGACAGACGTAAAGCGCGGCAGGCGACACGGAGTAATTTATTTTTGTAGAAAACGGAAGTTGCTGTATTGACCAGTTAATGCAAGTATAATGTTTTTACGGTTTTTGGCTGCTCTCAGTCTGCTTGGCTAAGACATAACTTATGATTGTTTTCTTCCCTTTACATAAGATAACGAAATAGAAAAAGAAAAGATATGATCGTTCTGATCGTTTTTATTGCTGTTTTAGAAACAGGGTAGTTCCACGTTGTCTTAGCATTTTACGTATCGAAGACTAAATTCTCATGCAGGATAAAGTTTAGCGGCCAAAAAAATAAAATAAAAACACAGAAAGAAGAGCTGGTTTACGCTTCGACCGTATCCACGAAAAGCTCAATTATCCTAAAAGATTCAGTGATAATATAGAAAAGAAAATTAAATATGACTTATTTTTTATTAAAACAATAGGTTTGGGGCCGCGGCGGTTTCACTGTTTCACGGAATTTTTCACGGGAACTTGAGTTCGATCTGCCGCGTATAAAACTCTGTCACATTATATTTCATGCCGCATTGATTCACCTTTTGAAAATTTATTTTCAAGTTTACTATTACTGGTAAAAAGCACAGTTTTTCTATGTTTGACCCAAAGATCTTAATGAAGTTTACGTAAACCTGCTGAAATTTTTTACTTTTCCTAAACAATTCGGTGGCATTGCTCACGTTTCTGGTTTTAAATCTGAATGGCACGAAAACTTTGATGGGTTTCATAAGACAACAAGCGGGTTTTTGTCGAACCCAAAAGCTAAAATTACCGAGTTTGGTGATCAGCAGACGAGTAAGATTCGCGTTTGTTCAAAACACTTCCTCATCAGATGTACTCGGGCGACCACCTTGAGAGGCCTGGGCACCCCAGCTGGAATGCTTAGGAGCCCGAAGGGCTCCCCGAAATTTTTATTCGGGCGACCAACTTTGAGGTCTGGGCGACTTAAATAAAATGCTTGGAAGCCCGAAGGGCTCCCTGAAATTTTCCTTAGAACACAGCCTTGCAAAATGTGACATGTCAAGTTTTAAAGTCAACTGTGTGCCCAGCTCATGGCAATCTCGCTTTTTACATCTTAGAGTAACACCTAGCAGTGGAAAGAAAAGAAGGCTTGATTTGATGGAAAGTGACAACATTCTAGATAGCGGAGACAGGTAAAATACCCTATCATGAACTTCATTTAAACACAGATTTGCTGATGTCATGGAAGTAACTGTAGGTGAAAATGTAGGTGAGATATACATGAACTCCACCTGGTTAGCTCAGTTGTCAGAGTACTGGTCTGCCAAGCAGGAAGTCGTGGGTTCAAACCCAAGCCAGACCAACAACCAGGGTCTTTAAAAAACTGGTGAGATCGTGCTGTCTGAGATTTGAGATTTCTCAATTCATATGATCGCATCATAGGGCTGTGACGTCAAGCCATTGGCCTTGTCTCCTTCGTCCTTCTCTTATTGGTGAAATCAAATGGGGCATAAAAGGACCTACACTATTGTTTGAAAAGAGTACGGCAAGTTTCCCCGGGGATGTGGTCTACCTTTCACATGTCATTCATATCATGGGCTATCAGTGGGTTGCTGTGAGCTTATAAATGAACTGTTAGCGGCTGCCAGTGACTCCCTTGTATGCTGACGTCTGAGCATACTGTTAATATCTACTGTAAAGAGGGTGCGTCTTGTCCTCTAATCCTCAACATTCCGTCCCATTCGACATTCCATTCCGTTCCATTCCGTATTGTTTGTTTAGAAGATGTTGTATGTCCATCTTGTTTGTTTAGTTTTTCTTTGTACCTCATGAAGGATTGCTCCAGCAAAATTGATTTGTCTGTTTTCTGCAGGAAAAAGGGCAAACGTCTACCCAACGCTGGCCGCGCAGTTGGGCCAGGTGACAAAGATAAAAGTGAAAAAGGACTGAGACACTTCTCAATGAAAGTTTGTGAGAAAGTTCAGCAGAAGAGAACAACATCATACAATGAGGTACAAGCAAAAAACATCTTAAGTCCATACATTTTCACTAATGTTCCCTTGAGCGAGGGCTCCCCTGTATAATCTTTGTATTAGGTATTAACTCTGTTGCAGTGTTCTCACCAGGCCGCAGCCTTGCGGGATTCCCGCAAGAAAAACTGAAATGGCGCATTAAAACCAAGAAGATGCGCCCGTTAGGGCACAGGGGCAAGCTACGAGTCAAACGGACTTAAGTAGTATAAATGGTCAACCTAACACTAAAACATTCTGTTTGTTTGAATAAATAAAAAACATGATTTCAAATGAGTCAAAGTCTTTAATTTTGTTGCCTTTACTTTCATTGGTCCCACGCAAGCCCCACTACATCGTAAACTCCTCCTCCGAATCGTAAACACCTCTTCCGCCATATTGGATCAGGTAGGTACTTCATGTAACAGACAATTTGGAGTGCGGGCTCAGGTTCTTCGTACCGCGTGTTTTTTGTAACTTTGTCCCCCTAATGTTCTTACAGGGCCCCTATTTCTCAGAAGAGGGGGCCCTGGGACTCCCCATGGCAAAATCCTGGTGAGAACACTGCTGTTGAAGGGACCTTCTATTAAGGGGCTACTTGTCTTCACCCAGAGGATGTCTCAGGAGAGGCCTTCCATGGGGTGGAAGCAACAAGCAACGTAGCCTCAAAAACTGGAGACAGTCTTTTGAGAAAGCACCAGCAATCGACAGAAAAAGAAGATTGAATTCTGACAGCAACAATTAATTTTTTAAATAGTGAAAGTGGCATCTTACATCTTTTATATTTTGGCTCTGTTGGCAGTTATTTTCTTTGAATCATTTTCTAATGTTGGTATTATTGAAGATCTGTCCAACTCAGGAGAAATACTTAATAATTCTTTTCAGGTGCTGTATCTGCTGTAATTTCCAAAATTGGTATCACAGAAATTTATGCTGAACCAACAGAGACATTTTCTTTGCTAGCTACAATGCAACAGTGACATTTTTCGTAATCTACAGGGCGGCAAGCAGTCTCAGAAATGAGAGACAGCATACCCCCCTCCCTCCCCCCCTCCACTTCCCTTGAGTGGTTGGGATCTGCCACTGTACTTTTCCTAAAATCTCTTATTTTAGAAGGAAAAGCCCTGGAACTGGGACATTCAGACCTCTTTGGATGTCTTTGTACCTCTTTGTATCTGAAAGTGTCCCTTTGAAAAATCCTGGATGCTCTCAGAATAAAAATCTCAGGTCTTTGACCCCAAAGAAGGTGACAGATGTTTGTATAACACAGGTTTAACTGTGTGAAGTCTGTCTGTCAAGCTCTCAGTCTCCTCAGCTGCTACAAATAGTCAATTCACGTAATTGCCGCAAGTGCCCCTGATTAGATCCCACTTGTGATAAGTTTGATGGCCCATGCTCCTTATATTTATTAATTTTTCTGTAAATAATGGGAATATATAATTATAGCTTGTTCCTAAGTAATTTTTTTCCGGTTAGGTTGCAGATGAACTAGTACAAGAATTTAGTGATCCTGACAAGCACCTCTCGCCTACTGATCAGGTACTTGTTCCTCCTCATGTTGTTATTATAGTGTCTGTTTTAGTGTTTTAATCATAATGCAGGGTGCAAAGAAAGTCAGTTTTACAGCTTGTCATTTCGGGCAAGCTGTAGCTAGCATGTACTATCCCAAGAGTCATTTTAACAAGCCAGGAAAAATTGTTTGACAAGTAGTATTGATTACGGTTCTTCTGTAATTTAAATTCCCTAAAAACCGTCACCTGCTTGTCAGGCAAGTTAAGAACCAAATTCACTTGTCTGATAGCAAAATCTACTAGCCCCAGGCTATCAGAGACCCCTTTCTTTGCAAGCTGATAATGGTAATTCATTTTTGCTTTCTTTTTGTTTCAATTTTTGTTTCTGTGTGGTCAGTTTGTAAAGAACTGAATTAACAAAATTGCAAAGTAGGCTAGTTTGGAATCGCAGAATACATTCTACTGTAAAGCTACCATAGTTTTTCAACAGTAAGCCAAGAATTTTCTTCGGCGAAAAGCAGGTTCCAACTTATAGTTGGGAGCTGTTCAAAATCAAACATAAACTCATAAGTAAAGGACATGACACATGGCCAGGCAAGGCTTTTGGCAAAATATTCAATTTTGAGAAGTGATATCAAACAAACCTGGCTGACGTTACATTCTTTAATTCACCGATTGGGATCTTCTAGGGTTACCTGTATTTTAAAGAATTTTTTCTGAACCATCTTTTTCATCATATATGTATTTCATTTGTATTTTTGCTAGGCTTATGACCAGAAGAATATCAGAAGAAGAGTATATGATGCTCTGAATGTTCTAATGGCAATGAACATCATTTCAAAAGAAAAAAAAGAAATCAAGTGGGTGGGACTACCTACAAACTCTGCACAGGAATGTCAACAGTTAGAGGTGGGTAAAGTAGGTTGATAAGTGGGGTCAAGCTTAATTTATTTAAAAGTTGCCTTTTAGTGACCCAAAATTATAAAATGGTCACCAGACTTACAGTCAAACCCGGAAAACTGTGAACACCAGAAATAGTTCTGGAATGTTGTTGTGTTGCAAGAAAAAATTAAAAGCCAATCATGCGTGAGAAAAAATTAAACCGCAAGGAAGAACATCAATCACAGCAAAGATCAGTACAAGCAAGCAAACCACGAAACCACAACTAATTATTAGTTGTGGGTTTGTGGTTTGCTTGCTTGTACTGATCTTTGCTGTAAATTGGTCTTAACACAATAAACGTTCTTGAAATATTCCAAGTGTTCACAGTTTCCCAGTGGCACTGTAACATATTGATGGCCAGAAAAAGGAGACACTCAGTAACAAATTTCTTGAAAGGTTTGAAATATTAAATTTGGCTACCCTACTTTTGCAATGGTGGGTACCTGCAAGATCTCAAGGTCTTAGAACTAGACAACAAGGATAAGGGATGAATATTTATTAAAGTTAAAAGACTATAACCTGAACTAACTAAAAAAACTTTGGCTTGACCAACTGATATTCGCAACTCTACATCCACCTGATTTTACTGTACACTGTACATTTTAGTCCTTTATAATGCTGTGTTTTACCACTTTTAGGAGGAGAAAAAAGAAAGGGAAGAGAGAATAAGACAAAAGACTGCTGAGTTGCAAGAACTGATTCTTCAAGTAAGACATCACGTTATTAATTTTTTTTCAAAATAGGAACATGATAACTGGATAGATGGCATTATATGCTGGGCTAACTTAAGTTCAAATGTTCACACTTGTCAGTAGCCTGCGAACAGGCTCTCAAGGTGGAGGAGGGCGGAAAAAAAAGTGGTCAAGCGACGACAGCTGAGTGTGGCGTTGGGGAAAAAAGGCGTGGGAACCTGTAGACTTTCTTTTGGTGCCACCCATCCACCCACTTCCAATTATTCTGTAACACACATGTCAATAACACATGTCATTAACAAGGCTGCTGCCTAACGGGCGCCCGGTCGCCAGAGGCGCCCAAGGTAAGAGCATGGGCGACCAAATTTCGGTACAAGGAGCCCGCGCGGGCGCCTGACTTAACACACGGCATTAGACTTAACCTCCTTGTACATTATATTCCTTTAGCTGGAGTAGGACTTTAAACAGTGGAACTGTTGATATGGTTAGCGATGATGCGATTAGGCAGTATAAAATTTCCACAAATAAACCGTAAATTATGTAAACCTAACGTGTTCAACTGTGAAGCTTTGTCGAAACGAACGAAGCCATCGTTTCCGAGTCCGGATGGCAGTTGAAGACTGGGTCTGAGATTTGACTTCCAAATATGGAATAGCAAAATTATGGGCTGTTTGTTGCCTATGTTGACATTCGTGCAGTTCATCGTTTGCTTGGGTTTTCGTCGATTTGATAACTTTTTTGTGGCGAGAATGGGAAGCTATCTTGCGTGCTATCGACTGGACGTGCTTGATGTTCGATTTCATGTACCAGTTTGCAACGTATCAGCATTTTCAAGAGACTTTAAACTAAAACTAAACTAAAACTATTCAGCGTTCAAGTCTTGCAACTAGGACACTGGACAACAACTTGCGTATCTCAGTTAAGTACCACAGCCTGAACAAATCAGAGAGAGTCAAGGCCTTCGCTCAATCTGGGCACCTTGCCAATGCAGTCAAGCATTGGCGAGAAAACAGTGTCAGAGCCCGACGAGAGAACTGGGTGGACAAACATCCAGAGGCTAGAACCTGGAGTTCTCTTAAGGGGACAAAACCAAAAGACTGATGAACATTGCTCAATGCTGTGATTTAATTGTAAACTACACTGTGAATTCAAAGGATCTGTTTTGGACCCAAAATTGGGAGTTTTTCCTTGAGTAAAATACAGTACTATTTGAGGGGCTAATTAAGCTCTTCTAAAATGGAGCTGTTTTGGACAACTCCGAGCTGTTTTGGAGAACTTATAAGACTTAAAAAAATGATCTTTTGAATTTACAATGTAGTTACATTGACATAAAATTCTTTTATAGCACAGAATCAGATAGGAAAATGTTATTCAATTTAAATGATTCCTCAAATGTTTAGCACTTCATTTAATGAGATCCATCCAGGCTAAGGTTTACATAAGGCACTTGATGTTCTGTTCTGTTTTTCCTGTTCATGTATAAAAAAGGCAAGGAGAGGATTGGTCTACTTTAGAAAGTTTTTGGAAGACTAGTTAAGTTGTCATGTGGAACACAACTGTTACTGAACAAATGTGAAAGTCAAGTAAATAATTCTGAGTTGAAATTACCTACTGTTATGTTATTCTTTTATTGTGAAAATTGTGAAAATTCCTTTTACACGCAAATTAAGCCCCTCAAATATTTTTCCGGCTCATGAATGTGTATAAGAAAGGTAAGAAGCAGTTTAATTGTTACATTTTAGAAAATTCTTTGAAGGCTCTTCTAGGTCACATTGAACACAACAGATGTGGAAGTTAATTGAATAAATTAATAAATGAAAGTAAATAATTCGGTTAATTCTTGTTTACGTGTTATTTATTAGGCCCGGCGAATTCTTATTAAAGTGTGCAAGAACCTCTATAACCTATGTAATGATCTTGGAAAAACAATACATGGATTTCAAACTGGGCTCCTAACAATGTGGCTCGGGCTCCTAACTTTAAACTTTAGGAGCCCGAAGGGCTCCCTAAAATTTTTCTTAGGCAGCAGCCTTGCATTAAGGTAATTTGACGTGAGAGATTATAATGTTGTTGGGCTTGAATGCATCAGCCTCAATAACATTTGCACACTTGTGTAAGCAGGGCTGTGGCTAAAATTTCAATTTGCTGGGTGTCTGCAATTAGTAGGAGGTGAATTGTACAGCAAGGAAGTTCTTTTGGTTCTATTTTTCTTTTGTTTCCCATAAGAGTAGCCAGGGCTCACATTCATAGTATCCAGGGAAAATCCCTCGCCCCAGGCTCTTAGTGACAGCCCTGTGTAAGTATTTTTCATGGGTATTTATCACTCACTTGTCAACAGTCAGCGATCTGAACAATTAGATCATGATACTGGAATCCGGTATCATGGATGGTTCGCATCTAAGAAAGTCTACAGGCTCTCCAGCCTTTTTGTCTCCCTCAGGCCATGCACAGCCCACTTTTCTTGCCAATTTTTGTTTTTCTCCTGCTCCACATGGGGATCCTGTTTGGCAAACTTGTCATGGTTAGGCTCAACTTACACTGCATAACAAACAGTACGATAAGAAAGTGCTGCTTATAACAAGGGTTCATTATTTTGATTTTTTGTGCAGGATTTCACAGACCCACTTACTAGGATTGCAATTTGATTATTCCTCTCCTATAGCATAACTGAAGATTAAGTTTTTGTCAATAACTTCAGTTGTAACTATTGCTTCCTTCTGTTTCAGCAAATTGCTTTCAAGAATCTTGTCCAAAGGAACAAGCAAGTTGAAAAGGAGCAGGGATCTCCTGCTCCAAACACAGCTATTCATCTACCATTTATCATCGTAAACACAAGCAAGAAAACTGTCATTGACTGTAGTATATCTAATGACAAGTAAGTCCTGTTTTGCTTCCTCAAATTAACACAAAACCACTGGATATCCAGTTCTTGTTGAATATGATGATTGTGATTATCATTTTCATGATGATGATGATGATGATGGTGGTGGTGGTGGTGGTGGTGGTGGTGGTGATGATGATGATGATGATGATGATGATGATGATGGTGGTGGTGGTGATGATGATGATGATGATGATGATGATGATGATGGTGGTGGTGGTGGTGGTGGTGATGATGGTGGTGGTGGTGGTGGTGGTGATGATGATGATGATGATGATGATGATGATGATGATGATGATGGTGGTGTTGTTGGTGATGATGATGATGATGATGATGATGGTGGTGGTGGTGGTGGTGATGATGATGATGATGATGATGATGAGAAGGAGGAGGAGCAAGAGGAGGATAGTGGTGTTGAAGGATGCTAGTAAAATAATGATTTTGTTGATGATCTGACTGAAGATGTGATGTACTTTTGATCACTGATAACAAATTTTACTTTTCTCCCTTTATAGTATGATAATACAGTGGAACCCCGCCTAATATATTATGGCCATATTCTTTCAAACCAAACGTTTGAACCACCTCATTATTACGACCAGGAAAAATGGTCGTGTTAAACTGTATAATGATGAGCTTTGAACAAGGAAAAATGAAAATATTATTCAAGGATAATAGTATTTATTTAAATTCATGATATTGTTACCGATAGGTGCAGGATAGCCAATGTCACTGTGAATACACTCACCTCATAACTGATTTTTGTGTTTTTTGCAGATCTGAATATCTTTTCAATTTTGACAACACCTTTGAAATCCATGATGACATTGAAGTATTGAAAAGAATGGGTATGGCATTTGGTCTGGAGAAAGGACAGTGCACAGAATCCGATCTCAAATCTTCAAGAACGATGGTTCCTAAAGCACTTGAACCTTATGTCATAGGTATGCATTGAAGTTACCTGTTTGATGTGTTTAATCAAACTGAGCTGCCTTAATCAATATTTTTAATCCAGGGGCATCCAATTTATATTAGCAGAGCTAGTTTAAAATGGAGCCCTTAAAGGGGATGGCTGGCAGTTACCACCTCAAGTTTTTTGTGCCTATTCTCCAGGCCGGGGTTGCTCGAAGCATGGTTAGTGCTAGCCAGCATTAAATACCATGGAAACCTATACATTTTGATACCTCTTAACCAACGGTTAGGGCTAACCAGGCTTCGAGCAAGCGGCCCCAGGTTGCTATTATGCACACAGCATGTATGTAGCCAGAACACAATCTGATCTGACATGTGTTTGGACTTTTTGTCGCTTGTAATGCGATCATGCCTGGTTTGAAACTTGCGCAAAGCACAGCATAATTAATGGGGCAAAAGCATTTTGACTTCCAATCATTGTCGCCTGCAACCCCTAACCTTCAGTTTTTACTAGTATGTAGTGTATATATTATTGAGATAAAAATAAAAGGCTCTTTGGTCAAACTTTTTTCGTTTTTCCTAGACATGGCAAAGTCAGGTCCAGTTGGACTCACTGGTGTACTTGGCAATCATACAACTCCTAAGTAAGTTAAGTTACTACGGTCAAACTTTGATATAATGAACCTCCTTTTAACAAAGTCCTTGGTAAAACAAACAAATAATATCCATTGCCCCAGTTACAGTACAGGAATAATGTAGAAAGAACCTCAATATAACAAATGTTTGTTATAACAAACATAATTCTTTTGGCAGTCCCTTGGCCCTTCCTTATACTAAGTTTTCATGATGTCCAGTTTTTGTAGTAACTGCAAATAATTCAGATCAATTTCTGTTATCTTGTAAAAATCAAAATCCTGGTTTAAACTGATTTTCTTCACAGTAAATCAGCAACTTCAGCTTCACCTCTCGTCTCTGCTACTGCCCGCATGTCCCCTCTTCCTCCTACAAACACTCCTTCATCACCACTTGCCATGCCGCTGGCTCAAGGGAGGGGCACGTCGCCTGTCACCGTGGTAAACAACTCAAGGACACAGAATCGAACATCAAGGACATCATCTATGGCAAGTGACAGTGGTCCCTCACACCGAACAACATCTCCTTACTCCTTCCCATCCTCTCCAGCTTCTGATGTCTCTTATGATATGTCACAGGATGGATTTATGGATACGGATGAACCCAATTCACACCACTGATTTTTATGCCGACGCAACTTCTTAGAATTTTAGAAGTGTACAGTGTATATGTATGTGTGAGAACATGGATGAAAAGGTAAAGCCCCAAGTCTTTGCTGTGTCTGCTTTTGGTTGGTGAAAACAGTTGGACATTTGTACATTGCTGGCTAGCCATATGCAACGTCAATCACATTTTATTGGTTTGTGTGAGGCCTTTAAAATAACATGAAAGATCAGTCTGGGATGATATGATGATACAAAGAAGCTGCGGTGCATCAAAATTTGTAGTTTAGTTATGGACTAGTTCCAGACGTGTACGTACAGATTTTTCCAAAAGAAAACTAAACAAAAAAAGTTTAAAGTCATTGTTCCCAGTGGAGAATAGTCTAATGCTTATTCATGGAGGAAGTGGCAAGTTGTAAAACCAAGGAAAATGAAATAGTTTTTTAGCAGCCTCCATTGGTTCAATTTGACAACCAAATGTGAGAGAAATTTGTAGGTTTTTTTGTTATTTTTGTTGTTATTGGCATCTTATATCACAAGAACGGGTTTCTACCATGTAGAATACTAATTAGCAGTGCTATAAGAAGCCAGTGAGTGGGTTCTTGTGTCTGGGTTTCCTGCTTCTCTCTTGGCTATCCGGTGTGCAGTTTTGTGTCAATTCCATCAAAGGCTTGCAACTCGCAAGAACAGAAAAAAAAGGACATAAATTACAGCACAAGAACCTGCCTGTCTTATAAGAGAAAAGATTTTTAACTAGAGTGCACTCTAATCTGTAAGGTAGCCCAGTCAGCTATTTCAGAGGGGACAGGCACAAGAAACATGATTATTATGCTTTGCCTGCTCCACAAAAATAATCACAGCCCTAAAGACCTATCTATAGGTTTTTTTAAATAATATAAATTGTTGTTAAAACAGATTAGGGGGGATAGAGCTTGACAGTCCAAGGTGGTGTCACATTTTTTAATCTCAAAACCCCAGTGACTGCTTATCACTTGGGTGCATTCAAATTAGTCACAAAGAGCCTTAGTTTTCTTTGATTCATATTATGCATTACTCCCAAAGAACCTTGAAGCTGGCAAAGAAGAACAATTTGAGTAAGCAGTATTAATAAAAGTGTATTTAACTTGGCATGAACTCAGAATTGAGATTTGGCAGTTTTGATTTCAGGATTTACAAATATTGTGAGAATATTATTATACTTACACCATAAGTCATCTCCCACTAATACAATTATGCACCCTTCATTTTGATTTGAGCATCAGGCTTTATGAAGGAGGAAGGAGAGAAAGAAACAAATCTCCTAATACTCAGGCTACCCTCAGGTGAATGTACACCAGTCTTTTAAGCCTTTGTTGTCACTCAACATTTCCTAGCCTTCGTGGCAGGCATTTGAAAGCAAAGGAGAAAGGGGATTCCAGGCGTGAGAGAATCATGAAAGGTGTGGTCTTGCACCCAGATTCCCTTCTCCTTCCCTTTCAAATGCTAAACATTTTCTTGTACAGTAAAATCTAACGTAAACTGCCTAAATGCCGGTTTAACATAAATGAGCATCACTAGGAACTGAATTCAAGAACTGTGAATCTTTAGACTAATCAAACGTAATACCTGGTGTGCCACTTTTACTATTACAAACAGCTTTGTACATTCATACTGTCATTAAAGCAGAACTTACATAATATTAGTATTGCAAAAATTAAATGACCATGTGATCAAAATTAAAGGAATGACTTGCTCTCTTGGCAAACAAACAATGCAAGTAGTACAAGTCCAAGTCTCATTTGTTTGTTTTTTTCCTCGAAAAAAAATGCTTAATTTGCCACTGTCCATGTGATAATCTTGTGAGAATGCTAAAAAATGGGTACCGTGTTTTAAATTGCTGCTTTACACATGACGTCATGGCAGCCTTGTTGGTTGTTAACAACAAAAACATTTCTATCCTATGGGAAGTTGACTCCATTTTCATGTAAATTCTTTGAAATAATGTTTGCTGTGTTGACCACCAACATGGCCACCATGTCACGTGGTTGCAAACCAAGAATAAAAGTACCCCTTTAAGGGTAAGTGTTGCTAATAATATGTTGGAAGCTGAATTCGACTACCACACAGGTTGTCGAAACGTCAGTCACTATCAGCAACAACAACGATCAAGGTCAACCTACTTTTTATTTTACCTTCTTGTAAGCAGGTTTGTATCCGTAGTAATAATGTAAGGGCTTTCTTTTCACAGGAGCAAACCAAACTGTCTGTAATAATGAGGTGTCCTTATTAAGTGGGTGTGTATACTGTATTTGGCATGGGCACAACTCACTGCGCTCCTGGCTTCACCACTCACATACCCACATATGGCACTTGCTCAAAGATTTTCAAGCAAAACAGAGACTGCTCACAACGGTCTATTCCAAACTCAGTATCCTGCATTACTATGTACCCAAAAGCAAAAGAAAAGAAAATAATAACATGAAAATTCTACTAGCCACTGGACAGTTATAACTTAGACAGCACCTTTGAATAATGTCATATAACATGGTAAACAGAAATCTCGCTCGTTTGATCAGATACAAATATGTTGTTTGTAAGCGAACAAGAAGCAATCCAGTTTGTTTTAGACCCATGCTTAACCTCGTGAGAAACCCAAGTGGAACTCGCCGCTTCTGATCCTTGACAATGCTCGGCCCCTGAGGTTCCATTGCACAAATCTTGATTTAATTTCCAAAGAATGATTCTGTAGTCATTACCAGCAGACACCAACAGGTCATTTCCCTGAAATGTGGGAAAGTGGACTTGTGACACACTAGAAGTGTGTTTCTTAAGGCATTCATCTTGAGTGAATTTTTTCTTGCCTTCAAACCTGAAGAGTTGAATGTTTCCATTCCCTTAAGGAGGAAAACATCATTGTTTTAGTCCCCATAACTCTAAGAAAACATCTTTAAATCAATTATTATAGCAGCTACCAAAAGGGGAAGGTATTATGAGGATTTTCCCAAATTTTTGTGCAAACTTGAGTCTTTAAAATAATTGAAAATCATGAAGATACACTTAGTTGCTAATGTGCAAAAGAGGCCTTTGAGCAATGAAAGAAAAACATTTATGGAAGCAAACTCATACACAACCAAAACAAAGCATTGCCAAATAATTATCATTGATAATAACCATATATGGTAATTAGCAAGGACAAATGCATTCAAGTTTGATTCCACTTCTTTGCTACTCATCCTTAGGCAACAGCAGTTTTAACAAGACCAGGCCAATATTATTTTCATTTGATAAAAACTTTCCTATTGGGTTTCAAGTAGCAGTGACTGAAACTTGGTGACACTCAGTGCCCTCTAACCTGCGATCAGGGAGTCCTTCTGTATGGGAGAAAAAAAACGCCTGATCGCAGGTTAAGTGCCCTTTGAAAGAGATGTGACGTTGGAGGAGCCTCCTCGCACCCTTCAATCTTCCTACAATGATACCGGTAAGTCACGAAGAGAATACAGAGTTTTCTTTGAAGACTGAAGGGCAACCGCTTAGTGGTGATAAGACTGTTCACAGAGTGCTACAGGTTCCCACCTTGACTGAGTCTATCTCCAAGATAATTTACTTTGCGGGGTGGGGGAGGTAGGGGGCAGTTTGGAATGAGACAAGGAATATTAGAAAAATATTTTTCTCATCTCCAATGCCTGCCCCCTGGAATCTGGATACATTCTTATGGAAATTAGGGGTCTGTGAAAGGTCTAAGGGGTGATAGGACAACTCCCCTGCAAATGACCTCTTCAGAGATGCTCATCTTGGTTCCTACTCTTACATTTTTTGTGGGAACTGACCCCAGGGGCGGGGGGGGGGGGTACTGCCATATATGGGCTATATAGGTATGTGCTGCTGTGAAGGGAATGGTTTACAAGCAGTTTACTATAGGATAGGGTATATAAATCAGAGCGTTTGGGTCTAGAATAGGCTATCATTTTTCAGGAAACTGATCAGTTGGTTGAAGATTTTATCTAGACTAGGGATTGTGGTATAAGGTTTTGTTTTGGCTAGACTGTGCCAGTGACCTCGGTAGTTTCTGGAAAAGAGCTACTCTAGGATAGGGAGGATTTGGGGAGTTTACTCTAGTATAGGGTAGCAAAATTTCAGCTGAACTAGCTCTGGTATAGGTTAAGGGTTCCAGGGTCCCTGCAGCAGATCCCCACCCAGAAATTCCTAAAGTACCCCCCCCCCCCCCCCCCCCCCCCCCAACTGACATATAAAACTTTTTTACCTAATCCAGAAGCAAATTTTCTCCCATTTCCTGCCATATGAATTGAATGTACAAAGGGTGGATTCACAAAATAGGCCCCTTCCTGGCTGTCCTCTCCAAGCTCCTGAACATTTAGTTCCTGAAGGGACCTCCCAGAAGAAAAGTCCCAACTAATCACTTTAAAGTCCATTCCTCCAGACACAATCTCCCACGGACGACTCGGCCTGAATTGAACAGTTGAACAAATATTCTCATGCTTTCTCTTAAGTGTCTTGAATAATCTACCGGACTGAATATCAACCACTTTGACCTCGCCACTATCGTCACAAGCAGCAAGATATGTTCCTCTGTCGTGTATGGTAACTTGATTTATTTCCTCTTCGTTGAACTCGAATTCACAAACAGTAGATGAAAGATTTCTTAAATCATAACCAAATATTTTATTTCCACACGAGGCATACAAGCGCTCTGGATTTTTTCCACAAAAACAGACAGAGTTGACCTCTTTCGACTCGGCTGAGGAGCAGGAAAGTTTAGTTTGGGGCGCCCCATCTTTCGACCAAACACAAAGCTCTTCTTCTCCACCTGAAGCTAAAATCCCTTCTCTGCTAACGTCTAAAGAGAGAACTGACGACTTGTGGCCTCCGATCCAAGTTCTTTTTTGCACAGTTTTCATTCCAAAAAAAGAGAAGCACAACTTTGTCACGCTTCTTGTCACGCAACTCTTCCGAGAAAAGAACTGCAGCAAAAACTTTATATGGTAATCTTTACCTTGTTTGGAAATACCTGAGCCCACATAAAAAATGTTTTTGACCAGTGGTGATAAAAGCGGTACTTTTCCTTCTCCATTTATGAGGTACTTTTCGTGCTGCAAGTGTGTATATACTTCTGCAAGTGTCGGGTTAAAAGTAACAAGCAAGATGAATCCCTTAACGTGAGTTAAATTTCAGTCTTCTAGTATTCTTTTGTTATGAAGGAATGCTGCTCTTTTATCGCACATTGGTGACAGCCCATCACTATAAAAGCTTATCCTAGAAATTCCATTTCATCATGGCTGTCAGAAATTCAGGCACTGATGTCGTCTTTCAGTTTTCCTCGTTGGCACTCGGCAGGCGGGAGGAATACAAGGGAAGAGAGACCTCTGATAGCAAGGAAGAACTTTGTGTTTCACAGTTATAAGTGGCTAAGTAATATTCATTAGAAAATTCCGTCTGTTTTTGCATGAGTTTTCATCATTCTTCTACCACATAAATTTTGCAGGAACGTAAAGAATACTCTTAAATTAAATGAAAAGATGTTGGAGATGGGGGTAGAGGACAGCGAGAGCTGGCACAAGCAGTACAAGGACAGTGCTTATATTTTTATAGGTGAGATATACGGTCATTAAAGGTGTCACATTTTCGTGGGTTGAAGTGGTACCTCTCTATAAATTAAACCATTTAGTCCCAGGAAAAGAGGATGCTTATTTTCAAAAATAAGCTGACCATAAAACAATGATACAGGTACAAATTTCGTCCACATTTCACATGGTGGCAAAGGCACCATGTGAAGGTACTGTTAGTGTAGCCTAGGTGTCAAATATAATGCATACGCATTTCTAGTCAATTTGTTTTTCAGGTGGAGAGAAGCGACGGCCAGATAAAATTAATTTTGTCTAGGTTAGGTTTCATTTAATGATTGAAATGAAATAAATAATGCTTTGGAGGTAGTACATCCACAAAGTGGTTCTTCGTCTACCTGATTCCTGGTCAAATTGGAATTTGGAAATGTTGGTTTTTGAGGATGGGGAAACCGGAGTATCCGGAGAAAAACCTCTCGGAGCAAAGGAGAGAAACGACAACAACAAACTCAACCCACATATGGCGACAACGCCGGGATTTGAACTCGGGCCGCATTGGTGGGAGGCGACGTGCTCTCACCACGACGCCATCCCTTGCTCCCCAAAATGAATGGTCACACCATATTATTTTGTGTACAAGACCAAAAGTTTGAAATATAGAATAAAATAATGGTAAATAGTGCCATTAAAAAGGGCTGCTGAAGAATTTTCGTAATGATTATTATGAATTGTCCAGAAACCGGTTGTTTTGAAACAATGTTGTTTCAATACGAACTCAAGCAGTGACGTTGCACAAAAATTTTAATCACTTCAAGTATAGTTTGCGCATGAACTAGAAAAACATTTTGGGTCAATATTCTTTGTTCTTTACACTGTAAACCAAGTATGCGCTATTTACAACTCCGCTGAATAAACTTGTATCAAAATCACTTCTATCGAAACGACTTTGTATCGAAATGACCAGTATCTGAATTGCCCCACCTTTCTGTTGCTGTGAATCAAAATTTGCTAAGATTACGTGTTTTTTCAGATAAGGTCTTTTTTTTTTTCACAAGGGTCTAGATTTAAGGTTTGCTTTTATTTTAGGTGGACTTCCCTATGATCTTACAGAGGGTGACATTTTGTGTGTTTTTTCTCAGTAAGTGCTGCATTTTACAATTAATGATCATTTTATTTTGTTAATACTCTACTGTTGAAATTTAATAAATTCTTGTGGAAATTTCAACAGGATAATAATATTTGTTTTTATTGTAACAGATATGGTGAAATTGTTAACATAAATCTTGTAAGAGACAAGAAAACCGGAAAAACAAAAGGATTTTGCTTCTTGTGTTATGAAGACCAGCGTAGCACTGTTCTAGCTGTGGACAATTTTAATGGAATAAAGGTTGGTACATTTATCTTCATCAGAGGCATCAATGAAATGATACTCCCTTTTACTCAGGGACATAGCTGAGGAAGAGCTAAGCAAGCTTTTTTATTATGCCTTCAGTGATTAGCTTAAGCATGCAAATTTAGTTTAAATTTTGTTCTTGTTCTTGGTCAAAATTAAATTCAGGTGAAATTTTTTTTATCCCAGGTTAATTATTTTCTCCTTTGTCTCCTGCAACTGTTGACTTCCTAGCCTGAAAAAGCAGTCAACATTTGGCAACATTACCACTGGTTTCCCCACCAAATGACGTCTGAGAAACGAGCGCAGAAGTTCCATACTGATGACACGTTACTACCCAAATCTGGGTAGTGTTTCTGATTGGTTGTGCCGGATGGGAAATTTGATTCAACCAATCAGAAGCACTACCCCGATCTGGCCAGTGACGCATCATCAGTATGGAATTTCTGCGCTCGTTTCTAAGACGTCATTTGGTGGGGAAACCAGTGGTAGCGTCACCAAATGTCGGCTGTTTTCTCAGGCTATTAACCAAGAATAGGTGATAATTTGTAAAAAAGGTTGCCTGAAAATTTTGGTATAAAGAAAAGTTGTCCCCTAAAATGTGCTAATGAACATATGGTTACTCCGTGTCCTCGCAGTTTCAACAAAACCCACCGGGATAGCTTAAACTTTCAAGATGGCCAAAGTTCTTCAGCCTAAAACATCCAAACAGAAAAACAGGATTTAGGACAGCTCTAAATTAACAAAACTGACTTCTAATTTCTGACTTTCGTGGAAAGATTCTTTCACTGGGTGCCCCTTACTGTCTCCTTATGAACCTCAATTTAATTTGGACCTAAATAACATACTCATACTAGTCTTATATTTACAGTCCATTTTTAAGTTATCTGTTATCCTTTCTGTGTCCTTTAGCTTGGTGGTAGAACAATCAGAGTGGATCATTGTTCGAACTACCGGAGGCCATTAAGTGATGAGAAAGATGAACATGGGAACAGAAAAGAGATTGTGGAAGTAGGTTGTGCTCCAAAGACACCCTCCCCATCTCCCCCACAATCTGAAGAAGATGAAGAGGTTGCAGATCTTCCGAAGAAAAGAAGGAAAGAGAAAAAGGCAAAGAAACAAAAGAAACATAAAGAAGAAAAATCTAGAAAGAAGCGAGAGACCAGTGGATCAAGTGAGGAAGAAGGAGAAGAGAAAAAGCGTCGGCTTGATTTGGAAGATAAGGGTACTTCAAGAAGCGAACCAGGCAAGGCACAACCTATGGAGAGAGAAAGGCGTAGAGAGTATGATCAAAAGGTGTCATATGAGAGGGACAAGTATGATTCTCAAGGTAAAACTTTGCGTGAACGGGGATATGATGGTGATAACAATAGAGATTATAAGAGACAGGAAGGTATGGAGTATAACTCTAAGGATGATCACAGTCACAAACGTGGCCACAGACATGACTTTTATGATAAGGATACAGTTGAAGCACGTAATTGGACTCGTAAGGATAATCGTAATCATCATGCAGTAGATGAGCACAGAGTTCAGAGGGACAGAGGTGCTTCTCGCGCATCGCATTATGGCAACAGAGATAACGACTTCATTGAGAGAAGAGACAGGTCTGATAAACGAGAATACAGGGCAGCAGATAGAGATAGAGCTCGTGACAGATCTGATAGGTACAGTGATCACAGGGGTCACAAGGATAAACGATAGTGCCCTTGTGTGGCATATTGTGCTGTTTTTTAGTGTTCGAGAAAATGTCCCCCCCCATAGGGGGTTTTATGATCAGATCCCCTTTCCTCTGGAAATTCTAGTCCTTATGGCCTTTAATACCCACTTCCTCTTTGAAGTTTCCAAGACCCTCAATGGGGTAGATATTGACTTTTTCCGGAACCACACGTTTTAAATTATTTGTAGTTTAATATTTTATTTATTTTATGTTGAAATAGCGCATTGTCTAGGTATTTTATTAACAATCACCCATCACAAAATAAACTTGGCCTGAAATTTTGTGAAGCACAAAGTTTGTTTTTTTTCTGTCAAGCTGGAAAACACCCGAAACATTCCAGGAATTTTTGATTGCATAGTGACCAGTTCCACAAAGATCAGAACACACAAGCAGACTGCCATTGCTGCTTTCGATGCCTGATTGACTTTTTCCTTGCAATACAGTAAAAACCCGCGTATAAGAACCTAGGTTTTTCCAAGTTAGCCTAAAAAGGTTCTTAAATGTTAGGTTCTTATATGCGGGTATTTACTGTAACACTCTGGTGTTTACAGTTTTTGAGTTTCACAGTTGCCTCTCATGTTTGGTATTATTACTTGTATTACTGCAGCAATCACCATCCAACTCACCATACCAATTACTATCAGGTTTTTTATTACCATCACATACTTATTATTTGTGTCACTCACACCACAACTTCATTTTACATTCCTCATATTTTTTCATTTCCTGATGAAGTTGTGGATCAGCAAAAGCTCGGAATAATCATGTTAACAAAATAATTTAGTATATTCACTTGAACCGCTTACTTGTTATTCAAGATGCCACTGAAGGACTACATTAAACGTTTTAATACTGAAACTGTTTTTTTTCTTTTCTTTCCTTTATTGGCACAAATATTTTATAAACAGTAATTTATAGACTAAAAGTTAGCTATAACAGCCTGTATCAACTCAACATAGAGCAATTTTACTTGACCCGTGAAACAATTAATAACAACTAGTGTAAAATAGCTACAAATAAACAAAAGAAGACAATAGAATTAGCGCATGATAGTGCGTAGTATTCTACTACCTATTTCACGAGTTAAGAAAAACCACCCTATGAAATAACACCTAGCATAAGTTCTATTAGCCTTATATTTTTTGTGGAAAATAGAGTCTTTCAACAACCTGCTCTTCCAGGTGCAGTTACACTGTTGCTATTTTGCAACACTAACCTTGGCTTTTAGAATTCTTGTGGTTGGATACACAAGGAATCCATGACTTCATTTTCTGGAGGAAGACCAATTACCTGCAAGCAGGCTCACTTGTGCGAGTTTGGGGAAAATTTTGGCAGCAAAGCCAGGGAGAAGAATGTGGTGAGGGAATGTGCAATTCTGCAATGGTTAGAAAACAGTCATATCCCCAATCATCCGGTATTTACATGACATATGCAAACAGGCTTTAGCAATGTCAGAAATGTTAAAATTTAGAACTCTGCTGTTTAAAAAGGATGACAAAAAGAGAAATAATTTACTATTTGGAAAGTCGCTTATTGGCAATTGCTGTATAACATGTGGGTAGAAAATCCACACAATCGAATAATTGTTTGATCTTTGCACCAAGAGACTCAGAAGATCCTGAGTTCAGGAAGTAAACTTGGATCTTCCAAGAATCAAGATAAAATGTGCATACATTGGAAAGGGATCAATGAAAAAATATCAAATATAAATAAAATTATGTTTTGCCTTTCTCAGGGAACATCTCTATTTTTGGAAAAAAAAAATTCCCAAAATCCAAATTGCATTGAAAATTGTCCACACCACTTTAATAGTGAAGACACTTTAGTTTAATTTACGGCAATATGTTTGTGTATTCTAACAGTCCTAGTATCCGAGTTGTAAGTCTTGGTGCCATATCCTCTGTCCATGCGGAGAGGGAGGGTGCTAGTAGCAAGGGAAGATACTTCCCAGTATAGACTCCTTGATAAGAACAGTCTGTATAATAATAAGATTGATATGGACTGTGCAGTCAATAAGCCCCATGTAATAACCTGAAATGATGAAAGCAAAAATAAGAAAGTTAATTCCCCATTAGCAAGCTGTGTTCAACTGTGCTTTTTTTGGATCCTTTTGGATTTTAACTGAAAAAACCCTCACTGAATTCAAATTCTTTAATAACAATAATAATAGTAATAATAATAACAAACATTTTCCCTCAAAAGAAATACGTTCTGTTGTGCTCACCTTATATTTATAGTGAAATGGCAGGACCATAAATGTAAGGACTGCTAAAACAGGATATGCTAATAGCCATGTTAAACAACACTGAAAAGAGAAGAATATGGGTCATTTTAGCACTCCAGTTTTCACTTCAGAGTTAATTCTATGTTCCATCATTTGTGCCATAAATTTGCATGATTTCTCTGACCAAAATATTTAATTTATTGCCTGGCTCACCGACTGACTGACTGACTGACTAAATAAACATTCTCATACAAAATGTATATCCATTCAGTGTGCAAAGAAAGTCAGTTTTACAACCTGCCATTCAGGCAAGCTTTAGCTAGCATGTACTAGCCCACAAGTCATTTCAGCTAGCCCCAAAACCCTTTTTGATTAGCAAGGTTGATTACAATCCTTCTGTAATTTGAATTTCCCCAAAAAACAGTACTTGCCCATTGGGCAAGTTAAGAACAAAAATCACTAGCCCTGGGCTATCAGACACGACTTTCTTTGTACGCTGATCCATTCGACTTAAAATTCACCAACATGTTTGAATGTCATGTCACACATGCTTCCTATCAACATTCCAGTGCTAGAAGTATGCAAGTCTGATATGGTGTTAACTCCTTTGAGTTTCCTGTGGTTTAGTGGTGTAGCATTTAGACAAGCAACCAGAAGGTGATAGATTTCACCCTTTGGAGAACTTGAGAACTTTTTTTTTCATGAGTTGCTTATCCCACTGTCTAAAAAACCAACATCCTCGAAAAACTGATATAATTTTGGAAGGAAATGTGACGTTTCCAACGGGACTTAAATCACTAAAAACAAGTAGAGATATTAATGTAAACACCCACCTTGGCAAATTTGTTATAAAATTCCCTGCGCAAAGTGCTTCTTTCTTCTGTAATTTTCTTATTTATATTAAAGCCAAAGGCTCCAGCTATGATAATTTTTACAAAATTGAGAAGAACAGACATCTCCCAAAATGAGAAAATGACCTGCAAATTAAAACTACCTGTCAGTTCAAAGGAAAATACATGGTTCCATGGTTGAAAGAACAAAATTCTAGAGGAATTGGCATCAGCCTTGCATTCCCAAAGATATCTAGGCCAATCAGTTGTTATATAATAATTCATTAATTTAATAATTACAGTATATTTATTAGATATAATTTACTGATTAATTTTGAAACCAAAATTGCCGATTCAAAGTGTCTATAAGAGTCCATAAGTTGGCTTTGACATAAGGGGGCTGTTGACATTGAGAGAGGAAGATCCTGGTAACAGGAAGATCCTAGATCTACCGGTACATACAGAAATTTTGGTCCTTGCGGTGTCCAAGTAGAGCTGGATCGAGAAGGAATTAAAAATCGCTGGCAACAAAAACAAAACTGCAATTTGGCCCCTTCTGCTCTCTTTACTTCATCTCTGGCCCAGAGCTATCACAAAAATCAGCTCATAATAACGCCAAACAAAAACAGAGGGCCTTTAATACCGTGATTACTCCATGGACGACCTGCTGCCATTTTCTCTGGTTTGTCCCTAGTACTAGGATCCTCCTAGCAAATGCAGTTTACATTGTGCTAAGATCTTCCAAGTACAATGATCTTTCGACCTCTCAGCTAGGAAGATTCTTGCACTAGGAAGATCCTAATGCTAGGGACAAGGACAACCCTTTGAATGTAAACTGAATACAGAGGACACATAGCGATAGGATGATCCACCTTCTAGGATCTTCCTCCCTCTAAGGAAACGGCCCCTAACAGTCAACAGTTCAAACACACCTCAAGAATTGAAATAGCTATGACAGTGGCACTAATCTGCTTCATCTGTTTTGGATCCAGAGTTGAAAATGAAGAGCTAAGAGTCCACCCTGTGGATAACTTTGCCATCATCAGCAGCATCTGATACTCAGCTAGGCCATTTGCTGCTGCATTAAAAAATAAGACACAAATAGTAATCACAGGCAGCGGTTGTTCAAAAGCTGGATAGTGCTTTTCACCGTATAAATTTAGTGCGAGTGATAATTTTTGTATTTTCTCCTTCACTGTCAACGTTATGAGCATCCTTGTATTTGACTAACCACTCGATGCCAGATAAGCTTGCTATAGGCAATTATGTTAATTAAAGATAAAAGATTAAAACTAATTAACCAATACCATAGAGTTACTGGCACAGTAATTACTGAATTTACCTGTTGATAACTTGGCAAGCAGGGGATAACCTTCACCATTCTTAGAATATCTGTGTTAAAAAATAAAAACACACAAAAGAAAATAAACTTTCAATAAGCCCAAAGAGGTCTCAAAATTTTTTTTCCAGTTTGGTCTAAAACTAGGGGGAGGGGGTGGGCCCCCCGGCCCCTCCCCGGGATCCGCCACTGAATAATTTATGTAAAAGGAACATGAAGGACCATGAAGGTCATCACCTGAGCCTGTAGGCCAGTGGGTATAACTCAACTTTGCTTTCTACTTTTCGTGTTGGCAATTTCCAGCAGCACTTGTGGAACTTTGACAATTTTTAGGCCACAGTTACATACACGGTGTGAAAAAATTCCTAAATTATTTGCAGAATACCATTCAGACAAGCAACTCAATTTATTTCAAAAAACATATGACTTACAGAAACAAAATAACAAACACAAAAATTGTTAAAGAACTACACCTGTACACCATGCAAAATGTTGAGAGTGCCCTATGAAACTACAGAACATGAAAAGTCGCTTGCCTGCAGAAAAATCTACTTGCCTGGAAAACTGGACAAGACTTTTTAAGCTCAGTAGTACCGGCACCACGAGAATATCATAAACAGAAAGGAATTGACTTGAAAAAGCCACATTAGCTTGTACAAAGTGCATGCTCAGGAAAAAAGAAAACCTTTGGGCTCTTGTTACCTGTAAATGTGGATGAGGGTAAGAAAATGCCCCACTGTCTGGTAAATCACTGCAATTGACAACATTTTTATCACCTGCAATCAAAGAAAAAGCTTTGCTTTACATGGTTTTACAGCAAAGAAAGAAAGTAGGGAAGTTAAGAGGTAGGAAGTCAACAAAAATAAGAGTTCCTAAAGTATCCACCCTTTCATTCCCACACCATGTTATGGCAAGATTATTTGCCACTCTTGTTACCATTCAAATGAAACCTCTTCAACAGTACTTTCACATGTTACTATTCATTAATAGTATGTAGTTCTTACTTTTGAGTCTGTGGATGAAATCCTATGGTGTTACCATTTAAATAAAACCTCTTTGGTAGAATGTTTGCATAGTGCTCTATATTTCTTGGATTTTACATGAAGAAATTTTTCTTTTGTTATAAGACCAGTGATAGAGTTAATAGTAACTTAAGGAAGGGCTGGGAGTTGGAGTGAAAGATACAGTATGCAGTTCTGAAGGGTACAAGAAGTGTGGCAAAAGAATTCAAGAAATGCATATAAACAATACGGCAAGCAAGTCTGTATTATGTAGTTGAGTGATGTATGAAAAAGATGTTTGACAACCCGCAAATAGAAAATCTAATTTGCAGTAAGTGCAAAAAGTGTAATCATACCAAGTGCATTGGCCCTCCTTTCTGTATTGTCTGCCAGAGACGCTGGCCATAGGCTATGGCTCCAGCAAAGTATAGAAAGGCAAGAATCTCATAAAATGATACCAAACCTAATGGAGAAATTTCAATGAATCAGTATTAAATACAAATTTAGATAAAATATTACAGTAAAGAGTAGAAAAGTCATAACAGGTAGTTGAACTGCGATATCATGATAAAATATTTTTCTGGGATTTGGGCCCCTTCCGTCTTCTGTACATAAAAGCTAACTTGTAGTTAAATTAACATCAGGTTTCTCGTAACAATATCCTAATATTGTCAAGAGAAATGGTTACAAGAATTAATCAAAAGATCACCAAAGAGAAAATGCTTTGATCTTTTATTAAACTCTCTCAACTTATCTCTAACGAAATGTATGAATATCAGTGTGGAGAATTTGTATGTGGATATTAGGGCTTAAAAGGGTTAATAAGAGGGTGATAAGTATCTCAAGGAAATGTGAGGCTACATTGTTAGGGGAATGAAACATGAAAATTGGGTTTTATCAACTATTGAGTTGATGACATGAATTGCCAGAGTAAAAAGAGTGAAATGCTGATGTTTCAAGTGCTAACACTTCATCACAGCAAATCACTCATTTTAAATCCCCACTTTTAATTGGCCAGTACGAAATGTGGAATTTAAAAGCTTCTAGAACTGTAAGTAACATCCCCAGGGAGCTCTCCATTTCCTGCCAAATACTTTGCCTAGAGCAATTTAGCCTAGAATGTTTATCATTCTATGTACCTTAGCTCAGTATATCCAAAATAATTATTGTTAGGATTTATAATATACATGTAATTGATCATCGGAAATAAACTGATGAATTGACCCAAACAATCGATCATTGGTTATAAGATTCAGAAAAATCTCTTCCTAACAATAATTATTTCCTTTATTTTCCACTAGTACACAAATCAATGTAACATAACATTTTGACTTTTTGACTGAGGGCCACTTTTATTAACGACAATCATTTTGTGAATGAAAAAAACACCTTAATCAAAATGACAAAAATTTATCATAAAAGGGTCATCAATGGATCATAATTATTATTGCATTGCAACTCTGTTACATCACAAGGTTTATTACTTTTATATGCCAACAACGTATATTTCTTTTACTCACTACGATAATCGATTGAACAGTTTGCATAATCAATATTATAATTGTGTCACTTAAGGTTTTTGTATGATCAATGTTTGATTATAATGGATGTTCGGCACATCACTAGTGGGAGAGTGTGGGATCAACCAACCAAACCAACACGTGGGGAAAGGGAAGCATGAGGACAAAAGAGAAAATAAATGTGCTCAGAAACAAGGATAAAATCTAAAATTTTGGTTCCTTCACTGAAAATTGTGGATTACTGTTTTAATTTGTAAAAAGAGTAACACAATGGTATTTTACATGTGCTTATGATTACAGGTCAAAATTTAAAGAAAATCAACCTACATTGTAGTTTGAAAAATTTTAACCTGAATTTAATTTTGACCTGTAACAGTAAACACTTAATAGCGGACCTCCGTGCGCGAAGCGCGCCTGCGGAGCACCATGGGTAAATAAATCTACCCATCCCAGAAAATTTGGTAATCACGTGACCGACCGTCCGTCCGCACCACAGGCATACCAATGTTTACTCTCACACTTTCTAGTTACGTTGGGAGCCCAGGAGAAAGCTGACTGCACATCAATGTTGTCATCAATTGACAGCTGTCAAAACAAGGTATCCGCTGACCAGTATCACCTGACCGTATCGCGGGCTCAGGTGTCGACCCATCAAGGTCGAGTGTTTTTTTGAAGTTATCCGCTGACAATTTACTCGTTTTCAAATGATCGCAGGCTCACGTTTACTTTTTTTTAAATTCATATCAAATATGTTGTGTTTATGTCAGTATAGTCCCGCACTATTACGATTTTGATTTCAAACTGACCTCAGACGCAAAAATTCAGCCAGTTTTTTTAATATACAGGCGGGCAGGCGGGGAAGACCTTTTCTTACCATGGTCACGTGTTGATCACGCTCCACGCCAAATTTTTATGCTCTGATTGGTTAAAATTTGACAGGTGAGTTCATGCGTAAAATTTATGCAGCATCTTGAAAGTTGTTTTACTTTGACAGCTGAAGCTGACAGAGTTTGAGTCAACTTGTGATGTTTTTAACTGTCTTTTTCCACTGGATGTACAAAATGAAATACAGCTGCTATCAACAGTGTTCTCTTATTCATGGCTGGTTTGTTTATTGGGTTTTTGGTTGAGAAATGCGTCGCTTGTCAAAGCCGCTAATCCGATTTCGGATGGCATCGTTTTTGTTTTTTACCTTGCTGGATGTGTACGAGAAATATAAAGGCTCAAGCGATCCTTGCCCTACGTGATAGCTTTCAGGAGCTGCATCTCGAATTATGGTAAGCCTGAGTAATTATTGTATTTAAATATAATTTCATGAAGTCCAGCGGCGCAGTTTATGAAGCTAGTTTATGCACGTTGGTATTAAGATTTGACTGAGACACTGATCTGACCTAGTATGAGGTTTGATATAAGCTTAAGCTTACAGAACTTTAAAAAGCCTTTAGTCGATATGAATTCACCGTAAATAGAAAGAAAAGACTTTCCGAAGAATATTTAGTTATAATTTTGGCTGTAGAAAGAAAGCTTTGAGCGATTTTCTTGTCGTGAGTTCATCTTTGAAAACAGCAAACACCGGAAACCGTGACTTTAAAACATAAACTTAATCTTTAATCTTATTAGTAAAGACTTGAGGATTCTTAGAGACACTTAAATACTCATTTGTTTTCGTGAATGAAAATTGTTGTCTCTGTAAAAAATGTTCTACGAATTATATTTCTTTATTGATTGTTGGTAGTCTCAAAAGTGTAATTTTTCATCGCTTTGCCGTTTGTTTTCAACCGTTCAAAAAACATCGCTTGCAGGAGTACTCAAATGCCGAGCGTATCAAACGCTTTTTAAGATTACACATCGTTATAAAACCATTAATAAAAAATAGACCAATGTTGAAAAACTCTTTTAAAATTTTTCCCTGTCATATAGCTGGAAATTTTTGAAATTTTTGAACTGGAAAAAAGTCCACGCTCCCTTAAACCTCATTGTAATTGTGTGTTTGTCTGGTCAACATTCATGGGTTTGTTTTCCAAACAGTTTTCCACGCACTGTTACCCTCTGATGTCATAAATTTTGCAATTTGTTTCACTCCAAAATCACTTAGCCCAAAAGTCACATGAATGTGCCCTTAAGTTAACTTTTGGTTTGGCAAAGGAGCAGTGTCATTGTTAGATGTTGAAGTAATTTGTCGCTGAAATTTTGAAGCTCCAAACCTCATTGTAACCAGGGTAAACAGTGCACTGTTACCCTCTGATGTCATAAATTTTGCAATGTTGCCCACTCGTTTTGGGAAAAAAATTCCAGCTATTATTATAACAATATTACAATTAAAAGAAAGGAACCTGTTTCATCACAGCCACAGTGAATGATTGGTTTTCCTCCAGAATCAGGATTTAACATTTGCAATGTAAAAGTCACATCTTCGAGAGCTGGAACACTGGAGTCACAAGTAACAGGGTCAGCATACAACACATGCCACACCTTGGGGTCGTCCCAAGGTGCAAATTTGTTTTCTCCAGATATTGTACTCAATCCAACTAAAAAACACAAACAGAAAGATGCACCATTTAGCTGAGCACACTTTGAAATGCTAACAAATATACAAATAACTCTGTCTAAAATGGACATTTTTGGGACCGACAGTCCCGGGGGGGAGGGGGGGGCACTTTAGGAATTTCTGGGTGGGGATGTGCCGCTGGGAGCCTGGAACCCTTAACCTTTACCAGAGCTAGTTCAGTTGAATTTTGCTACCCTATACTAGAGTAAACTCTCCAAATCCCCCTATCCTAGAGTAGCTGTGTACCTAGTCTGGATAAAATCTTCAACCAACTAATCAGTTTCCTGAAAAATGATACTCTATTCTAGAGCCAAACACTCTGATTTATATACCCTATCCTAGAGTAAACTGCTTGAAAACCATACCCTTCACAGCGGTACCTATATAGCCCATATATGGCAGTACCCCCCCGCCCCCCCGGGCCGACCGTAAAGAAAGGCAGAGGCTAACTCTAGGTGTTTGTTTTACCAAGGTATCCATCCTTTTTATCAATAATACAGTCATGAATTGAAGAGTCTGTCGGCTAAGTCCTGTGATGTGACCGTTTAAATGAAACACCTTTCAATACTAGTGCATTGACTGAAAACTTACATGAATATTGTGCCTGGTCAAGTTTGGTCTGACACTGTGAAATTTGTTCAACTTGGGGCCATTTGTCACCAAGGTAGAAATAGAGTTTCCCAGTTGCTGTAGTGTTCAGCTTGAATTTAACAAGTGCCTCACCTGTTTGTTGATAAAATAATAATAAATAGTAATTCATCAGCATTTTAGTGATTTATTCAAAACTAATCATGCAGCCCTTTGTGCCAATTTTAAGTAAGGCTAGACTCATGAGAATGGTGCCCTAAACTGTGTAAGAAAACTCAGCCATTTTGTTCTAACTACGAGATTTCGCTGTAACTGGGAGATAGCTGCAGTGTAGGATAGCCTCCTCCGCAGACGTTCTTAGGGGTTCCTGCCCCACTAGTGAGTCAAACGTTTGTGTGGGAGGCTACAGTGCAGGGCAGATCTTGTATAAAGTTGTACAGTAGCAACTCGATATAACAAACTTCTAATAACTAAGTCCTTCGTATAACAAATGATATTCCTAGCCCCAGTAATAGTAAAATATATGGAAGAGAACATTGATTCAGTGAAACCTCTTTACAGCAAACATATTTTGTCAGTACCTTAGCCCTTCGTTATATCGACTTTCCGCTCTAGTGGTACTGATCTACAATCCTCAGGGTTTAAATGTCAAAATTAAAGCAGAACGGCATGACAATTTACTGCAAGGCCCAGAAAATTCATCTTCTTTAAATAAATCATAAACAAACATACTAAGGATGCAACAGCCTAAGGGGAGAAAAATTTAAGCGCTGCTTTTCCTAAAGTCTTTAAGAAAAATCCCTTGACAGTTAAGAGGTGCACTTGAAATTAAAATAATTATAGCTGATCACATGGGAAAACAACCGCTCTTTGATGTAAAATATTTCAGCGTGCACAGCTGGGTTTAACCAGTCCTAGACCTCTGAATTATGCTACTTTGAGCGAATTTCTGTTTGCAATTTTATTACAGAAGAGAAAGAGAACTTACCATAAAAGCAAAACTTAGTAATATACTGGCCTTGATACAGACGAGCTTGTCTGGAACTCAACACCCCGTGAACTGTTTTGCAATCTGTGACAATTGCAAATTGCCAAAACACTAAAATCAGAATCTGAAGATTATTTATCCTAGTGGATGCCAGCACAGAGCACATCCTGGAAAATTAATTCAGCGTGAGTATGGAAAGCGCAAATTTAAACAGCGTCGGAATATTTATGCCTTTCGTTGACCTCTCGTCCGCCATGTTTCGACGAGGAACTGCGCCTGCGCTGTCACTTTGCCACGTGTAACAGGAAAAATAGGAAGCGGGACTGGACGACAGAACAAAAGGGAGCCCGAGGTGTTCATCGATTTTTGACAAATTTTAATAGTTTTGTGTCTATGATAAAATACAAGGAATATTCCTAAAGTTGTTGGTGATTTTAATGATATTTTTCAAATTGGAATATAAAGAGATCCACAAATACTCGGATATGATTTTGAAAATGATCACTGTTTCTCTTATCAAATAAAAAAATCACAGAGGCTCCGAGGTGATTGTAGAAATAAACCTCGTTCTCGAAACAAGGTAGTCTATGAACAAATTGTGCTAAAATCGTAGAAAAAAACTGCAATTACAACCTCCTTCAGTTTCTTAACAGTTTCATTAATTGTGAAATCACTTTTAACTGAATTATGCTTTGCATGATCGAAAACAGTTGTACAGTACTAAATCCTTTTAATTGTTGTGAAATACATTAACAAAGTAGAGAAAGTTCAAGTGAACATAAATTAAGTGCAAGAAAAGCGAGGGCTATTTCAGCTATTTTCGAGGCGTTAATTGATTTTATGTAAACTTTTTATGTGGCTAAGGATGTGTCTTCAATTAGCTTTCAGAAACAGCCATCTTTAAGATCAGGTTTTATACAAAAAAATGAATAAATACTGGAATAATATAGTTTTTTGTATGCATTTTTCACTATGTAGCTTTTCAATTTTCTGCGCACTTGTTTCAGTTTTTGTTAGCAGACACATTTCGTTTCTCTTTCAACAATGCTAACACGTTTCATTTCAAAGTTTTCGTTTACTTTGCTTGCACGTTTTCCAACTCATCTCTTGGTATAAGTGATGTCATTTCTGCTCAATCTGATGGAAAAAGTTACCACTTTGAATCATCAAACTTATCATGCATTTCGGCCTCTAGTTTCATATCCTCTATTAATTAAGACTGTCATTTCTCAGTGATCTTTATCGCAGGCAGTATTTGGTTTGTGGTAAATAATTACAGATAAACTTTTCAGTGTTGGTGCTTTAATGACGAAGTTCGAATTCCTTTTCTTTTTTACTTATTCATCATGTTATTTTTTTAATCTATTTGTTCCGACGTCGTATTGAACAAGTAACAAACATTATTTTTTTGCTTTATTTTTTAAATTCTTTATTATGCATATCTCCCAAAGCAAGGTTTTCACTACAGGGTAATGTTTCTATTATAATTCGTTTTGCATTTTATCCGGTAATCCTCAAAACTTTTATTATGGTGCAATTTTCTCAACTAAAAATATTAGGAGAAGCTTTTAAGGAGAGATAAATACATTATGCATATAAAACACAACTGTTCACCTTTATTAGGTTTGGTCGATACATAAACCCATGATTTTCCATAAAAGTCTTGACATTTACCCCTCACAATCGTAATATGGAAGTCATTTGATAATAGTGATGAATTTTTAAAAAAGTCTATCTTTGCTCGATCTTTCGGGTGCCAACTTTGAAATTTTCATTCGATTGCTTCTTTCATCGCTTCTCTTTAACATCATCAGATTATTCGTCGGTCATGATGTTTTTTGCTGTCAAGCTATAAGGGCACCGTTCAAAACAAAGATGGGTGATCACGAATTGAACTCAGCTCTCCCCGATCAACTTGGCCTACGTGAGCACGTGTTCCTGAACAGTTCTACATCCAGTATCTCCCCAGATTATCATGGCAAACGTCGACATTCAAGAGCCTATATTTTGGCTGGTGTGATTGTTTTCATTGGAGTTGGTTGTTTGGTAGCTGGTATTGTGTTAATCTCTGTATCGCAAAGCCAGAATTTCCCTACAAAAAGTGTGACTTTTACGGGCTTAAATCAGACAAAATCCTGTGCTAAAAACTCTACATCAACTAGCAACAACGGTTCAAAATTCGCAAATCCGTGCGAGTTTTCGAAGGAAGCCGCACGTGCAGGTAAGCCAATAAAATGCAGATGTTAACTTTAAAAGTGTGTCATTATCATAACTTTAATTTTTTATTGCTCTCACTTATAATTCGAGTTTAAAATCCGCGAAATACCAAGTTAAAAACCATTTGAATGATTGTTTGGCCAGTATGTGTCTTGAGCAGTATTTGTTTAGGGTCAACCACTGCCTCTTCGTAGTTTTTTTCAACGAACATCTGTACCTAATAACCGTAGCTTTCGTGTCATCGCTGACCTTTTTCGTAAGAATAAGGTTTTAGTGTTTGGAAAAACGTGATTATTGTTCTCCGGTAATTCACTGTCTAAGTTCATTTAAAAGTTTAGTGCTGGCTAGATTTGGCTCCTAGTTAATTTAATTCAACTGACAGAGACAATGAATTGTTGCCTTTCAAGATATGATGGGCAATATCAGTTGTGTATTTGAAATCTTTCGAAAACACATTCATTTGTTATTAATTTATTTTCCGTAAACAAAAACAAAAAAAATCCCGTTACGAAAATCGTTGACATTTTATACCGAACAAAAAATTTTAAGATGACTCCAAAAGTCCAAAATCTGTCGATTTTTTTGTTTTGTTTCGTTTTGTTTTGTTTTTGTACATTATTTCAATTAAAGGAATGAGATATTTCCGGAAAAGACTTGAAGTGGACGCAAGCCATTCTCAATAATTACTCCAGATACCCCAGAGATTTTGTGAGAGCCAGGAACCGACAGTTAAGAGGTTTTAGGTTTTTTTTAAATAACAGGGGAGATGTTGTTATAAAAGGACACCGCCAAGAAAACAAGGCCATCAATGAATCATCTTGACGACATTAATTTTGTGATGACGTCATATAAACGTCACTATAATTGGCCATTTCCGAGTTGCTCCAAGCCTCTGTTTCAAATCGAGGCTAAGTGCGAAGCTTGTGATACGAAAATGATTTTTTTTATTTTCATGCAAATAAAACTCATTTTTATAAGAAAAGTTTTGCACTTTGCCTAGTTTTAAAAGTGAGAGTTTTTGGAACTAGGAAATGGCTTATAGGTGATTCATCACAAAGTGTTTTTGAGGCAAAAGGGATCGTTAGAAACGAGGAAGGTGACGGCATTGAGAACGGCGAAAAGGCAATAGGTTTGATGGGCAAAACAACAACTCTGCACGTGCATCACGCTTTTTTGTATATTTCTTTGCGGTTGTTGCACGACTACAACGTAAAACTTCCTAGTTTTAAGGTGATGTTACAGGAGACGATTTGCAACGACGATTTTTAGCGCAACACAGCTTTGCAATTTTGGAACAGTGTTGCAACCATTTGAAACATTATCGCAACAATGTTGCAACTTTAATCCCTTTGCAATTTTATAGCTTTTTTTGTTTTTATAATATATATCTAGTTTTGAGGTCCTTTTTGAAAACCATATCTTTTATGAAAAAGTTTCCTCAATAAAGATGATTATTATTACTCTGTGTTGCGCTAAAAATCGTCGTTGCGACTGAATCGTCCCGTGTAACATCACCTTTACGTTTCATAGAGGACTGCACAGGACAACAATTTTCTTTTCCTTTTTCTGGACTTACATACAGTCCTTTACAATCAACTCCAGTAAAATTCCCCAGAAGTATTTTCAATTTCAACAGAAAGACCTTACAATGCCTTTCCAAGTTTGTCAAAATGCACTCGCTTTAGGCACGCAAAGTACTCGAAAAGTATGCCTTTTTTGAGTTAACAGATCAAAATTGTGCACTTCGAATGGGATTCATCTGTGTTCCTGGAACCCGTATTCTTCCCAATCCCTTGTTTCTTGCAAATGGTACAGGGGGTGTCAGGGTGGTGTACGTGTGGGAGGGGGGAGTAGGGGTAAAAATAGAAAACAAAATGATTGAAATAAAAATTATGAAAAAATTTTAAGATGAACAAACGTAAAAAAGTTGCCGATTTATCACAAAGGATGCTTAACGTAGTCTACTCTTTTTTTCTTTATGCATTCAGGATTGGAGTCCTTTCTGGTTAAGGTGCAAACAATTAGAGACAGCTTTACCCCATATCGAAGGACAAATACCAAAGATCTCTTTCAACCTTATAGTCCAGAGCCAGAAAAAATCAAAGCGTTAACGGGCAAAACAAAAGCGTTGTATGAAGATCTTCTGAGGATGAAAAGAAACATTGTCATGGAACGGATCAAACTGCGAGAAGGAAAACTTTTGGCCCTCGTAGAGCACGAACTAAAACATTACTTTGGTAAACCATACGAAAACAATTACTACACAGGTATGACTCAGGTGTCATTCATTCATTCACTCATCCATCTATCCATCCATCCATCTGTCCGTCCGTCCATCCATCCATCCATCCATCCATATATCCATCTATCTATCCATCCGTCCATCCACTCGTCCAGCCATCCGTCCACCCTACCGTTCGTCGTCCGTCCGTCCATTCATCATCATCCATCCATCCATCCATCTATCTATCCATCCATCTGTCCGTCCGTCCGTCCATTTGTTCCTCCGTCCTTCCGCCCGTCCGTCCGCCTCTCCCTCTCTCCTTCCTCCCATCTGTTCGTCCATCCATTTATCCGTCCATCTGTATTCGACTTTTCCTCTGTCCGTCTGTCCATTCCTCCGTCTATTGATCCATCCGCGTATCCTTTATACGTTCGTTCGTTTGTCCGTTCCTTACTCCGCTTTTCTGTTCATCCATTTTCCCATACTTCTGTCCGTACACTTCTGATTGGTCGTGCCGCGTGAGACATTCGCTTCAGCCAATCAGAAGTACTACCCAGATCTGTAGTGATACGTAATCAATATACAATTTCTGCGCTGGTTTCGCAGAGGTCATTTCGCGGGGAAACCAGTCGTGCCATCGCGAAATGTCGAATGTTTTCTCAGGCTTGCTCGTTTCTTTTACCATCTCAGTTTTTTCTGTCTGTTCATACAAAAACGTAGGAGCATGGATGCTAGGCCCTGATCAAAGATGCAGAGAAGAACCCATCGCTTCAATACAAAATCACCTGAAGTCTGCTCTTTACATTTTCCTTACAAAGGGAAACAAAACTTTGGGTAGTGCAGAGGATGCTTTAAATTTGTTCCAGAAATTTCGAGACGGTATCAACCAGTATAAGTCGAATCTCCAAAGAGGCGTAAAATCTGGAATGGTCCAGTCGTTAGATGAATGTAAGGAAGGAATCGTATGTATGAAAGAGATATATCGCTCATTTTTTACTTCACGAAAGCCTGAGACCGTATTAACTTGGTGGGGAGTGCGCGCCCGCATAAACAGCTTTGCATCTGGGGTTTCATCACGTGACCTAAGGCAGTGGGTCTCAAATTATGGGAGCAATTTATCACAGTCTCTCTTTGAGGGCGTGGTCAAACACATCGGCGAGCCATTGGTCAGTTTGTTTGAATATCTTGAAAATGATCACATGACACACTGCGTGCCGAGTAATGTGTCTAGTGGTCTGGGAACGAGGCCCATTAGTTTCGTCTTCGTCAATGGAACAAGGACTTCTGAGCAGGCAAGCAGAACATTGGATGGGACGGAGAGGATTATGGAGGGGAAAGAGGCATATGCAGAAATCCTGTCTTACTTCACTTCCACAAAACATACGCCAGGTGAATGAAGATTATTAAACTGCATAAAGTTACGTTTTTATTTTTTTAACCTTTTTAATTTGCTTAGTGTAAGAGCGCTTACCCGAATTGCGGGTTTGCTTCACAGCAATAACTTAAAATAAAAACAAGCGACTTTTCGCAGTCTGTTGAATTAGTTGATATAAGTAAGTGTCATCGTCTTCCCTCAGAGCTTTTCCTATCGAAAAACTTTTTTAAGGGAAAAGCCCTGGAACGAGGTTGTACAACTGTTGCTCCCGGTTAGGGTCTCGCTATCTATACATCGAATATATTTATACTAGTAACATTCTACTCTAAAGAAAGATTCAAAAGAAGTTTTTTTTCTCCCGTCAAACGCATTTTCAGACTGTTTTACAGTCCTTGGCTTACAGTGATCACATGGAATTTGATTCTCGACTCCAGAGTTCTTCTCTATTGTGCATGACGGAACCCTGAGAAGTCAAGAATGGTAGTGAGATACTACAGGGCAACAGTGAGAAAAAACAGGTACACTTCACTAAGACTTGTCAAAGATGCGTTCCTCGTTCAACAAGATTTTTCTGCTTGCTTATGTAGATGAGGTTCATGCAATTGGGTGGAATCAGCTGATTACATTTTACAGAAAAGCCGTAGACATAGTGAAGAAGATAACTGGACAAGAGAATGAAAGAGAGGCCGTATCTGAATTTAAAACACGTTTGAAGTCCTTCTCGCTTTGCCTCAACATGCAGCCTTTCCCGTTGAATGAGTCAAATAACGAAGCTTTTCAGAAGTGCAGAACTAAAAGAGGTGGGAGATATTTCCCGCTATTACGTTTAAGGGAACAACTAGGGAGCTTTTCCCAAAAAGGGTAGTTGGTCGCATTTTGGTGATAATTCAAGTCACTTCCTCGTAACGCAAAAAACCCGCCGTTAAATCGCCCCTCCAAATATAAAAATTGCCCTCAAATCTAAAGTAAAACAAAACAAAAACGGTAAATTTCCTTCCAACTATAAGGCTAGCCCATTCGATTTTGAAACACAAATTTCCCTCCGTAGTTAAGCCACTCCAAAAGTAAGGCCCTCAAAAAGGGCCTTTGAAAAATATAAGCCCCGGGGCTTATTTTTGGAATTTTACGCTACATATACTACTTTGACGCAACGAACGAGAAGTCATCACAAGCATTTCTACTCTTTGCATCTACTGTAAAAGGGGCAACAAAACCGTACAACTTGTTTTGCAACATTGTTACAACACAAGTTAGAAGGTTATTTTGCGGGGTCTCTACCACCCCTGTATGTGCAAACCTGTCTTAGAACAAATCAGGTTGTTGCACTGAAGTTACGTGAATATTGGCTTCTGATTGGATAAAACTACGCGAGAGTCACGCCATACCCGGAATTTGCGTCATTTTTGCAAAACAAGTTTATCTTGGACCGGTAAAACGCGTAACATGTAAAGATTCTATGCAAAAAGTAGAACTTCTCTCTATTTTCTGCTGTAACTTTTCACAACCTGCAACAATCTGATTTGTTGCAAAACAGATTAGATTCGAGGTTGGTAGAACGTGCAACATCGCTATTCAACTTGTTTTGCACCATGTTGCAAAACAAGTTACACGTTTCCGCGTTTCGTTTCAGTTACCGTACCTTACGTCTAGAGCTATTAGCTCCGTTATTTTATTGCTTCTCAAGATCAGTAATACCAAACTTATATTCTTCTACACAGGTGCCGAGAAATTCTGCCCTCAGCGTTATTCGACCATGATGCGTTGGATTGAAATCGCACGCGGTACCTTAACGCTGATAAAAACGAAAATCCTTAAGTTATTTCACTTCACTGGTGAAAAAAGAAGCATTCCAACTTGTCCAGCTGAACCGGATGTTAACTTTTCACCGTCTTTGGGTGTGGCTGTGCACACGCCCTCTCCCAGTAACTGTCGCTTTACCGCTAGATACAAGCTGCCATTCTTCGTTGATAAAATGGGATCCGAATTTATGGAGTGGACTACTGCAGTGCACGAGAGCGTCCCAGGACATCATCTTCAAGATGCAAGCTACAGAGAAATATTTAAGCCTAAGTAAGTGTTCTCAGTGAAATGAGATACAATAAAACCCGCGTATAAGAACCCAAGTTTTTCTAAGCTAGGCTAAGAAGGTTCTAATAACTGAAAAGCTGGAAAATTAGTCTACTCAGGTTCTTAAACAGGTTCTTATTGCCCCCGCAGGTATTTCGCCCAGAATGCGAAATCCCGAGGAGGCACTCTAGTGACTCGCGCGTATATTAAGGAAAGTACTTACAGTTGAAATATACGGTCGGTATGCCAAAAAAAACTCTCGATTTGCACGAACAGGGGCCGCGAGGAATCGGTAGGTAATGATGACGTTTCTATTGTTTGCGCCCGCAAGTACGAAATGGTTAGCATGAAGTAAAGACAGATTTGTAGACATATTTAAAGTAGATTTTGTGACATTTATTGTGCAGTCATACTTGGATACTCTTTCGTGTTACATGATTTTTTTTTTCTGTATCGGTTTGCCAAGTTTATTTGTATACAATCTTCTTCTCGGTTTAGTTGACTCTTTTCCCATACGGCTTATTTATACATGCATGTTTTCTTGCTATTCGTGTCCGACCTATTCTAATGTCGCTGAACTTGTTTTAGTTTCACGTCAGAAAAATGCAAACCCGATTTGGAGACGTGCGTTCTCAAGAAAGATGTTTTGTTTGTATGATTATTTCGCATGTTTGCAGAACATCATGTCCAAGTATATTACAGTACAAAGGTATCACTGCGTACAGGGAAGGATGGGCCGTTTACACTGAATATCCACTCATGAGCCTCGATACAGGTAAATAAGTCAGCCGGAACCTATTTTGAGATCCTGCATGTCTAGAGTAACAAAAGAAACATACAGTAGAGAAAATGCAACAGGTCTTGGTTAAAAAATCAGAGAAAAGACTAATTGAAGCAACTCACCATTCATGATTTTGACCTTGAATGTAAGACCTGGTTCAGACGCCGTACTTCACATAAGCCGAATCGAATCCGAACTTAGGCCCACTCTTATTTATCTAGGCCCGGCTGAATTGATTCAAACGCCGATTTTTATTCCATCCGAACCTAATTCTAAGGGGAAATAAAAACGTGCATTTCGGTAAACTTTATTTAAAAGATTTATGCATTTGGTTCGACTCATTTGAAGTTCGGCATCTGAATCAACATCAGTCGGTCCTCAGGCTCGCTGAGCCAGGCGTGAAGAATGGCTGAACTGATCCAAATTCAATTGGCTGTTTCGAACGGATTCAGACGCTGTTATTCACCACGTGTTTTACATGAACTTAATTCATTGAATTCGTTTTGTCTCACCTGAAGTACGGCGTCTGAATCGGGCCTAACAAACTCTATGAAACAGGAGCCCTTAGTGGTGAAAAAGCCTTGTTTTTTTCTTGATGTCTCTAACCATCTTTGGAAGTGGATTTTTTTCGGGAGAATCCATGATAAGATTCCTTGGATCACTCCTCCTCCCAGATCACTTGGAACACTTAATACGCCACTTGCACTAAGAGGTCACGCGACCAATCCTTCCTTTAAACAATGAGTTGGAATCTTGCAGATGCCAAAAATTGACAGAGCACATTAAAATTATCTTACACCCGAAATTTGAGAGGAAACGCATTTAAGGGAGCTATTTTATGGCACTTTGATTTTTCAACAAAGTAGTAAGATTTGTATTGGCCGCCATGTTGGAGGGCATACTCTTGCCCTCCAACATGTCCAACATGGCGGCCAAAACTACTTTTTTCTTACATCTTGTTGAACGTTTGAAAGTTACGCTCAGATGTGCTGTGAACGTTACCACATCATCTTTTCAACACTTTCCTTGAAGTTTAAGTGCAAAATTTGCGTTCAGAAAGAGGTAATTCATAATTTTGAAAATCACATTTTGGTCACGTGACCAGCTACGAACTTACTCGTTTTAAGAAAATGGTGCGGGTTTGAAAAACCAAATCACTATTATTTTGTTTAAGATATGACCCACTAATCGTTTTTGGAAGGCAAAATCATATAACTTCCATTTTAATAAATTCGATTTCACATGACCTCTTAGTGCAAATGGCCTATTGCTGCGACAAAATGACTAATGAATCCTCGAAGGGATTTTTCAGTTTAACTCATTACAACAATATTGCGGAAACGGGACCTGCATTAGAGAGATTTAGATTTACGTTTAGGGCAAACGGCGATCGTATATTTTCACCGCGTGGCCAAGTTTTCTCTTAACTTGTGCTTTACTGTTCATTCAGCTTCTAGCCCAAAAGTAGTAGCTCCACATTACCTTTGTCTATAACAATTGCTTTAGACTGTTGTTAGCTCCACGGTTTCTATTTCGAGGAATTTTCAACTTGAATCTGACGTTTGCCGTTTGCCGTAAACGTCACTCCTAATCTCTCTATTATGCCTTCACGGAAAGACCAGAGTGCGGCGTGTTTGAGTACTTTCTAGTAACAATTCACTTTTGGATTTTATCAAAGAAACGCAAAATCCATTTTTGGATTCGAGAAGCCGAATTTGGATTTTACCAAAGAAACAAATTCGCTCTGTTCTCGTCTAGGAAGCTACCGTTTTGTAATTTTTTTTCCCGTAGTAGGCTTAAAATGGCGAGATCAGCTTTTAGAAAGATATATAAGTTGTTGTTGCAGGAATATGTATTTTTAGAGCAGTTTTTACGGTTTACAAGGGGACACGTGACCAGCCAATGCCAAATGAGGTTACTAAGGGCGATCAGAATCAAAATTCTCCTTGTAATACCAATGCTTTCTAAAATTGATGGGCGACGAGAATTAAGTGCAAGATAACTCAAGATGAATCTGGTTGATAATTCAGCAGCTTCTCCCCTCTACTTTTTTAAGAAACGTATGGAAACAACAAAAGAGCGTTTGAAGTTTGATAGTAGGCTTTAAAGGGATTAACAAATCTATATTCATTCTGACGCAGATTTGTACAAACATAATCCCCTGAGTGAATATGGGGTCATCAGGTCTCAAATCTGGCGAGCTCTCCGCCTGGTCATAGATACATCTCTCCATTACAAAAACATGTCACGTGATGAAGCATTGGCCTTATTTAGACACTACCTGTGGGACGACAGTGACGTCATCGATAAGGAAGTAACTCGTTACCAGGCCTGGCCAGGTCAAGCTACTTCGTACATGATTGGTCAGTTGGAGATCTGGAGGATGCGCAATGAGTCGGAAGCCAAGCTGGGTAGAAAGTACGATATTCGGGATTTTCATTATCACGTTCTTTCGCAAGGAGAGGTACCACTGTGGTTTCTCGATAAATATGTAAAAACGTTTTATGCCAGTGGAGTTTTACCGGAGGCTGAGTAGAAAGTACTATTAGAGGTAGTATTTAGTATTTATCCTACTGCTTTTTAAACACTTTCTTCCTCTTTGGAAAATTGATAGAATTTCTTTATAGAATTTCTTGAAAAAAAGACACTTGCCGACACCATTCCCACGTCTCCCCCCCCCCCCCCCCACAAACAGACAATTTTGGGGGATGTTTAGTATCCAGAAGTACTGAAGTTACAATAGTTCAGTTCAATCCAGTTTCGAATTCTACGAGGCCGTTGAATAGAAGCACTGAAGACTCGTTTAAACAGGGTCAGCCTCTACCTAAAGTAAAATATTCACAAATACCGGTGAGAAGGTGCCTGAATTTGAGTTAAAAACAATAGACACAGGTCTTCGTCTGACTGGAATTTGTGAATATATTTGCATTAAGTCGAGGCTGACCCCGTATAAATGAGTCTTCAGTGCTTCTATTCAGTGGCCGCGACGAATAGGCCACTTCCGAGTTCCAAAAACCCTCACTTTTAAAACGAGGCTAGGTGCACAACCTTTGTTGTGAAAATGAGTTTTATTTGTATGAGACTGAAAAATGATTTCCATATCAAAGGCTGAGCACCTACCCTCGTTTTGAAACAGAGGCGTGCGGGAACTCGGTAATGGCCTATTTGAAACTAGAATATTGTAGTTCATTTTGTTAAAAACCATATAAATATTCACGCTCACCAATTATGTTGTTTTTATATTCCACTCTCGTGTTTCCACGATACCGTGTATAGAATGCACGGCGAAACGGCGAAAAAAAATGATGAAAAAATGATGATGATGCGCCGTGGAAACCGTAATTCTCGGGAGGTCTTTCTCATAAAAATTCAAATAACTTTTGTATGTTTGTGGAGCAGTTTTGGCGCCAAAACGAACTTTTAGGGAACTTTAGTTGAAAAAAGTTATCTTTTTCGTCGCTTGTGATCATGTTTTTGATTTCACAGTCTGATGTTAGTGCATGGGAATAAAAAATTGTTTGCTTGGTTCTTGCAACCTGTTAATAAAAATATAACATGCACTGGGACAGCTGTACGAGTATAACAGAGGGCAGGTGTTTATAAGGCCGAAGGTTGCCTACCGCAAGAAACTTTACGCCACTATGCAAAAAGTCCAAAACAATTTAACACAACACAGTCAAACTTATAGCTTATTTCGTCGCATTGTTTTAACCGGGCGTTGTCCAGGTAATTCTAGCAATCAACCTACTGTAATTTATGTACAGAAACGTCAAAAATAGTATCGTTTTACGTAGAATAGAATAGAATCCATAGCAAGTTTTTGTTGTTCGTGTAGAATAGAATTAATGCGTTCTATTCAATACTGATGATTACTACGCACCTGCTGACAGAAAAACATTAGATTACAATCCACGTTGACATTCAACTAGAAGACGTTATGACATATGCAAATATCTGCTATCCGCGTAGGCGCAGTTCTAACAGTTCAGACTTCTAGACACTGACTGCAACTTTTGTAAAGGGCAGTAAAAGTCTTATTTTTACAAGAAATTTGACGTAATGAAATTTCTTCGCGGTATTAAAAATACGTCGGGCAATATAATAATAATGGTGTAGGAGGATTAGTGCATTTAAATATCGAAAATTTACACTGCATTTATTGATTTAAGAGAAAGATGTGTCAATGTCTTCTTAATTGTTTTTCGCTTTTATTTAATCGAACGTGGCAGTTGACGGCAACATAAAGTAAATTCATTTTAAAGAAAGTTTCCTGTCAATTACTGTGCATATTAAAGGGCTTTTCTTTACCACGTGACTTTCAATGTGAACTTTTGTTGAGAAAGTGGAACAATTAGCACAGAAACGGCCGAGGGCAAATGGCTGAAACCTTCTTCACTAGTTATGAATATTGGAATAAGAATGCCCATCTTAGTGCTGCTCTATAAAAATAACGCGTGTTTACCCTCGTGAACAGAGAAAAAGACAGCTGAAGATTCAAACGCAGAGACACAATTACCATTGGTTCTTCAGTTCGGCACTGTTAAAAACAAACCGGCAGGAATTTTTCGAGCTTCATAATGGAACCAAACACACATTTCGAGGATAGTGTCGATCGTCTTGTTATTAACGTGAGTGGGGCGATCTTTGAAATAAGCGAGGAGAAAGTCGCGCATTTTCCGGAGTCTTTATTAGGCTGTCCGCAGAGAAGACAGAAATATTTTGATTTAGAGCGAGAGGAATATTTCTTCGATCGCCACAGGCAAGCATTTGAGGGAATACTTTTTTACTATCAAAGCGAAGGGAGATTAATTTATCCAGACAATGTTCCAGCCCAAGTGTTTGAGGAAGAAGTTAAATTTTTTATGCTTCCCATAGAGCCGGACAGCTGCCAGCGTCTAGAGAATGTTTTACTTGGCGATGTCAACCGTTCTCGGCCGCTTAACTTGTGGCAAAGGACTTTGTGGGAACTATTTGAATTTCCGAATTCATCTACAGCTGCAAAAGTGTTAGCCGTCGTTTCACAAGTGTTCATTGTTGTATCAATAGCAGGATCATGCTTGAAAACGGTCGAATCACTCCAGCCACAAAAGAAAAACTCAATGCTAAATGCGACACGAAGGTCAGCTATAACTTTTCGAGATGACGAATGGCTCTCATTCGATTTGGTTTGTTACGGTTGGTTTACCTTTGAATGCGCTGTTCGACTGCTTGCTTCTCCCAACAAAAGCCAATATTTTAAGCTCCTTCCAAGCTGGGCCGATTTTGCCACGATTATAATTTTCTACTTAGAACTTATTATTAAAATGACATGGCCTTCAGCAACCACCCTGATGATAATTCTGAAGACATTAGCAACCGTTCGAATCTTAAAAATTGTACGATACTCGGCGGGTATGAAGCTACTGGTACTAACAGTCGCTTCAGGAATACGAGACCTGGGTCTTTTGGTGACTTTTGCGACGATTGTTGTAATTTTGGCTTCCAGCGCAGTCTTCTTTGTAGAATTCAATGACGAGCCAAATAGTCAATTTCAGAGCATACCTGATGGATTTTGGTGGGCAATAATTACAATATGTACTGTTGGATACGGTGATAAGGTACCCAAAACCCCGACAGGGAAGTTTATGGGTGCGATATGTGCTGTACTTGGCACCGTAACAATCGCGTTGCCCTTGTTTCGTTTCGCGTCTCACTTTCGCTCGAAACTCGAAACCTCTGCTTTTAGTATGCAAGCTCACCGCGATTCAAATGCTAACAACAGAAAACGAAGCAGTCATTCATCGTAAAACTTTTGACTTGCCTTACATTTGATATCATGATTTTCTCATTGTTATTCTATCCGTAATATCCTTTTAGTTATACTACTAATAGTATTCGTATCTTGAGAAAGGTTTCATATGGTCATAAAAGCTAGAATGACTTTGACTTCGGGTATCTAAAAAAACAACGAGAAAAGAGAAAATGTAGTTTTGTGAATACATTAACAAGTCAACAAGCTGACAATATTGGTTGGTCACTTTGACGGTACCGAAGAATGGAGACTGAATATTCTTCGTAGATTGTCACTCCAGGCGAAAACAACATAAAATAAAAGATTTAAAAATAGTAAAAAATGTTTTGAAAACGGCTCAGTTATTTTGATAAATTTGGCGGGCTTTCAGAAGAACAAAAACTTTTCAAGGGCCAAATTGGCATAAGTGAGTGAAACAAGGATGAAATTTCAAAGCGAGTATGATAAACTGTGCTTTAAAAATTAAATTTCCTTTTATACAAAACAAAAAGCGAACTCGTGCTCATTTTGTTTATTTGTTTCTTTTGCCGGTTCGCGGTGCTTTTTCAACACTTTTTTTTTGGCTTCTTTTCACCTTAACCAACTTTTACATGAAGCCAAGAAAAACAAGCGATATATTTGCATTGCCTGCAGGGGGACATATGTTTTTGTGTTCAGTCCTATTAATGAAATCTTCTTAAAAACAAAACAAAAAAATGATGAAAAACAAAACGCCTATTTTTGTTCAATTTTTTTTATCTGCAAAAATTACCTAGTACTTTGGATGGCGTCATTGGAGTCTATAATTATGTGTTTTTCGTTTAGTATAGAAAATTCCAAACCTCGAAGCAAAATTACGAATAAATGAATGGAAATATTTCGTCCGAATTACTCGAACTTAATCAGCTATATCAGCCTTGTCGTAATTTTGCTCTGAGGTTTGGACTACTGCCAGAGCAGGTTAAAAACGTCTTTGGTAACATATGTGTTTTTCGGCAACTTCAAGTTTTTCTTTGTTGTGGGTGATATGTTTTGGTATCACCAAGTCTTTGGAAAACTACCTGTGGAGAGTATCTTATTAATTCAAAACGAGAGGCGTTTATCAAGAAAGGGCTTGAAAACAGAAAGGAGCCGACTTCTTAAGAACTTATTGACTGAATTAGATTCTGCATATCAGATGAAATACCCTCTTTAGAACAGTGTTGGATATAACGTCTCAGTTTGAATCATTCGCGCATTCGCCGAATATTTTATAGTAATAAGGGTGGGAAAAAAACCCCAAACAATCGTTATTTCCTTTGTCTTCATTTCCTAAATTATAAATGAGAATCAAACTGAGAATATAAGCCAGTAGAAATGGGACTGTAGTCATTTATCTCTAAGTATAGTACTTCAAGGTCAGCTTAGCAAAATTTTCAGCACGCAAAATGAAAGTTCAGTGCCACAAAAGGACCAGTGAGGCTAAAAAGAGGACTGAGTTTGCGCCGGGGAATGGATTTTGGCGTGACTTGCGGAATGGCAAAATTATGTGGAATATAATATATCCTGAAAGAATTACAGGGATGCATAAAGAGCGAAGCCCTCAGCCTTTTAAAAGTAGATTGCATAATTCTGTACACCTCCCAAGACATACGGCCTGTTTACATGCAGGTGGGGGACCCCAGGTGGGTGAGGTAACCCGGTTAGGTTGGGTAACCCCGCCTGTCCATATAATCTCTCATTTTAATTTGATCATTTCTGCATTTTAGGTGGGGTGACCCGTCACA